TACTTATTTGATCCTAAACAAAGTCGGCGGGTCTACTTTTTCCATGTTAAGACACCGAATTCAGTTTTATATAATCCCCTCTAGGTTTTTACAATCATCTACCAAGAAACCCCTGCATAATAAATGACAGTTCTTTTCCCCAGTTATAATTTGATGCACGGAACAAGACACCGATATAACCCCTATATCACAAGACCCCTAGCGATGAAAAGCTGGGGTGGATTGCCCTCCACACGTATACGCAAGCTCCGTACCATTGCAGTGCAATAATTCTGACTACCAAAATAACAACAACACAACTGACAATAATAACAACAAACTGCATGTTTTCATTTCATCCATAGTAATCATTTACTCCTCTTACCAAATCTATGTGCAATGAAAACGCTGCGTGGCTGATCAGACAGTATCAAAGTCAGCTACAATCCTGAATTTCGTTCACGTGTTGAAATACATGAAAGGTTAGGCAAATTGGTCGGTAAAAAGTCCCAAAAGGTGGATGCGTTTTGTGGCAGTGAAAAAGTTGAGAAACGTTCTGGTTTTGCTATTTATTCATATTTTAGGCCAGTGTATTAACAGCAGTTAAAAGCGATGCAAAGTTCTAAACTAAGTATGTGAAAGGGGTACCATATGTGAATAGACAGTATAGGAAAGGGGTATCTCTTCAGTCAAAAATGGTAAATAAAAGCAGGTAAGGGGGTGGACCCTGGAGTGGAGCCTACCCGTATAAAACTTTGTTGAGTACCCCCACCCCCTCCCCCGGGGTCCTCAATCCGGCTCCTGGAAAGAGAAAAACAAATTGGGGACCAAAAGCAGGCACGATTATCACTTTCAATACCCTTCCGTTTCCGTTCTATATGGTTAACCGCAGACAAAGATTACAGCCCTCTTAAAGAGCCATTGTCATTTTGTTTTGACAAAATTATAATTCTTCAAGTTGATCGCTTGCCTAAAAACACTGCCATGAACCCTCTGTTGACCTTTCTTCTTGATTGTAGCACGTGATCAACCTTTTTTGTTCCCAACCGACACCAGGAAAGGTTGGGCGCCGGGCCTTGTCACATTTCACCTCTGGCGAAAAGGTTTCTCCATATCCCCAAAATACGGTGACTTTAAATCAATTTTCTTCTTCCAATATTAATGGGCCTCCACTAAAATATAGTTCAAAACCACTCTAAAATTAACCACCTCTTATTTAAAAATTAAACGGTAGTACATGTTCCTATTTTTAGCCCTAAAACTTTTTATCTGTTCGGACGCATGTACAAGCCGGGGATAAAACAAAGTGATCCGAAAATTAATATTGGTGAGCAAAAACGGACCATTTCAAAAATTTTACGTGAAAAAAGGGACGTCAAAGAAAATTTTTCATTAACGTCCCTTCTGAAAAAGTGGGAACCCAAGTTCGAGTTTGTGACTTTTCGGTTTTTTTCAGTGATTCCATGGCACACTTCCAAGCTTTCAGCACCGCTTCCTGTCATGTCCCCTATTTTTCAAATGTCGCGGCGAGTGTGAAGTTGGTATTTTTTTGTATCCCAACTCGAACATCAAAGCCGAAGGAAAGGCCTTGTACATGTCGGAGGAAGAAGACGTTTCTCCACTTAGAACAAACTAGGGTGACCAAAATCAATTTTCTTCTCACAATATTAATTCACAATTAAGAAAAAAAAAGGTTATGAAAATTTGTAAAATGATTACTGAAGGGAAAATACTTTTATCACTAATTCACTAATTCTTTAAGGAAATACATGGAACATAGTCTGGAGAATTTGTATGTAGATCATTTGGGTTTAAGCCTTATTTACACAAAAATCGAAAATGCTGGATTCTCATAGTCAACGAATCACACTAACGACCCTAGCTTTGAAAAGGAGGCCCTGGGGCAACTTGAGTGAGCTGGGGCACCTATCGAGGCCGGAACTGGTCGAACCGATGTTGAAAGTCAAGCCTATAACATGTGTTTTATTGTTTTGAGAAGTAAAGCTGTTCACGTTAGATTTGTAACAAACAACATCGGCCCTTAAAAAAGTTGTGGAAAAACAGTGTACTGGCGTCCAAATCATTGAATATTGAATTCCCATTGACGTTTGGTAGGCATATTTTCACTAGTGGAGGCTGATGTTGTTTGTAACAAGTCTAACGTCAGAACAGCTTTACTTCTCAGAACAGTAAAGCTCATGCTCTATTTAGGCAATATTTTGCTACGTTACCTTTTGATTTATAATCTAGTAGCATTATCTTACAATTATCGCTCAACATTTCTACAAGTAAATGTGATAAAACTGTTTTAGTTCCAGCTATTTTCTTTGAGCTCACGATAACTCAAACTCCCTATAACTCGAACTTTTTTCGATTTTTTTTACATATTTCCCTTAAAGGGTCGAGTTATCGGAAGTCGACTATAAATGTTTGAATGAAATCAAGGGGAACTGATCGATTTCGGTTCGAGTTAGCGAGGGTTCAAGTTTTCGGAAGTCGGCGGTGTCTCTGTTCAATTTTAGAAACGTAATTCTCCAAGCGATGTGTTTAACATTTGCTAGATATATAAACATTGGTAATTCTTGGCAAAGCCTTGAAATAGTCGCTGACTCTTCGATCCAGTGCAGAGCACAACGATATACAAGTGATCCCCTGTTGGGACCTCGCTTATCGCCCATTCTTATCCCGTCTAATCGATCCCGGATCTTCGTATTTCAATCGACTTTCCAGATCGATCCCTCTCATGATCAGCGCACTGAAATTTTAAAACTTTGGCATAAACCTCCTCGAATTAAAGAAGTCGCAGATGAACTGGACACCTGATTAAACATTGCATCACTATGTATTTGTTTTTTTTCTGTGTAGCCCAAGGAAATGCGCTTGATTAGTTTTCGCATGATATGATTATTTCGTCTAGTACCTCATGCAATGATGTTTACCCTCTCAGTCGCAGCACGCAATTTCATGATGGGTTTTCAGGGTTTTGGGCTGCTCTTTTAGTGTGAATCGTTCCCTGACAAAACAAAATATTAGCTACCGCATGAATATTGAAACCGAGTTATTTACAGTCAGAGCGACCTCTACAGCCGGGAACCACAGCCTGTGCCGGGCTGTGGTTCAAGTGGCAAACTGCCTATAAATTTCGCCTGGGACTTCCTTATGCACTCGGCTGTTACATTAAGAGTCGGCCTTTTTTCAAAAAAAAGAAAGCGCTTAATCTCTCTGTGATTGTGTGCGTCCAATGTTTGAATAATAATTCAGGGGAATTTTTCCGGGTGCTTTGTGTGAAAGGAACTCACTTGTGATTATTGAAGTAAGGAGTAAGCAAAGAAACCTTGTATATTTTGTTAAGCGCGGAATATGGCAACATACAGGAAGTTGAAGAATGCCATGTTAAAAACCGTAGCCAAATAATAACCAAACCAGAAAAAGTTTTCAAGTTGTTTCGTGACGTCACAAATGATACTTGAGTCTCCAGACTTATATTCTTGAAGTTTTCAGAAAGCATTCGATATTCACAGATCAGTTATTTCTATTTTTGACTGAGTACAATCGACAAAATGAGTTTATCGACTCGGTCCTGGTTTACAATAATTCTGGCTATTTTCGCCGTCTTTCGTGCGAATGGAACAGTAATGGTCTCTTTTTCTTAAGACAGCTATATTGTCTTGATTTTTCATGGACTGAAATTTAAAAGGTCCTTGAATAGGCCTTTCAGACAAGCAGCTATCTTATTGGTTTGTCGAGTGTCTGTATAGGCCCTCCGCCACGAACCTTGTGCTATAATTGCTCTTGCTAACTTGATTACTTTGTGGCCGTTAAAAAAGGGGGCAGCCATCAAACTAAACCCGGATACCACACGAGCACATTAATTTCCCGTCCGAAGTGATTAACTGCTGAGAGATCGAGATATAAGAATATTAAATGGCACGTTTTTCCTCCATGAACCTTTAGGTATCATGCAATGGTTTAGCCTCAGTTGACACTATTTTTGAGTTAAGCCCTGTTTTCTTTATAAACCCTGCACGAGGCTTTCATAAGGTTTGTCCTCAACTGAGCCTGATTTACCATGTATTCTCGCTTAATTTTACTTTGTCACCACGGGTAACGTGACTGAGTTGGAAGTAGAACGCTTGCATGCGAAGACGAAACTCAATTCTGTCTCTGTTTGAGTTTTAAAAAGAACAAATAAACTAAAATTGCTTGTCAAAGTCAAAATTGAGTTGACAAACTCAATCCAGGGCGAGACATTGACCTTGAAGGAACACTTCTACATTGCGTGCGTTAGGTTAAAAAAGAGCTTCTATCGTTTGATGAATTATTCACAGCTGTTCCGAGCCACAACGATAAAAATACTATTTAACAATAGCTCGTTATTATCTGCTCTGTTACTCTCGTTTTTTAACTTTTCTTCCTTTCAAAATGAAAAAACACGTTTTGGGTTTTTTACTTTGCTGTATGTACGGATCATCACTGAGAAGTGCGCTTTCCACGTGGTGTCAGATCAGAGAGCCGATTTGCTCTATTTGATCACGAACTCAGCTAGAACTGCAAATTACACCGATTTTCCTCTTGCTTTTTCCCTTTTCATGAAAGTAATTTTTTTGCGCTGGAGATGAGAGATCGACAGGCAAACAATAGGATACAGCGAAATCAAACGCAGTTAATGGGCTTTCTACGACCAAAAACCGACATTAAGGTTGTATTGAGATTCGATGTTTGATGTATTCAGAATTGTCAACATGGCGCTAAAAGCTGTTACCATCAGCACGAAATAAAAACGGAGGCTAAAAATTAAAAAGAACAGCAAATCAAACAGACCTACAGCTTAATCCGATCTTATACGAAAATCTCTTGGTATATTTCTTGTATTTACGCGTATTGGTGGTCGTCAAAATATGTTTCGTGACTTCCCCCCTAATCTTTCCTCAAGATATACCACGTTTGATTGTCGTCTGAAGTTTGCCTGGGTACTAGCACGTGTTCTATTACGTCATGCGATGGTTACCGGTCACACAACAGTTTGCCTTTATTACACAATATGGCGGACACGCGGCTCTACGATATTCTTGGTGTCAGCCCCAATGCGAACGATACAGAGATTAAAAAGGTAAGTTGGTTGTTTTTTTGAAGGCTGGAGTAATCTTTGGGAAATTCTTGATGTATCTATGTGGTTTTGTCCCTTTAATGTGGCAAAATTTTCTAGTCCTACAGGAAGATGGCGAAAGAGTATCACCCTGACAAAAATCCGGACGCTGGCGACCGAGTAAGTTAGTTTTCTGGGCAATATTTCAGTGTTCTGTTTCTCAGAGCTTTAGTCAGTTTAGATACTAACTGTCATTGTTTTTGTCCAGTTTAAGGAAATAAGCTTCGCTTACGAGGTTCTTTCAAACCCTGAAAAACGCCAACTTTATGATCAATATGGTGAGAAAGGACTGCGTGAAGGAGCTGGAATGGGCGGTAAGTCAACTTATTTCGGTGTTCGCTAAACTCGTTTCTTTTCCTGCAATTGGACGTACATTTTGAGCTTAAACATTGCAAACGACCCATAATTAGTTTTCCGTTTCGATATGACGTATTACGATCCATGTTTGGTTTTGCCAAGGAAGCTGAGTTATAAAGTCTGCTGGTTGAAATTTGTTTCGCGTGCTTTTTGCTTTTGAACAACTTTTCGGTTATTTACGTCTTTCTAACTATCATTTATCCCTCAGGTGGTGGTATGGAGGATATTTTGTCCCATATTTTTGGTGGTTTTGGCGGTGGAATGTTCGGTAAGTGGATATTTGTGATCCGGCTGGCGCCTGAACATTTACGGTTCTAAGCATGTTTAGAATGGAAAAAAATGCCAAAAAAGCGAATCTCAACCGGAAGTGGATTAAGCTAAGACTCGAAAAACTGACAAATGATTTAGTTCTTTCACGATCTGCCAAGTTGCAGTTGTTGAAGTGGAAACAAAGTGGCAACATTATCGAGCGATGAAATTACTCAGATTCTGTCAGTTGTAATCTTCTGCGGCCTTTCTTGGCCAAGGCCCCTGAATGGCGCAGCGCAGAAAGTCAACTTTGAGAAGATATTGGTGTCGAGATTTCGATATCAGCCCATGTCCTCAAAACTCGGTGATGAATTAAGAACATTCCTTGTAACTTGCGGCTCTTTTGGCTTACCTACGTCATGAAATAATCCCTTTATCTTGTTTCGTTGGGGGAATTTCTGTAATGCCCTTTTATTTGGAAACTGTTACCCCCTCTTCTAGAGCGCACATAAATGTTCTATGCGCACACGACTGACACATCTGAAACAGGTTGAATGTGACCGCATATTGTTCTTATGCAGTTGTAGTATAGGACAAGTATTTTTAAATGCTTTATAAAAAAATTAAATCTGAGGCTTTTATGATTATTTTTTAAAGAAAATTGATCAGCCACTCTGTAGAGTATATTTTTTGTTCAAAAATACTGTAGTATTTTATGCCTGCATCACCCATTGTTAGAAACCTCTTGTCACCAGGGAAACAACAAGAAGACCTTGAGTATAGCATCCTGGCTGTAGATTACATACATTTTTAAAGTTGTACATTATAAACTTGTAACATACATTGTGGTATAGTAGATTATTAATCTTGGTCTTGAATGGATTAATGATACTTTGTACATTTACCAAGGTGAATTACCAATTTATTTTTGACAGTAATTTTATTAAATTAAAATAAAAGTTGATGGCTTTCTCTAATATATTATTAGTGACTGATGAGTAGACTTATTATCTAACTATAATTACGGAAATATTTGCCAAATGTAAGGAGAATAAATTATTTTTGTATATATTAATAACAAACTGAGAAAAAAGAAATATATGCATTTTTTGTGGCTTAAAATCGTAGACCTCAACAGTATATTAATAGTAATTTCAATCATAATTTTACTGTTACTACTCCTGGGGAAAGTATTATTCCAAAGGTTGAAGGGAATTGTCAGATAATTTGTCTTAAAGTCAAAGAAGCACAAAGTTGATGGCGGGGTAGTGAAAGTTAATTAGGAAATTTTACTTTCATGTTGCCACCAGTGATTATAAATTTTAAAGTCGATGGCTTTTATCAGGCCTTCTGATAGCATGAACAATTCTGAGAAATTTCCAGGAGGTCACATAAATGAGACAAAAAATATTTATGTGGCAGATTGTACGATTCTTTAGTCAGTAGAATTGACATAGAAGGTCTTCTACACTAGGTACACAACAGCAGTTCGGTGTGATGTTTCCGAAGTAAAATTAACCCTGCATTTGCCTTTGATTTTTTGTCCAGATTAGACAAATTTTATATCTCATGGGTTTTCTTACAGATTATGTGACTGGGTGTGAGAGAAATAGCAAATAATTGTATGAAATTACACCATTGCATAATATAAGAGAGTTACCCCTTTATATCATCAGTGATTTTGTAGTGAATAGTGGAAAATTCCAGATTCCATGAAAAAAAAAAAAAAATAAATAAGATTAAAATATTTGGAGAAAAATATTTTTTGCCAGGAGAATGTCAATAAAATGTAAAATGCTAGGGTGTTGAACATTGTTCAGAGGTCATGGAGTAGTTATAGAATCTAATTTTTTGGTTTACCTGACTTATCTTTTCTGATATGCTGACTAACTTGTACTATAGACCCTTCTGCACCAGTTTAACATGCTTTTTCTTTTTTATTCAGATCAAACAATGTGATAGTTAATTTGCTATAAAAATGAGTTATTTTATGCAAAGATTTTATTATAATAATGTAATATGAGATGACAATTTTAGTCTCGCAAAATGCACAGTTTGAGTTTTGACAAGTTTTACGTCATTATTGCTTACTCCAAAGCCAAAATGTTACAGTGATCACTTCCACCCATAATTTGGCTTTATTGTCTTTAATTTAAAAAGTTCGTCATTTTCTTTTGTCTAGAATAAACAAACTCCACCCCGATTTCTTGTTTGGGCAGATTTTATACTTGTTTGCCCCCTAAGAAACTATGTGACATGGCTTTTTCCCCACCAGTCTGTATGCATGCGCAAAAGATGGCGGGAATCGTGAATAAGGTCGATTGAGTGTAGTTGAATAATGAGAAATTATGGTTGTCAAAATAACTTTTTGGGGAGATATCATTATTTTGTGACATTATGATGCTACAATTGCTTTTCTCTGTCTCCTGAGCATCCAATAAACTTCCAAAAATAGACATGAAAAACTTTCACCCTATGCAGCACAGTATACTATACAGTATAGTTCATAGAAATCAAGTTAAAATGTTTTATACTTAGCAGTGAAACCACTTGCCTTCAGCTTATCATAAACTTGAGTTTTGAACATTTTTATATCATTTCTATGATCTTGATTATTTTGGACTATTTTGATGAATTTTTTGCTGTTTTGGGTAACAAGTTTAAGTTTACAAATGTGATTGATGAAGTATTCTGCAAAGTCAGCAATTTGTGTACCTGTAACTGCAGTTTTCCTTATGGTGATCTCCACATGTAACCATGATTGTTTTGCAGCTGCCACACTGTCTCTCCTTCCCATGATCAATATCCAGCGAAACTCTTTACGTCACTCCTTTTATAGTAACTTTGGTTTCTGAAACTAACTGTATCTTATTACAGTCTATAGGCTAGGGGTGTAACGGTTCACATTCCTTGTGATTCGATTTGATTATTTCAATTCAATTATGTAAATGTTTGTTAATTCTTATAACATAATGCAGAATGTAAACAACATGCAACCCTAAACCCTCAATTTTAGAATAGTAACAGTGACAAAAGGATCCACAGTTGCTTGGTCATTTATCGCTGTGTTTGAGAACCTGACAAAGAGCAAGTCGCACATGGTTTGCCTTTTTTGGGAATTCTCATGGGATGGTTGAAGGACAGCATTTTTACCAGGCAACACAAAATGGCGTACAAACTGCACGTCAATCAAAAACGTGCATTTTAAAGAGTCCCGGATTCTGATTTTACAATATAATAACTCACTGGGGGCACCCTGGAAAAGGTGTGCAAAAATCGAACCAAAATTGAAACATGGAAGCAAAGAATTGTGAATCGAACCAGTTAGTTTTTCGTTCTAACATGAAATGCTCTCTGGTGGAGTGTGAACTTCTATCCAATATGTGACTCTCCACTCTAGAGATTAGCATGGGGCAGCTTTGCTCCATTACAGAAATTACACCGAAATCACTGTTCTCACATGTACATGTGAACAGAAGCCCTATGCAGTATGGTTTTCATGCTGGCGCAAAAGCTATCTGGTATGCATTGGGTGCGAACATAGCCTTGATTTATAATGCCATATTACTACAGTAAAGTTTTTATACAAAATTGTTTCCCAGTTGATGTAGTTGATAGTCCTTATTTAATTGCAGTTTTAACCGATTCTGTTGTTTGTTATCAAGGTGGCATGGGAGGATTTAGACATAGAAGAAGACGAGGAGAAGATCTTTTTCATCCTCTGAAGTAATTTTTTGCTCTGTTTTGTGTGTGTGTGTGTGTGTGTTTGATTAACACATGATTGTGTGATTGACATTTGCGTAAATTTTACCTGTATAATCAAGCCCATGCTCTAAGGAAAACTGAAGGGAGCCCAGTGCTCTAAACCTGTAAAATCTAGGGTGCCCAGCATATGATTTGTATCAAAAGAGTAAGATTTTCGGGTCACCCAAGGGCAAAAGTTAGGAGCCAGGGCCCATCGGGCTTTGCTAAAAAGGAATGTAGTATTCATTGTTGAGCCTCAAGATGATTTCTTTTGTTTTATTGCCCCAAGTCTCAGACCCAGGTATGAATTTTAATACCGGTGTGTCGAAAATCGTCTACATGTATTTTTGTCATCTAAAAAGTCAGGGAAATTTGAAAACTGATGTTTGTGGCAACTATGGCCATGGATAGTACAGACCATGGTCTTGTCTCTTTTGTGCAGTTTGCTAGAAAGTTGACTGTAATTGTTCATTGTCTATAGTAACACTCTTTTACACCCGGAAATGAGTACAAAATGCTGCAAACGTTTACACATGTACAGTGTAAAACCACCTGACTCTGGCCCTTGGTTCCACTTGAATTTTGATGTCATTTCTATGGTTGTGTTGACAGTGGAAATAATCATTGTGCCTGAGCTCTTGTCGACATTCCAGTCCTAGCAGCATGCAGGATGTTTGTCACCTACTTTAGTGGCCTTAGCTTCCAGAAGTCTTCTGTGACTCAGTGGTTGAGCATCTGGACTAGTCACCAGGGCCGAGTTGTTCAAAGGCCGATTAGTGCTAACCCAGGGTTAAATTTTAACCCGGGTCTCTTTTTCTTTTCATCAATAGCATTTTCTCGGACAATTTTCTCTATTCTTTTTAGAGTTGCCAATCATCAAATTATAGAGAAAAAGAATTAAACTGAATTTGCTTTTTATGCTTTCAAATCTGAATTCAAATTTTGCACTAACCGGGGGTTATCTTAATCCAGCTTTGAACAACCCAGCCCAGAAGGTCACAGGTTTGACTCCTATTGGGCGAACTCAGATGTTTTCTTCCAAACTGCCTGTTTCATAGCCTCCCACGCAGGCATTTTTAGGGGAGCTCGTATTTCTTCCCTCTCCACAAATGCCTGCTCAACTGAAGACAACATTCCTTTCCCCAGCTTAGCCAATCACATTGTACTTTCCAAATTCTGGAAAGTTGACCTTGACCGCAAGGTAATCTGATAATTACTCGATCTGCATTAAACACTGGGAAAGCTTTCTGACCTGCAATAAATGTTAGATTCAGAGCGGCAAAAATAAGTTTTAGTCAAAATTCAGAATACTCCGTGCACTGCTTAACCTTAGCGAAGGAAAGAAAAGAAGGAAAACGGTAACTCTAAGGTCACGTTCAGTCGTGTTTAGCCTGTCAACACTTAATTGCACAGTTGTTGATTGGTCACCTACCACGTAAATAAAACAATGAGAAAGGAATGTTGTTTTCCGTTGAGCAGGTGTTTGTGGGGAGGGAAGAAATACGAGCTCCCCTAAAAACGCCTGCGTGGGAGGCTACCTGTTTCACTGACTGATTAAACATCTTTTTCATATTGTCTCTTTGTAAAGTCACATTTCATGGAATGACGCTGGAATGATTATGTCCTGATGAGGCTAATGAGCCTATGCATTAAAAAGTGATGATGTGTTTAGAAAAGACTTCTGCGAAGAAGTTATTCATTCTAACAGTAACTGCCAGGAAATAATGATTTAACTGCCTTGCTTTCCTTTTTTTCTGCAGAGTTACATTAGAGGATCTGTACAATGGCAAACAAACTAAACTGCAACTCAGTAAAAATGTGATCTGTTCAGTGTGTAAAGGGTAAGCTAGAATAAGTAAGAAATCTACTTAAAAATAATTTACAGATTTTTAGTCGCACTATTTTATAGTACATGTTTTAGTGGAGGTATCTTTTAGATTGATAGTAGTTTAATCTGGTCAAGGTTTTATAAAGATATTAAACAATAATGTCATTGGATGAGGTTTTTAGTGATATAGGGAATAATCAAGGTCAAGTGTTATCAGCCAAGCCTCAACCTTGATTATTCCAGGTATCACAAAAACTGAATCTAATATTGTTTTATTATGCACTGTTTTGAAGAAAATAACGACAACCACACCACTGTACAGAACACAGTTTGACATTGCTCTTGGAAATCATGCATTGCGTGCTCAACCTACAGATTAGTTAAAGATTGATCATCATTGGTAAAAAGAGCTTTGTGGCCTAAACAGGCAACACGAACTAGTGAGTTCATGCGGGACTGCCCCCACAGAAACAAATATGTACTTCAGAACTTTAGAGTAATATAACCAAGACACAATCCATCTGTTACCTAGATACAGTCTCTTAACACATCCCTATAACAACCACCCAAATTCTACTGCCAGCTTTTAATTTTAACAGTCAATCGTTGAAGTTGCCTGATGAGTGTGGTCCTGTAATTTCGGACCATATGAAACAGCACTATCGCAATAAATGATCGATGATTAGTCCTGAAGCCTGAGCTCCTGTGAAGTTATTAATAGTGTAGGTTGCTCTGATTTCCAAAATTAATGTAGGCTTTAAGCCAATGAAAAGGCAGATAGTGGGTACAATGTATGATAAATTAAATAATGTTCAACATGGAGTGAGTCACTTTGAACCCATGATCTCTTGGGTGGGATTTTTTACAGTCAAGCCAGGTCAACGCCTCCCCTTAAGATTCTTGAAAGTTGAATCTGTTGGTAGTTCTAAGTTTCAGATTCATCTCTGTATTTTGCTTACACAATGAGCAGAGCATTCTTGCTTGAGGTACATGTAGTTATGAAATTTCTGCCAGCTCACTTTTCTTGAATTTGATGAATGTCTTTTGATGCCTCCCAATTCATGCAATAAGAAATTTATGGAGGCCAGCAATGAATTGTAAGCTGGCTGTTAAATTCATTGAAAAATACACCAAGGATAACATAATCTCAATTACTCTGCAGTGCTGGAGGGAAACCAGGGGCTGTTCGCATGTGTCAGGGATGTAAAGGACGTGGTATTAAGGTTACTATTCGGTCGATTGGTCCTGGCATGGTACAACAGATGCAATCTTCTTGCAATGAATGTAGTGGCGAGGGTAAGGAATGTTGTGCATATCCATCTAAGTTTTCCTTTAATGCCCTTCTATGGTAAAAAGGAAAGTGAAACCCTGCTTATAAGCCATTTGCACTCGGAGGTCATGTGACATCATGTTTCTAAAAATGAAAGTTATATGATTTTACCTTCAAAAAATGATTAGTGGGTCACAATATTTTAAACAAAAAAATAGTTATTTGGTTTTTCAAACCTGCACCATTTTCTTAAGTGAGTAAGTTCGTAGCTGGTCATGTGATTTTTAAAATTAAGAATTACCTCTTTCTGAATGCAAATTTTACACTTGAACTTCAAGAAAGTTGAAAAAAATGATGTGGTAACATTTACATCACAGCTGAGTGTAACTATCAACTTTTAACAAGATAAAAGCAAAAAGTAGTTTTGGCGGCCAATACAAATCGTACTACTTTGTTGATAAATCAAAGTGCCATAAAATATCTCCCTTAAATGCGCTTCCTCTCAAATTTCAGGTGTGAGATAATTTTTTTGTGCTCTGTCAGATTTTGACATCAGCAAGACTCCAACTTATTGTTTAAAGGAAGCATTGATCACATGACCTTTTATAGCAAGTGGCCTGTTGACCACTTTACACACTACTACGTACATCTAACCACCACAACCATGGGTGAGGATCAAAAAGTAAAAAGCTACTAAAACTGCTGAAGTGTTAGTGCCATTTGCCAACATAACTTTGCTTGTGCACAGCGTGTTTTTGGCAAAAATAAGCCAAGCTTTATGGGGAAAGTGAAACAAAGGTTACATTAACTGTTTCATATTGATGGTAAATGAATTTTGTGTGGCAATAAAATGAAAAAAATTCTCAGATATTTGACTTTGGTGGACACAGTGGTATGTATAGTCCTTCTCAGCTGATCACAATAAATATTGTATCCTGATGAAGAGCAGCAATGATTGTTTGAAATGTGATGATCAATAGCAAAGTGATTGTTGTGAGACAAATGACTGGCTGGTTAGGGTTGCCATGGTCAGGGAACATCTTTGATAAATTGTCAAAGTCAGTGAAAAGTCAGGGATTTCTTATTTCCTTGCGCACAAAATGCCATCGTAAGACAAAAATATTGATTGTCTGCAAAAAAGCCAAAGCAAATATACATGTGTAAAAGTGGATTGTTTTTTATTATTAATTGCTTAATGCAAGGTCAGTGAAAATTGTTTCTAAAGAGGTCAGTGGAAAGTCAATTAGAAGTCAGGGAATTTTTTAGTTTCTGATGAGTGACAACCCTGGGCCTTGTTTTTCTACAGCATGAAATTCAACGCCAACAAAAAACGCACTGGGCAATGACCTTCAAGGGATAAATAAGGCCATGTTTAAGACTCAGACAATGTTCAGCCAAAGGGAAGAGTAATGCTTATAGATTAAAGAAGTGTAATTTCACAAAAATTCAAATTTGTGGAATTATGGGATTTGTTGGCATATTCATTCTTCCCTACCAATTTGCTCTAACAGGCTTATTTTCTGCGAGTGAACATTTTTCGTCTTGTTCTTTCTGAATACTAACCGTAGAACTTCATGAATTTATTTTTTGTGAGGTCATCACTTCTTTTCTCTATTCCCACAAGCACAAGGTGTTGTGGGTAGCCATGACTTCCTTTATTTGCTGTAGTTTTCTAGCCTTGAAAACAGCCATCCATCCTCCCTCCTGGCTGCTAGGGATGTTTCACCAGGAGAGATGTCTGTGCCTCAGCAAAAGAAATTCAATGCTGATGATGTAAAACTGTCTGAAATCTGGTCAGGAGCTCTGATTGGTTGATGTGGCAGTTATATAGTTTTAGCTATTGTTTATGAATGACAGACAAAAGAAAAAAGCCCACAAAGGTCAAATATAAACGTGATTAATCTATATACGAAACAGTCAGTAATTGTGCTCTTTGAGTTTTGCTCAAACTTGCAGAACAACACAAAACCTCACCAAAGTCAACCAGGAGAAACCTAAAATTGAACAAATTAAATATTTGGAACCATATGACTACAGTGTTCTCCTTATCTGGCAGTAATGGGTAAAATTTACCACCTAAAGTATTACTTCTTACCACCTGAAATCAAATGAAGGTTTACTTATATTAAGTAAGTGCTTTTAAAAAATACACAAGTTGTGATCTGATTCTCACAAGGAAGTTAATGAATACCGTATTCCCTTGAATAATAGCCGTCCCTGAATTAATCGCCTTCCTTGAATAATTGCCCCCCTTTGATGGAAATTTTTAAAATAATTGCCTCCCCAGCCCCCTTGCCATCTCCTCTTTTTTTATCCTCTCCCTGTCAAGTTAAAAATTGACACAAGCTTTTTTCACTTAATTGTTTATAATGGCATTGAAAACTAAAACCAAATTTGGAACACTTAAAAAGCCCATGTTCAGTTTACTTGATGTGATTATTTTTCAATTTAATGAGATAATAAAACAAAATGTTGAAATATTCACCTCCCTCGAGTAATCGCCTTCCCTCAAATAATCGGCCTCTTTTGGTGCAAAAAGAAATAATCATTGCCCCTGGCTATTATTCGAGGAAATACAGTATATGGAAAAGTACTAGAGTATACACAGCTTTTCTTTTTATGGGCCTCACATTTTGGGAAGAGAACGTTGAAGACAGAGTAGCATTATTGGAATCAAACATTTTAAATTGTTTTCTAAAGATAGCAATGGCCAATTTGCTTAAAATAGGACTTAAAATGAGGGAATGACATTGACATTGAGCAAGATGAAATATGCAAAGCCTTGTTAATCAAGCAAGAAACTGGATGAATTGAATGATTTTGCCCCTTTTTTGCTAATTTCTAGTATTTTGAAGTAAATTCTCATAGGGAGTGTCTATTAGACAGGGTGCATTTATTAGAGAGGGGCATCCAATACAATTTTAACGGTGTAGGGGGGGTGTTTATTAGGTAAGAGATGTTTATGTGGAAGTGGGCATTTATTAGGTCATTTATGGTTGTTATGCAAACAATTTTTTACGTCATCAGTATGGAATTTTTTTTTGTTGAGGCACAGATGTCTCCCCCGGCAAAATGTCCCTTATGGCGAGGAGTGAGGAAAGATGGCTGTTTTGCAGGCTTTAGTTTTCTCCTCATGTAATGAATGTTCATGGTTTTGATTTCCAGGGGAGGTGATAAATCCTAAAGACAGGTGTAAAAAGTGTCAGGGCAAAAAAGTATGCAAGGAAAGCAAAATTTTAGAGGTAAGGTAGTAAAGTTATTGCAATTTTAATTTATTGTTAATAAACATTTTAACTCCCAAGAATACAATTGGTTACCATTAATTTTGAGAAAACATATGTAAAGTTTTAAATTGTTAAGTGGTGAAAAACAACATCAACACATGTAGTTCTGTGAATCTGTACGAAAGAACTGCAGCCAAGGAGCTTGTATTTTAATGGTCATTCTATATGATTTTATCCACAGCTTGAAAAGTGAAAACAGAATTTCTTACCTTGGTCTATTATTTTGTTTATCATCTCACATTACCAGAGGCAAGCAAAGTTTAACATTACTTTGCTCCTCAGATATCTTGGTTGTTCGTTGAAATTGAACAAAATCTTGCCCTTTGGTTTGTGATAGGTTATTTACTATGATGAATGTGTAGTTGGATGGTACATACACTTTGCCACATTAACTGTGCACTATATCAATAATTAATTTGATGTCTAAGACATCTCAGACAAAGTTGTCTCTAATGTCTTTGATATCTAGTATCCATCTATCTATTTTCGGTGCACCGCACTGATTTAATAAGTCTGTCCCATTCCTGTCTGTTGACCTTGACGGATGCCAGATCCTCCCCTCAAAGACTGGTGTTACTCTCCAGCTAGAGCTGTCTAAATGAGACAGATAAATAGTCCCAATATAAATTCCCTAGACTGATCTCCATACATGAACGTTGTAGTTAATTTTTTATCTCCAGTAATTTTTGTTTTTCCTTTCGTTTTTGGGTATGGTAATGTATGCTAATGAAGTTGAAACAAAGAATAAATAAAAATTACCTGAGATAAAATATTAACTACAACATGCACATTTCATTATGGAATTGGTTGAGAGAATTTGATAAAAGATCAAAGCACTTGTGCTGATCACATTATGAATTCTCATAGCCTTTTCTGTTGATGATGTATTGATAGATTGATGTTGATCACTATTGGAACTTACAGGGTTAACATTTTCTTTACAGTTGTATTATTTGTCCAGACCTTTTAGATGTTTGCCCACCAGTATAAAATAGTCTGCCATTGATGAGTAAACAACATAATTTTGTTTTGGTAAAAATCTGTTTTCAGGTCCATGTGGACAAGGGTATGAATGATGGACAAAAGATCACATTCAGGGGAGAAGGAGATCAGGAGGTAAATGTTGTAGCTATCCTTCAATGGCATTATAACATCTGGCTTGAATCAGTGTTATATTCTGCAAAACAAACCTACCTCTCCCCTTACCCAACAGGGGGTAGGTGGGCAGTTTCCCTGAATCAAAATTGCCCAATTACCCCTCTTATAACCCAACATTTTTGACTAAGTAAGAAGTTAGAGTTGACTTTGGAGTATGAGAGAAGTAGGTAGGCAGCTTCCCTGAGTCTCATACTGATCATCTGGTCCAAACAGAGAATGTCTTGTGTGCCACACCTAACTGGTGCATTAGGTTTGGTAGAAGTGAGATGTGTGAATCAGTGTAGATTGGCAGTTTTATTAATTTATGTTAAGTGTGAAGAGTAAATGTAAAGTTCGGCAGATGCTCTTGCATTTTTTGACACTTGGAGCAGTGGCTGATTTGTACAACAGTTTTCTAAAGCTTTGACCCTGAATCATTAATTCATAAACTCTTCCCATAATATTGTGACTGTTAGCAAATCCTTTTGGTAGATTTGGAAGGTTAGTTTGACTTAAGTTTGTTTCCTGAATTAGTTGTTTCTTCAAAGTCCCTCTGAAATAAAATGTTTTCAATTGAGGTTCAGTACAAGATTAGCCTGGCATTTGAACTAGGTATTTAAGAATGGTTGAGAGTTTTACTTGAAAACATTATCTGGACACCCTCAGGTTAGAGAAATACAAAGCACTCTTGGTTTCATTATTTTGTTGTCAACTGTCAGAATTTACCATTTTTCTTTCTAATTCCTATTTAGTTATCCCAGTGAGGTCTCAAATGCCAAATACCCTACTGGCACAAGACAACAAAATCCTGAAAGAATGTTTTTACAAATTGTTGTCAAATGATTGCTTAGTGCAAAAGGCTATTGCACCAAAATGTTTGATGTGCTTTTTAAAGGTACTGTTCTTTTGAGGCCCTTGGCCCATTTAACCATTTCTTTTCATCTTCTCCATCCCGTAGCCCAATGTTGAACCTGGTGATGTAATCCTCGTTTTACAACAAAAAGATCACGACTTATTTACACGTCAAGGAGATGATCTGTTTATGACCAAGAAAATTCACCTTGCAGAAGCACTGTGTGGCTTTCATATGGTAATTAAGCACCTTGATAAGAGAGATCTGATTGTAAAATACCCGGCTGGCCAGGTCATAGAGCCAGGTAAGGGCTGTTTTTTGGTTTGGACCTCTTCAGGTCCCTATTATCGCACCACATATAAATGTACATGTAAGAGCACCTACAACCTAGTACAGATAAAACGTTAGAGCCTTGAGCATGGACATCTACTTGAGAGAATCAGAGCCACAATAATCAGAATTTTCCACCACTGGTACAGCTTGTGATACTATGGCTTACCGTGAAAACTACATCTGCAGAATGAGAATCAGAAAAAGAACTATAAAGCAAACACAATTCTCCTTCCCAAATGTTGTGATTGGTTTAGTTCTTTCACTTCTGCTTATGACTTCAACAATCTTGTGTAGTTGATCTTAAGCGATGGATTGGTAAGCAGAATCAGAATGCTCTGTTCACAAGATCAAAACACTGATTCTGTTGCTAGTGAAACCAGCCTTAAGTCTCGAACAGTGATTCTAAGCAGGAGCCTGATCAGTGTTTCAGCAAATCTTTGACTTTGCCATTCTGCTCCCATTCTAATTTTTTTGGGTGATGATATTACTAAATAAATAATTTATAGTAGTTTAATTAGTATTATTAAATTCAATTAAAAGAATGACGGAAATATTCTGTGTTATTGTGATTTTTTTGTCAGGTTGTATTAGAGGTGTGGTTGGAGAAGGCATGCCAGGGTACAGAAGACCCTTTGACAAGGGAAACCTCTATATCAAGTTCGAAATTGAATTTCCTCCAAACAATTTTATCCCATGTGACAAAATATCAGTGAGTATCTTTGATTTAGGAAGAGACTGCAGATAATGTGTTAGGTGCGATTTTCTGAAAGCTTACAATTTTTGTGTGACCAGTTTTGACCTACAGAGGATATTACATGGCTGTGTGGAGATATGAAATTTCTCTTTGAGTGCTAAAAAATATTTCATGAGTGAGCGCAGCCAACGAGTGAAATATTTCGTATCTCAAAGCGACCATGTAATGTTCTATTTATTATATAAACACCAATGAAATGCCAAACCATTTCACTTAAATATTTTTGTGCTGCGAAAGTCATGATTCATAATGTGGCCATAGCAACAGTGACCTTTTCACATGTGAAAAATACCATGTAATTATTACCACACCCATCTGAACCCCTCCCAAGTTGTTATGATTGCTTTGCAATTTTACCAAAAATAATGTTTTCCTAAATGACAGTGTTTGCTCCTTGCTATAGGTACTTGAGTCCTTACTTCCATCTCGACCAAAGCAAGCTCCACCCGGGGAAGACGCAGAAGAGGTGGACCTCATGGAACTTGACCCAAGATATCACCAGAGAGAAGCCTATGAAGACGGAAGTGATGACGAATCTGGACATGGACCGCGTGTTCAGTGTGCACATCAGTAACAAAAGACTCTTTTCGGGAGCTTTTTCTTTGTTGTGACACTTAAGACTTGTTCCTCTGAGGAAGAGGGAATTTTTACAAGGATTTACAAGTGGATTATTTCAGAGCAATATGAGAAAACGGTTGTGTGTCTGGACAGTTTGACTCAAGTACACGGTGACCAATGTTGTCTCACATAGAAGCATAATGTACAATAATGAAGCTTTCATATGGTTCCACTGGGTGGAGTCATTTGAGTGCTATGTTGGAAAAAAATATTATTAATTTTTAATTGGCTAGTACTAGCTCCCTGTGTATTGTCTTCCTGCGATTTAGCATTTTTAGCAGGGCTGTCATTACCTTTGTTATGTCTGGGTGGATGTTGCTCTTATCAACCTTTTCTTAACCACACTTGTATCATAATAATATTATCAGGATTGTTTAAACAAAAATGTAGATGGCTCAAAGCGCAGACTCCAAATCCTCTGAAAGCTTGTTGATATTCCACTTTAGTTATTATTAATAAGTTATTATTGGTGAAGAGCCATGATTACCTTTTGTAGGTGTGAAATAAGATATTATTGATTTGGGAACTGGTGGGTGGGTGCTACCAATTTCTAGCAATGTTTTCTTTTGTCTTTGTAGCAGTTGCCTGTTCATAGACCCTCTGTTTTCTCTTTAGCCCCTCAATATCCTCATACAAATTCTCCAAACTGATCTCTGTACATTTTAAGATTCTTTAAGAATTCCTTGAGAGAATTTGGCTGAAGATCAAAACATTTTCCTTCTTCATTGTTTTGTTAATTCTCATTACCTTTTACCTTGATGACGAATTGATGTTTAACAGGAACCTTTTAAGGTATGGGAAAATATGGCCTCAGCATTCTCAAAAATTATACATCTAACATAAATTTTTAAGTATGTCGTTTCAACAGAGGAGCTGAAGTACTGACCCTCTGTTGTAGAGTGTTTTTCTTTCCTTGAGGGGTCAAATGTGGAAGAATTAAGTAACACATTAACTCTCATTATTTTGTTACTTCAGATATGGGTTTTGGTTTTAATTTGGGCTGTCAGCCTTTTGGGCTTCTAGTTTTAGTGTTAAGACATTTTCCTGGACGGTGGAAATTTTCTGCATTCATTTTACACTGCTCCACGGCTAAAATCCACTTATACATGGACATGTACACTACACCCTGTTGGGCACAGGTCATGAAACATTTAATACAAAAGATCAATGCCAATCCAGGGTCAGTTACCATGACAACTGAGTTACCATGGTAGCTATCCCTTGATTTTGTGAACAACTTGGTCAAGGTTTTGTTTCTCATATTTTGTTGTTGTATTAATAATTTATTATAACAAGCATTGTTCAATTTTTTAACTCGCTCAATTTTAAGTTTCTTTTTCTTTATTATTTTTATATTTCTTTGTTGCATGATGATTAGTTAACAACAGTGGAAGACAAAAATTGAATGAAAGATGAAATTGAAATGGAACTTTGCTAAAACTTTCACTCTTACTGCCACACAAAAGAACTACCAAACTGGTTTAATTTGAATGTCAAAGCATAGAAATGAATCCATAGACTGAAAAGTTAGAGGCAGTTTTTGCAGTAAGATAAATAATCCCTTGTACAAGTACCACTGAAGAGTATTTATGCGGATAGTTTCACTGTAGGATCTGATCCACAGATCAAATTTAGATCCTTTTATACAAAGTAACAAATAATACGATACGAAAATACAGCACGATGAAATTGTCTTTCTTGCTTTGTCTTAATTGCTATTGTTGGTCCTTTACCTCAACCTTGTGTGGTTTTGCAATAGACTTATTTAGTAATGATATTGATAGGGCTGTTTATAAATAGTGCTAGGTGATTATCCCTTGTGTAAGTACTCGTTTTGTTCCTCAAGCATGCAAGTTAGACTGGAAGGAGTAATTAGGAGTTTATTAGAAGGATTTTTTTCTAGCACCTTGTGATCGATTTGTCTTCAATTAAAAATCCTTCTAATAAACTGTTAAAAAGTGAAAGGGTTAAGTCCTCAAAAAGCAACTTCTTTCTTTACACCAGAAAAGGTAAATGACAACCCTGTTTTAAACGTTGCCAACTTAGCATCTTCTTTAAACATGGAGCGATCCTAGCTACTGTGACCGAGGTATTCAGCCATCTGTTACAAATGCTGGAAGGTTTCTTGCTCCACAGACTCCATAATATCTTTTGTGAATAAATTTATTTCTATCGAAAAACAACAGAACTGCCACTGTGCTTAGTCCTTCAGTGGGTGATTAAACTAATGTAGGCTTAAGTACCATGACAACTTGTGCGCTCTGTTTACAGTTGATTCGAGATTATATTTAAATGTGACCTTGTTTTCTTAACCCTTTAAGGCACAAATTCTCTAAACTGACTTCCATTCATTTCCTTAAAGATTTGATAAACGATCAAGGCATTTTCTCTTTGGTGATCATTTTATTACTTCTCATAACCTAATCTCTTGAATGTATGGATATCATTAGGAGAAAATTGATTTTGGTCACTTTGGAACTTAAAGGGTTAAAGAGAAGCAGAAGGTATGGTTTTCATCCCATGTAAGGTAATCCACAACAGTCTTGGATTCTGTATTCCATGCTGTGGATTCTGACGTCCAGGTAGCTGGTTCAAGTAGTCTAGATTCCTGTCAGTGAAATCTGGATTCGGTTTTCAATTGTTAACTGGATTATAGATTTCTGAAACTGAATTCCAGATTCCAAAGCCCAGGATTCCGGATTCCGGATCCTGGATTACCTTACATGGTGCGAGGTTTTGCTAAATCCACTCAACTCGGGTTTTACAGACTTGCTTTAGTTTTTCTTAAAAGAGGCACAGCTGGCCTGTTGATCTTGCACTTTGCAAAATTTGAATTTCCATGCATGGAAGAGTCTTTTATAATTGCTGTGGTACTTGGCTTAAATTATTATAACATTCATACGTTAGATTGTTTTAAAAATTCATAATACTATCATGGATCATCCCAGTCACCATTTGCACATCTCCCATAATACACCTTGTTTGCCCCCCCCCCTCCCCCTCCTCCCCCAAAAATTGCATAAGCATTGTCTTTTTTCCCTCTTGGGACCACTGTAGTACTCCAATAGAAATAATAAAAAAAAAGTTTGCAAGGTTTGGACGGGGGCGGGGGGAGGGGGCAAACAAAGTGTCTTATGGAAGACGTGCAAATGGAGATCCTCCTTTCTTAAATTGAGAGACCTTTTTTTCAAGGTCCAATATTTGTTGATTTAAGATTCAATGACATACTTAAACGCCCTTAAAGTAAGCAGCTTAAATTTCCCTTGAAAATATCGGAGTTCAATTAAACTTTAAGATCAGAAGACCGGTTTGCTGGCTACGATTTGTTGACCTGATTTTGAAGCGTACTGGATCTCGAAAATCAGTCTAATTTAAGTTATAGTGTGAAAATTGGTCGCTATGTTAGGGGGACAGATTGTAAGGAAAGAAAAAGTCGTATACGTGTAAGCCGGTCTTAAGAATAAAGGAAGTGATAATACATGTCTAAATTCTTAAAACAAATTCTTTTCTTCAACACCAAATGAAATAAATGGAAAGTATTCTTTAGAATTTTATTTTTTGTGCGTTGATGTACATGTTGTAAGGGCTAGTAGTTAAAATTAGTGTGTTCCTTTTGCTGTTTTGCTCCGTGTTTAATGATAAGACATTCCTCAAGCTTTCGGAACATTTCATTAAAATATGTAACGTAACCCGTTTAAGCATAGTTGGCTGGCTAGTACCCAGTAAAGTTCAGTGCCTAAGGTCGTTGGCATCACTCTTTCATTTAAAATAAATATCAATGTACATAAAATGATTGAGATAATATTTTCAATTAAAATGGGATGTCTCGTAATGCAAATATGAAACACTGTATAGAGAATCCCCCTAGTCAGTGTTAAAGTATGTCTGTATATTCATCCTTACTTTCCAAACATCTTCCATAGAACAAAATCTGGTCTCAGTTTGAATAACAAAGAAATCCTATGTGGGGAACATGTAAAATTGTAAACCTTTTAAAATCAAATTGAGATATTTCAAAGGTATTTTATTGTAAACGATTTACACATTCCTATGTGGGGAGACTTCATAACAAAAGAAATCTTTTAATTTAAAATACACATTGTGAATCTTACACCATACCTATATCTCAATTTGATGTTAAAAAGGGTTTATGCACCGCTTTATGAAGTTTTGTTAACTTTTGCTGTTTAAGCCAATCAGAAGTAAGTACAGACAATAGAAAAGTTAGCACCTTTTTTGCATTCCAACATGTTCGTTGCCGTTGTTGATATCGTTCTTATCTGGACCGTTTCTTAATACACAGCTGAACAACAACACCTTAACGGCGCTATGTTACGAGGATATTGCTGTTAGGTCAATTCTCGGGGAGGGGGGTACTAAACAGTTGTTTATACGGGGAGGCTCCGTCCCAAGTTCTAACCCCTTACGCTTTTATAGACCGTTTTTCACGAAAAAGGTACCCTCTTCGTATATCTTCTATTGACAAATGGTATCACTTTCACACACCTCGTTTAGAACTTTGCATCACTTTTAACTGCTGTTAATGCACCGTCTTTTAAATAGGAATCAATCACACAAATAGAACGTTTTCTCGACTTTATAAAGCCATAAAATTCATCTGTTAGCCCTTTTGGGCCCTTTCACAGACCCAAATGACAGATTTCCCTACCCTTTTATAAACTTCAACGAGTGAAATCCCTATCCTTTCATATACCTTAAGCGTGAAAAAGATACCCCTTCCGGGAGGAGCCTCCCCGTATAGGCCATCATAGGGAGTACTCCCCCCCCCCGGGGTCAATTCTGTTTGAAGTCAGTACTTAGTGCGTTTGCCGGTACACAAAATGCCCCAATGGGGTTATGAAAAAAAAAATTAAACAGATAAAGAAATTTTCATTAGGGAGCACTAACTATAATCTTTTTGTTAGTGATTTTTTGCAGCTAGGCATAAAATGGCAATTCTTTAAAGTTTCAATCCATGTAGCCTGAGTAAACAGGCGACATTTAGCGACGCCACCAACAGTTTCCCCTAAGAAACTAGCGCAAAAATTTCATACTGATGATACGTCACTACCCAGATCTGGGTAGTGCTTCTGATTGGGCGTGCCGAGTGGGAAATTTGCTTCCACCAAGCAGAAGCACTACCCAGATCTGGGCAGTGACGTATCATCAGTATGGAATTTCTGCGCTCGTTTCTCAGACGTCATTTCGCGGGGCGTCGCGAAATGTTGTCTGTTTTCTCAGGCTACAATCCATGTCAATCCTTGCCATCCGTAACAAGAAAGAAAACGACAGTTTTAAGTCTTCAGTAACAAAACTAGACCATTATTTTTGGAATTCATTCGGATACCAAGGCATGTTTTAGCTTCTTAAAAGGGTGCCATATAGCGTGACGTAGCCCCGTTGAAGAGGCGATTTTATTGAGGGAGAGGTGTACCTTTAATTGGCTGGATAATTATGAAGTCAAGACCTTTTTGCAAACGTGGAAATTCTTCCTAGCTTGTGGATTGTTGAAAATTCTCATTGGCTCAAATTCTAAAAAGGAAAGAATTACTATTACCGTCGTTTCTGAAAAAAAGTTACGAAGCTTACTTTTTGTTCAAAATTTCAGTCAATTTAGGTTGCTAGCTTCCTTTTTCTTTTTGTTTTCTTTTCTTTCTTTTCTAAGCACATACCTCAGTATTTTTAAAAATTCATCCACTCTAGTCCTTTTGCCACTTCTGACGTCATCGATTTTTCGTAACGCTAACCTTCCGGGATCACAAGATTAAGAAAAATGTGTTTTTGTTTGGTTGCGTGTTTGCGTGTTTTCTCAGACTCGTTGATAAGACGGAAAGGGGCAAAGTGAACCCCAGCCTAGTGCTTTCCCTTTATGTGGTAAGCGAAGAGTACTCTCGACTCTAATTTTGGCCAGTTTTTAAGCTTACCTATCCCATTATAAGTAAGCGGGAGAGGAGAACAAAAAGTTTTCACAATCTCATTAAATCCAGGCAGGAGCCCATCCAGGAATATTTGAGACAAAACTCCGTAAGAGGACAAAGTGAAAGCATCCCTGACCTGGAGGGATTCATCTGCGAAAATCCCCAGCGGCGAAGAGCGAGGAGAAACGGGTTTTTTCGCAGGCTAGGATTCATAGAGCGCGATCCATTCAACCAAAATTTCCGGAAAATTTGGTCCAAAACTCAATGGATCGGTTCGGTCCAACCAAAGAAGTTTCGAAAAAACGGGTCCACCTTTTGAGGTGGACCACTTTTCCCGGTCGGACCGGAATTTTGGTTGAATGGATCGCGCCAACTTCTCCTACTCCTCCCAGATCTGAAACTTTTCGCGACCTCAAGTACTTTTGTTTCGTGTGGCCTCATGGGATATGTTGCGAACAAAACAATATGGCGGCGGCCGGTATTCTACGAAATTTAAAAGATGTGGCTCTTCGAACGATAGAAGGCTTTGCACCTGAGCTTTACCAGCTTAACCAACAAATTTGGCGGAAACCAGAACTCTGCTATCAGGAGAAATACGCTCATGAAGTCCTCACGACATTCTTCAAGGACAAAGGTTTTGAAGTAACAAAGCACTACACGCTAGAGACGGCATTTCGCGCGTCCAGTGGTTCGTGTGGAAAGAGAGTTGTGGGTTTGATTTGTGAGTACGATGCACTGCCGGGTATAGGGCATGCCTGTGGACATAATCTTATCGCTGAAGTTGGAGTAGGTGCTGCGTTAGGTAAGTAAATTTGATAATATAGGCCATTTGCGCAAAGAGGTCATGTGACATCATTTTTATGAAAATAACAGTTTTATGATTTTGCCTTCGAAAAACGGTCAGTGGGTCGAGATAATATCTTAAACAAAATATTAGTAATTTAGTTTTTCAAATCCGCACCGTTTTCTTAAATGAGTAAGTTCATAGCTGGTCAGTGACAAAAGTGTGATTTTTAAAACTATGAATTACCTTTTTCTGAACAGAAATTTTACACTTAAACTCCAAGGAAATTGTTGAAAAGATGATGTGGTAACGTTTTCAGCACATCTGAGCATAACTATCAAACGTTTAACAAGATACAAGCAAAAAGTAGTTTTGGTTGCCATGTTGGAGGGCAAGAGTATGCCCTCCACCATGGCAGCCAATACTGCTTTCGGTCAGTGTAAAATGAAGACTGTGGACTGCAGACTGCAGACTGCGGACCAGGGGTAAAATGCAGACTGTGTGTAAAATGCAGACTGCAGACTGCAGACCAGGGGTAAAATGCAGACTGTGTGTAGAATGCAGACTGAGAGTAAAACGTAGACTGGGGTAAAATGCAGACCGAGCATAAACTGTAGTCGCGGAAAGGTTTAAGGGCAGAAAAATCCCGAAAATACATGTAAACAACACCACTTACACTTACTTGACATCTCCTTTCACAAATCCATTCCTTCCTCGCTCTGGAACGTCGCCGACGACGCGAAAACATTCTAGTAATCGCAATCTTTAACCTTTTTTTCCGTTCGAGAGACCTCACGCTTCAACTTTCGATACAGGTGAACGTGAATTGGTACAACACAACGATGTTTATGCTTAAATAAAAGCTGCTGACCCAAAATAATGTACAGAAAGAATTCAAAAGAGTTATGGCGATAAAAAAGGGAGTAAATCATTCCAACAACAAAGGAAGATGTTCTGCAGGAAATTTCGATGACCTTCTATGAAAGGATTGAAAATCAAGGTAAGCAGACTTTAGCTGTTTGGATGTTCATTGAACTTTTGGCGAGAATGTGTAATGTACTTCGACTAGGAAGCGAGGTGTGTAACTGATTACCAGCTAACTATTGAAGAAGCAGGAGTACAGTCTTCATTCTGCATTTTGCACCCAGCCTGCGTTTTACTCTCAGTCTGCAGTCTGCATTTTACACTCTCTCTGCATTTTACCCCTGGTCCGCAGTCTGCAGTCTGCAGTCCGCAGTCTGCATTTTACACTGACCGATACTGCTTTGTTGAGAAACCAAAGTGCCACAAACTATTTCCCTTAAATGCGTTTCCTCTCAAATTTCGGGTGTAATATAATTTTTATGTGCTTTGACTATTTTGGGCATCTGCGAGATTCCAAGTCACTTTTTAATGGAAGAATTGGTCACATGACCTCTTGGTGCAAGTGGCCTATTGTTGTAGTTCAGGCTAAAGGATACCACAGGCAGCCCAAGCTGAGAATCATTATTAATGATATGTGACCTTCCACGAGAAAATGTACACTAATGGCTTTCCATTAATCTGGTGAAACACATGGCTACTAATCGCGTTACAAACAGCTTACTTACCCTAAGGGCTCATAAAAAATTTCCAAATGGGTTCCCCAAATGACTGAAAAGCTTAGGAAAATTTTTGAATGGGTTGACATAAACGTTTAGTTTTGCCTTGACTGGCACAGCACGGCTCATGAAAAACAATGCAAGCAAACAAACGAAACGGATCTGATCCAGGTTTTATTTACAATTTTTCTGCTGTATCAAAAAATATCGACTTCCCATTGTTAGCTGCTGAATGACCTGAAAAAAGTAATTTTAAAATTTTGATATTCAAACACAGACTTCATACGGCGATTACCATAGCAAAATCGTTGATTATTTAATACTCACTGCTTTTTTACACTAACAAGGGACTGGCACTTTTCTAACAGCTTTGTATTTTGTCAAAAACTTTGCCTGTTGGTGTTTTGAAAGCATTACACACCTGAGTTGAATGCGGGATCTTGTCAAATTTGCAGAAAGTAGATCAAGCAGAGTGATGGTAACGCAACACTAACCAATCTATGACAAACACTTGAATGAAAATGTGGTTGCTCTCAGGGCACGAAAGGTGGCAAGTGTTGCCAGCAATTCATGAAGAAGAGTGAAGTCGATGCCAAACAGATTTCATTTGTAGCAGCAATAACATGTAGAGAGCAAAACTATTTGAAGGGCTTCGTTTGGAATGCATTGTTTACATACGACTTTGATTCATCGTCTGATAAGGGATAATTCTCTGCATGTTATTGCTGCTACAAATGAAATCTGTTTGGCATCAACTTCACTCTTCTTCATGAATTGCTGGCAACACTGGCCACCTTTCATGCCCTAAGAGCAACCGCATTTTCATTAATACCGACAGCACAGCTGTTTTCTCTACTCGATCAAGAATAAAATGGTAGAAATGCATGAAGGATGGTGCAAGGAAGGTGAAAGTGTTTTTGACTTGGATTGCCTGAAAAACATCAGGAAAATATCTAGAATCATTTGTGTACCCGTGGTGTTATCATACGAGCAAAAATTAATAAGTGTTAACAGCTGACAAACATAGCTAAATTTGTGTGAATGAAATCAAACAAAATCTATGACCTGAAACTTGATTCACTCAGTTTCCTAACACTAATCACTAAACTTCAGATTCATTTGGTGTTTGGCATTCTGCAAAACACCCCTGCTCATTCCATGGAAAATAGCTCAAGTTGTTCAAAGGGGTCCAATAATGACCAGGCTGTTTGAAAGGGACAGATGGGTGACCAAGCAGTTTGAATGGTCCAATGTTTCAAATGAACGGATTGCCAAGCTGTTCGAACAGAATGATGTTTCCAATGATTGGGTGACCAAGTCGTTCAAATGGCCTGATTTTTCCATTGAATGGGTGACCAAGTCATTTGAAAGGGCTGACGGTTGCAACAAACGGGTGACCAAGCTGTTCGAACGGGTTTATGTTTGTAACAAATGGGTAACCAAGTTGTTCAAATGGGCTGATGGTTTGAATGAACAGGTGATCTTGAAAGCTGTTCGAATGGCTGACAAACAGCTTGTAAACAGAAAGCCATTAGTGTATGTTTGAAGTCTCTTTTTCAGGTGTTTTTGCTTCTCGGAGTCTTGAATTTTTTTCGCTGATGGGTCTCTGAGTTTAGGATTTGTTGTTTTTTCATTCTGTTTGGTCTTTAGGAGCTCAGAGTTCATGGGTACTGCTTATCAAACTGAGCTAGTAGCTTAAGACGGTAGACCAAGGCAATGCAGTATTATTGGTGGGCTTCTATTAGCTTCCATTGTGCTTAGCCTTGTTTGTATTATTGTCTTGAAATTTTTGCGCTTAGAGTCTCCGGCTTGAATTTTATTAGAGGTAAAGTCTTCAGGCTTTGACTTAATAAAAACCCTCAAGTCTCAGTCTCAAATTTGAAACCAGGGACCTCACAGTCCTTCACCTTCTATACCCCTTTTTGATCCAAAACTGACTTCACTATTGGAGTATCCTTGTCAACCACTGAAATTTACTTCCAAACATTTGAACCTCCCAATAATTCCAGGCAATTTTAAATTTAAAAAAAAAAAAATTCAGAATACCACTGTATTAGACAGGTGAGAACTACAACAAAGACTGTCTTGAATTTACATGTATATTTTAAGGTATAAAGGCAGCACTTGAAGCTTCAAACCAGGATTTGGGGAAAGTTGTTGTTCTTGGAACCCCAGCAGAAGAAGGTGGAGGTGGAAAAGTCAAAATGATTCAAAATGGTTGCTTTGATGAGGTTGATTTTTGTTTAATGGCACATCCAAAGTCATTCAGCTGTGTTTATCCAACATGTTTGGCAATGCAGGATGTCAAGGTGACTTTCCATGGATTGTCTTCTCATGCGGCAGCGTTCCCATGGGAGGGAATCAATGCATTAGATGCTGCAGTAATGGCCTATAGTTTTCTAAGCGTTCTGCGACAGCAGTTGAAGCCCACATGGCGTCTTCATGGGATTATAACAAATGGCGGAGCTAAGCCGAATATAATCCCTGATAAAACATCAATGGAATACTTTGTGAGGGCTCCAACAGAGGGAGAATTAAATGAACTTCGAGAGAAAGTACACAGGTGTTTTGAGTCAGCAGCTCAAGCCACTGGTAAGTTTTAAATAGGACAATTTTCAGATTAACTGCACCAGAGGGTTAACTTTGTAACACATCTATAGAGTGCCATTGTTACTACTTATGTGCAGCACTTGATAATAAATGTAGAAGTTTTAATTTAAAACTGAATGCTGGTGAGGGGAAAAAAAGAGGAGAGGTATGCAAAAAAATTTGGTCAGTTGAAGAGTCCGGGTGGGTCATCTCCAGTCAAATTCTTCACAGCCCATCAGTGAATTGGCCACAAGTGGTTGCGCCTCTTTGTGGTACTAGAGCTTAGCCCCTGTTCAAATATACCTTTTGGCAGAGGCCCCCATGGGCCTCTGTGTGGTGCTAGAGCTCAGCACCCTTACAGGTATTCCCTTTAATGATCTTAAATTAGGGGAGGTTTCAAGGGTGTACTGTGTGGTGCCAGAGCTCAGCCACCGTACTGGTATTCCCTTTAATAATCTTAAATTAGTGGAGGTCTAATGGGTCTACTGTGTGGTGCTAGAGCTCAGGCCCCGTACAGGTATTCCCTTTGATGATCTTAAATAATATTAGTGGAGGTCCCGAGGGTGTACTGTGTGGTGCCCGAGCTCAGCCGCTGTACTGGTATTCCCTTTAATGATTTTAAATTAGTGGAAGGACCAAGGACGTCAGAAGTCTGATGTTTCTTGTCTGACGACTAAAGTCAGACATCTGATATCAGCCGTTTGATGTTTGTTGTCTCATGTCTGATGTCAGGCTTCTGATGTTTGTTGTCTGATGTCAGATGTTTGATGTCTAATGTCTTTTCTCTGATGTTAGACCTCTGATATCAGACCTTCGCCATTTGTTGTCTGATGTCTGATGTAAGATGTCTGTTTGTTGTTTGATATCAGACGTCTGATATCAGAGGTTTGATGTTTGTTCTCTGACATCTGATCTCTCATGTTTGTTGTCTGATGTTTGATGTCCAATGTCTGATTTGTGACATCTGATGTAAGACATGACGTCTGATGTCTGATGTCAAACGTCTGATGTAAGATGTGAGATATCAGACTTCTGATGTCCGATGTCTGATGCCAGACGTCTGATGTTTGTTGTCTGACGTCTGATGTCAGACATTTGATATAAGACGTCTGATGTCTCCTATGAGATGTGTGATGTTAGATGTATAATGTCTGATGTTTGTGTTGTCTGATGTCTAATATGATACATCTGATGTTTGTTTTCTAATGTCAGTCGTCTGATGCCAGATGTCTGTTGTTTGTTATCTGATGTCAGACGTCTGATGTTTGTTGCCTGATGACTGATGTCAGATGTTTGTTTCCTGATGTCAGACATCTGATGTCTGACATCTGATGTCCAACGTCAGATGTCTGATATCAGATGACTAATGTCTGATGTCAGACGTGTCATGTTTATTGTTGGATGTCAGAAGTGTAATGTCTGAAGTCTGATGTCAGACATCTTTTCTCTGATGTCAGACTGAGACATATCAGACGTCTGATGTCAAACATTTGATGTCTGATGTTTGTTGTCTGATGTCAGATGTCATACCATCTGATGTGTTTTCTACTGTCAGTCGTCTGATGTCAGATGTCTGTTTGTTGTCTGATGTCGTCTGATATCAGAAGTTTGATGCTTGTTGTCTGATGTCTGATGTCAGACGTCTGATCTTTGTTGTCTGATGTTAAAAGTATGATGTCAGACATCTGATGCCAGATGTCTAATATCAGACGTCTGATGTCTCATGTCAGACGTCTTTTCTGTGATGGTAGACATCTTATATCAGGCGTCTGATGTTTGTTGTCTGACATCTTATGTCTGATGTCTGTTGCCTGATGTCAGACGTCGGATATTTGTTGTCTGATAGACATCTCATCTGATGTTTGTCTTCTACTGTCAGTCGTCTAATGTCACATGTCTGATGTTTGTTGTCTGATGTCAGACATCGGATATCGGAAGTGTGATGCTTGTTGTCTGATGTCTGATGTCAGGCATCTGATGTTTGTTGCCTGATGTCACATCTGATGTTGTTGGATGTCAGACGTGTGATATCTAATGTCAGACGTCTTTTCTGTGATGGTAGACATCTTATATCAGAAGTCTGATGTTTGTTGTCTGACATCTTATGTCTGATGTCTGTTGCCTGATGTCAGACGTCTGATATTTGTTGTCAGCCTGATTTCAGACGTCTTATATCAGAGGTTTGATGTTTGTTGTCTGATAGACATCTCATGTCAGATGTTTGATGTTTGTTGACTGACATCTGTTGTGTGATGTTTGTTGTCTGATGTTTGTTGCCTGATGTCAGACGTCTGATGTCTGCTGTCAGATGTCTGATATGTTTAGTTAAATGTTAGACCTCTGACGTCAGACATTGGACATCAGACTTCTGACATCAAACATCAGACGTCTGACATCAGACATCAGAACACAAACATAAGATGTCTGATGAATATCAGATAAAAGACATCTGACATCAGACGTCTGATATCAGACGTCAGACTACAAATTTCAGAAGTCTGATAAACATCAGAGGAAAGACGTCGATATGAGAGGTCTGACATCAGATGTCTGATATCAGACAACAAACATCAGACGTCTGACATAAGACATCTGACATCAGGCGACTGACATCAGACAACATGACGTCTGAAATCTAACAACAAACATGAGACATCTGACATAAGACATCAGATAAGAAACATCAGACGTCTGATATCAGACAATAAACATCAGATGTCTGACATCAGACATCTGACATCAGATGACTGACATCAGACAACAAACATCAGACAGGAGACATCAGTCATCTGACATCTGACTTTAAGCATCTGCCATCAGACATCAGACAATAAGCATCACAGTTCTGACAACAGACATGGGACGTCTGACATCAAGCAGGAGACATTGACCATCAGATGTCTGAAATCTGACAACAAACATCAGACGTCTGACATTGGGGATCAGACAACAAACATCAGACGTCAAACATCTGTCATAAGACATCAGTTGTCTGCCATCAGACATGAGACAATAAGCATCAGACGTCTGACAACAGACATTGGATGTCTGACATCAGACAATAAACATCGTTGGACATCAGACCTCTGACATCCAACAATAAACATCAGACGTCTGACATAGACATTAGAAGTTGGACATCAGACTTCAAACTTCAAACGTCTGATATGAAACGTCTAACGTCAAAGAAAAGACTGATATCAGATGTCTCGCATCGAATGTCTGACATGAGACATCAGACTTCTGATAACAGACATCTGACATCAAATGTCAGACGTCAAACATCAGATGTCTGAAATCTGACAACAAACATCAGACATCAAACAACAAATATCCGACGTCCAGCGTCAGACAACAAACATCAGACATCTGACATCAGACATCAGAACACAAACATAAGATGTCTGATGAACATCAGAGAAAAGACGTCTGATATGAGACGTCTGACATCAGACGTCTGATATCAGACAACAAACATTAGACGTCTGACATCAGACGACTGACATCAGACAACAAACATCACACGTCTCACATCAGACACCTGACATCAAACAATAATAATGATAATTATAATAATAATTGTTATTATTATTATACTCTGGGCATCCAGACATTTGCACTGCCATAATAATAATAATAATAATAATAATAATAATAATAATAATAATAATAATAATAATAATAATAATAATAATAGTAATAATAATCAACCCCCACTATAATTTTTTAAAGAAATGCAATGTGTGCCTTACACTGTTCTTTACTTTAACAAATAACAGGTTGTACTGTGGATATAGAATGGAACTCCGTGGTTTATTCCAACATGGCAACAAATGAACAATTAGCAGTGGTCTATCAAAAAAATGCGGAAGAACTTGGCTTGTCTTTTCCATCTCGCGAGGAGCAAGCCAAAGCAACATTTGGCTCTACAGATATGGGTAATGTCTCCCATATAAAACCTTCCATTCATCCTTATTTTGATATCGACACATCTGTTGCCAATCACACGCGAGATTTTACCGAAGCAGCTGGTAGGACAGAAGCTCATGTTAGAGCTATTACGCAAGCGAAGGTAATGGCATTGACTGCCTTGGATATTTTGTGGAATGATGAAGTCTGGGGATTAGTTGTAGCTGATTTTGAGAAAAATCACGGAAAAAATTAAACCTAGAGTCTAACATTCGTAATTGGAACATTATTTTTTCCTTGCTCACTGAGATGTCATCATCCTAGACCTGTGTGTCCTGAACAAACAGTGAATTAACTAAACGAACTTTTTTGCCTCAAAGCTTCCTTATCCCATATAACTTGTTTTGTTCGGCAAGGAATCTAACAAAAAACTTTTTGCAAGGTTATGAGTTTGATTTTTGCTGCGAACTTTTTACATGCCAAACCAAGTAGGCAGTGGATAATATTGTTGAAATGTCAGCAAACGTTCTCTAGCTAAAAAGGTCAAAGAGTGTAAACTTTCGTTTGCCTGATCTGCGGTCTTCAAGGGGGCAAATGATTTAAAAGGGAAAATTGTAATATATACAGTGCGCTAAAAATATACAAGGGAATAATTAAGAATTTTTGCTAAAAAGAATGTTTGAATATTGTCTTTACCCAAGTTAGGAATAGGAAATTTAGTGATAAGGGGGTAAAAGCAAGAGCGCAGATTTATTAAGTTTGTCTACTCATGAAACTCGTTATTTAGGAGAGAGAAAAACTGGGGATCCACAGAGAAAAACCTCTTGCAGCAAGGATGATCTCTAACAACAATCTGAGTACCTAGATAATGCATTCTAATAAGAGATTAATTCTGAATGGCACTCTAAAAATTGTAATTCGTTCATTAACCCTAGGGCAACTTTAACTTTCAACCGTTAAATTTTCCCTCAAAATTCATAGTTAAAATCTTACCATTTTATTTTTTGCCCTCTTGTTGGTATTTCAACCCTTTTTGACATTTTTAACTCGAAAGAGTCAGTTTTTCATCTGGTCGTGTTGGGTTGTTAATCAATAAAATGTATATCCTCTTTATTTTAAAATCCTTCTTCTCTAATAAAGAGTGACTAGAAAAGAGGGGAGACAGGTATACAGGCAGCTAGTCAGACTTATTAACAGGTATGTAGTAAGGGACTTGTCAGAAATTAGCAGTGGGGGAGGGGGGGTGGAAACAGAGGGTGGGTCACAATTTTTTGAGACTCCGAAAAGGGAGGGATCATGAAAAATCTACCATTAAAAGGGGGAGGGTCATGCAAATATATGCCCATGATCATGTAGAGGTTCACCCACAGAAGAAAAAGGAAGTTCTTTATTTGATAAAAAAAAAAGAAAAAAAAAGAACAATGGAACATTATGGATATAGACTGTGAAGTACTATGACAAGAATTAAACAAACATCTACTTTTCATTTATAACAATGCCATAGAGTCTTATTGCATTTTTATCCTGCATTTTTATTATGAATAATGTTATTAATGTTATTAGAGTTTCGGCTATCCTTTTCATCACTGTCTTCAGCATTACCATCAATGCTGGTGTGAGCATCTTGATCATCATCATTTTTGTCATGAGCATTGATACAATCACTTTCATCATCATGATACCATAACTTTCATCATCATCATGATTTTCATTTAAGTTGAAGCGTAGATATTGCTTGATAATTTCCTGTGATTCATTGGTGAACAATCCCTTCTCAAAGGCATATTGGATATATGGCCTTTGTGTTTTGAGGAGCCCACTTATTCCTTCATAATGAAGAGATAATGGACCAATAGGCTCTGTAACATCATGCCACTCTTGCTGAGGTGCAATGGTTTCAATAACTCTTTTGCAGTTTACTTCCATTCTTTTTGTCCTAGCTTTAGTTGCTTTCGTTTTATTTTGTTTTTGTTTCCTTTTTTTTTCTTGTTGGCTTGGAGTACTTTAAGAGCACCTGGAACATTTAAGAGCCTGGAACATTTTTCTTTCAATTCTGTAAGGTGGGGAGGGTCATGATATTTTAGGCTAAGCTCAAGGGGAGGGTTAGCAAATTTCACGTCCATTGCAGGGATGGGTCACCTAATTTCCGAACCCAAATTTAAAATTCCCACCCCCCCTTCCCCCTGCTAATTTCTGACAAGTCCCTAATAGAATAGACCTTTAAGGCCCTGTCAACACTTGTCCGGATATTTTTGAAACTGACGGGGCGTTTTTTTTCTCCGTTTTTGGAAACGATGCGTGTCCACACATACCCGTATTTGAATCGCTTTCGCCCGTTCACACAAAAACGCGAAAATGATCATGGTGATACGATTGCATGCCTTACAGAGCATGCGCTGCATAATGTATTCGAAAACCTTTCGTTCATCCTCATCTGACATCAGACACCTCAGATGTCTGATATTAGACGTCTAATATCAGACATTAAACATCAGAAGTCTGACATCAGACTTCAGAAAACAAACATCAGATGTCTGATGTGTGTTGCCTGATGTCAGACAACAAACATAAGATGTGTGATGTCTCATGTCGGACGTCCAATGTCAGATGTCTAGAATCAGACGTCTGTTGTCTTATGTTTGTTGTCAGACATCAGACGTCTGACATCGGGCAACAAACAGCAGACGTCTGATATCTAATGTCAAAGGTCTGATGTTTGTTGTCTGAAGTCTGATTTCAGACGTCTGTTGTCAGACATCTGATGTCAGGTGTCTGATGTTTGTTGTCTCGTGTCAGCCGTCTGTTGTCTGATGTGAGACATCTGATGTGTGTTGTTTGATGCCAGACGTCTGATGTCACATGTCTGATATCTGATGTCTTATGTTTGTTGTCAGACGACTAACATGAGAATCTGACATCAGGCAACAAGCATCAGACATCAGACATCTGATGTCAGACATCTGTTTTCTAATGTCTGATGTTTGTTGTCTAATGTCAGACGTCTGTTCTGTTATTTGTTGTCCGATGTCAGATGTCTGCCCTTGCATCAGGAACCCGGCCGGACAGGGGTCAAAGCCCGGCCTGAAAGCCTGGGTGAGACTGGGCTTTGGCCGGGTTGGCCAAGGGAGTAAAATACCGGGAAAGCCACGGCCACAGCGGCAGCCCAGCCTGGCTTGGGCACAGTTGGCTGAGGCTAAAATTGAGAAGGCAAAGCAAAAAACATAAATGCAGGGATGTCAAAAGTAGCCGGCTACCGGCAAAAATGGCCGCGTACATGGTTAGTATCAGCTGGCTACTTGGCTTGGCTTTTCTTTACAGATTGTGTTTTTTAACTAAAATATTCCTGGACTGGCAGCTTACTTTGACAACTCAGCTGTGTACTTCAAAACTTCCTGACAACCCTGTAAATGGTCTGCATGTCCTGGACAGGCCACGGTTGGCCAGGGTCAAAACTGGCAAAAACTGGCAAGGAAAAGCAGAAAATTTTGGCCTGCAATTGGCCTGCACTGGCTGGGGCCAAAAATTGGTCAAGCTTGCCAAAGAACCTCGGCCAGCCTGGCCAGGATCAAGTTACAGGGTCTCAGTCTTATAGAGTATAGTCCACACAAGCTGCCTGACTTGCACTATTATTAACATGACTATTATGGCAATGCTGAGTCAAAAGCCAGTTTAAGCATATCAAACATATTCTACCTTAACTGTGTCTATTCCATGTTTTAAACACACATATATACAACAAATGAATTTCTTTAACTTTGTCCATGATTATGATGACTTATAAAACTGAATGACCTGATAAAAAAGCATAGTACATTTTGGTTTTTGTTTGTTCATGTCATTCACCCAGAAAAAAAAAATAAAATTAAAATTAAAATTAACATCTCAAAAAAACGCTTAATCATTTGCGGTATGTTTCATTGCCACTCCTGGCCCTGTTTGTTGTTTTTTTTTTTTATGAAATCTCCAAAAATTTCATTAATTTTGGAAACTTCAGTGTTGGAGAACCCTTCGTCACAGTAGCTGCAAATGAAACAAAAAGGAGACTTAACGGTAATAAATAAATAATGGAAGAACTAAGGCTTTCAGTTACCAAAAAGGGCGGTCCAGACCCCTTCCTCCCACACCTCTCACTGGAGTTGCCCCTGGAATTTTTCTTTGGAACTTCCCTGGAACAGAAGCAGACAGTCTGTTTGGGTCCGGCTTTATAGTACTCTGAGATGATGATCCCGAACCTGAATTATGCTCACGGCAAAATCATCCCCACCCCCCACCCTGTCAGCAGGGCCTTTCTTTTGCTTGCTCGATGAAAGATCGGATCAATTTAGTTTTCTGGGAAACTGTCCACCTACCCCTCCCCTAACCCACCATTTTGCCCCAAGTGAGAAGCAAATGTTAACGTTGAGTTAGGGGAGGGGTAGGTAGGCAGTTTCCCAGAACCTAAATTGATCCGAAAGATCTTTGTTGAGCAGGCTTGACGCAACCTAGTCCCTAGGCATTCTCTCCTGGCCCGTTGTCGGCGCGAAGTCTGGGAAAGAGCGGGGAGTCTCTCTTGGTGACGTCACAGGTCACGGTAGAGTCCAGGATCAAGTCCAGGATTGACCGAACCGAGAACTCCGAGGGACTAGGCTGGGCAGGCTGGGCTTGACGCGATTCAGGACGAGCCTCTTTTTTCCTCCAACAAGAAGATGGCAAAACAGACTCTGCTTGCAGTGTTTATTATCCCCATCCCTTCATAGTTTATCTACTTTCTAATACAGTAACAAAACAGAAGTAAACAAGGCACATCCCTACTTTAAAAATAAATTTAAGGATTTTCACACTACATGTACTAAACTGCATGTATTTATTTATTTAATCATTTATTTACAGACGTTGTAGAATAAGACACATCCCCACTTTAAAAATTGATCTAAGGACTTTCATACGACATGTACATGATCAGTACAAATTACGGATAAAAAACGATGTTTCGACCGATCTTCGGTCATTTTCGAGTAAGTAAAAAAAACGAGTGAAAAGAAACGTAGAAAATTCTTATCTCTAGTTCAGTGCTAGCCTTCCTTTTTCGGACTTTTTTGAACTTACTAAGGGTAATCGAACTAGAACCAATCACGATTATAAGCTGTATGTAAAAGTTGCCATCCTAAAATGTTACAAATATTCTTTCTTTGTACGGATCGTTAAAGCGCGGAATAACTTGCTTAAAGATGTTGTGCACGCAGGATCGCTGACTTTATTTAGCAACACATTAAGGATTTATATGAATATTGATTAATGCGACTGTAAATAGTTTCAATTACGATATGCAAATGATGTTTTTTAGTCTAGTTTTTAGGTTTTAGATTTTTCTCTGTGTATTCAATATTTTAGATTCCAGATTTTACCTTTTCATCTTTTATTTTGGGGAATCTTTTATACATGGTTAACCTCTAGATATCCCCTTTCGAGATATATTTTGTAAGTTTAGTTTTTATCTCTTGAATAAAATATTTTATTGCATTGTATTATATTGTATAGAATTAGCATATATATGTGTAAGGTGTAAAAATAAGTTAAGAACTATATAAGAAATGTTTGAAAATGATAAAGAATGAAACAAAGCATGCAGAAAAAAACAACAATAGAATTTAAAGATCTTAGAAATAATTTTAGCATTTTAAAGAAGTGTAAAAGCAAAGTTTACTGCCTGTTGCTTGAAATGTTTTTTTTTATTAATGAACTGAGACCTAGTCTTAATGTACAATCAGACTCAGCTCGTGCAAAAGTTTTTAAATAGCTCTTGTAATTAGATTCTATTGTTGTTTTTTTCTGCATGCTTTATTTCATTCTTGTATCATTTTCAAACGTTTCTTATAGTTCTGAACATATTTTTACACCTTACACATATATATGCTACTTTTAACTCTTTTTTTTTTACTGACTTTGAAAATGACCGAAGATCGGTCGAAAAGTCGTTTTTTATCCGTGATTTTTACATGTACATTAACTGTATTTATTCATTCAATCATTTATTTTAATACAGACGTTGTAGACCAGAATGCTTATTTTTCAAACGTTTTCGGAACCACTGCGCCTACTTGAAAGCTCTTCGGCCAGAAATTGTGGTTCAATTTTATTGTTTTTCTCTTTTTCAACATAGTTTTCCTTTTTTGGTATGGTAACGTATCAAATAGGTCCCGAACATGAAACGCGATATAAAAGTTAGTCTTCAAAAACCTAACGGAACTTTCTTTTATTTTCTAGTGTTCGGGTGCAAACTTTATCCACTACATTTTTTTCTCCCACGGCTTAACTGGAAAATATGTGCGTCCGCAAACAGTGGTGTTGCAAAAATAGATTTTATTTAACCTAGTGCTCATGGGAAATTTTGTAATTATAATATTTCTTGATTGTTTTTAAAACTCCCACTAAAATTCAAGTTTCGTAGCAGTAATACTTATTAGCATTGGCCGTGCATCTTGAGCTGTCTTTTCATAAAATAGGCATGCAGAGTTCATGTCTCACCCCCCGCCCCCCAAACAATTTTTGAAGATTCGATGACAGCAGCGAAAGAAACAAGCGTTTATTCACAAAATCAGCACCGGCAATTTTTTAGTCTTACATACCGCCGGGAGTCTTAACGTTAAGCATTGACTTTAAGAGAAATCTATTCAAATACTGCCTTTTTCTGTTAGTCTTTCCAAAAATATAACAACCAAACAGACTTCAGTGCAACGCAAATAAATATTGAACAACATGTTTATGGTTGCTTCTTTAAAATTTCCACTGAATTTCAGTGAGTTGAATAAATATGTTACTAGTTTACAGCAATTTACCATGGTAACGAGCGGTACAGACCTTGGGACTCTTTGTTTTATGGTAAGCCCAGGTGAAATCTGGGAAATTGTTATTTATTATTTATTGTCTGAGTGCTAGTCGCTGTACTCAGATCCATAATAACATTGCACCTGTCAATTCTGTGAAGGGTATTGACCAGAGTCAAGTTATATACGGCTGCGTTTTTCAGTGTGCTGTCCGAGGATCCTGTATCCCTGACACCGATTGAAGACTGGTTTAAGAAAAAATGCAGTTAACCGGTTAGTATAAAAACTAGACATAAAAAACCTAAACTAATTGAAATGTCCATTGTGGAACGTAAACTGAGATGCAATGTATGTCGATGCTGTCTTTCTTAATTTTAATATTTTTCCTTTGCAGCCCTTTGCGGTTTTGCGCTCATTTTACTGTTCGATGGTGCTGTCGGCCAAGGTGGATTACCCTGTAACCGCGATCAGGTAAGCACAGCATCCGTGTCTTCGTCCGTGTTGCAAACTCGTCTTGCTAGGCTCCATCATAAGTTCTCGTTACCACGAAATGGCGTAGAAAAGTCATTTTCTTGTAGTCAATTAAGGTTCTTTTGTCCTATGGCAAAAGGCAATATTATTGTTGTAACAGCGTCTCAAAAGTGTTCTAATCACTACATTTTGGGTGTACGTGTTTTAAGCGCAATTTCTATGACTGACTTATCGATTTGGTTTTATGTAGTCTTTTACGAGTGAAATGCTCTACTGTTTAACGGTGTAAGGCCGGTTCTTTAATGGGAATGAAGCCAGTGTTTAACAAAACCGTGTTCTAAGCCATTTTCAGTTTCCTCAACGCTTTTATCTAAACACCGATTATCGTGAACAGTTTCATGCAACCAACAGGGCAGACCGAAGAAACACTTGTCTTCCTTAAAATAACTCACTTAGAAAGAGATCTTAAGGTCTAGTGATTTCTTAGACCGTCGCCTAAGTTAGACTTGTTAGACGTAACCGGTGCAATTGAAATGTTATTTTCTTGGTTTCTTCCAAAGTGAAGCTTTTATTGTCAAATGCCCCGTGGTATTTTTAACGCAGAAGTTCTCCTTCGCCCCATTGTCTATGATAGCACCTCCTGTGTAGCATATAAATATATTTATACAACCATCCTTAAGATTGTCCAAACTCCGGCGATCTTTTTATCTTCTCATCAAACCTCGAGTGAAAACTATAAGTGCGAGGAAAGGTAAGCTCTGTGGCAATTTCAGTCTGCAGTCGGATAAACCTGACAAAAAAAACCAGAAACTGATGTCATCAAAAACTCATTCTTGCATCTTTTTTCTTGGCTTCGATACCTGCTGCGAAGGTGCAATTAGTCAGGTCGATGACGCAATGTTGTCTGTAATAGCAAGTTGAAGAATCCCGTCCTTGAAAATTCTACGGCAAATTTGTAATCGCTACGCAAATTTATAGCCTTGTGTAGCATAGCACCGAGATGTTTGCAGTACCAAATTACTTGATTCACTGTAAAATTTCAAGACCGTGAGCTTGTGGTAAACTTACGACTTTCTTCGACTTAGCCTTGCCTTGCCTCCCCCTTGAATGTTGTTGTTCTCAAGTTAATTGTTTTAGAATCTTAATTTTACTTTTCAGATTCCTTTGTCTCGTAGTTTATATTTTGGGTCACTATTTTACGCTAAAATATTGCAGTTTGAGCTCAGTAATATATTTTATCCCTGAAAACTAAATAAAAAAAATAATCACTAATTTTTCGCTTTTGGCAATATATGTTCTGTATTGGACTTCATTTTGCTCCAAGCAAATCCGAAATTGATTTGGAAGTTACAACTTCAACTCATTCGTGTTGTTATTTTCTTTATTTTCTGTTTGTTTGTGTTTGGGGTTCACTGTTGAAGTGCTTATTCCGAATTCGAGTTTAGCAGGTGTTTTGAATTTTGTCCACAAATTTCCATGATCCTGGTATTGCTGTTAATTACGAAACTAAAAGAAAAGAAAGGTTTAATTTATCGACACTCTTCAACCAATAATGCAACGTCTACAAACAATACCGGCGATATATTTTGTTTCAATTTTGGGAAAACACGTCCAACTTTTTTTGCAATAATGGAAGATGCTAATTAAGTGGCATTTTACTGGATTGCAAACTGCGTTTTATTGCAAGTTAAGGCAAAAAAACAGGAAGACTTCTAAAATTTTGTTAAGCAGATGCTAGGTGGAGACGTCACTGCATTTAGTTTATTTACCCACGCTTCGCAGTGGAGAAGGTACCCAGCTGTCAGATTCCTTTTTAAGACTTATGAAACGCTGAATTTTTTAATTTGATGATTCCTTTTTTGAGTTGTGAGAATTAAGAGCTTAAACTAAGAGCCTTTTAAAGAACTATACCATTGCTATGGTTACCTGCCTGCTTGCAACTTGTTCAAACGATAGGAATTTGATAGAGCTAAGCACAGGGGTGCTTTGAAAAAGGTATGGTTGTCATTTTCACAGCTCAAAGTTTGATATTTTTCCCACATGCCACTAGTTCAGTTACGTAAACGTTTTGAAACTTTTTTGGTGTTTTAACGGAACCTGCAGTCGTCATGGCCTACGCGATGTCTATTGTAAGGAGCGTGAATCCCATTAGCTTGAATTTCTTAACATAGCTTAGATCCCTCTGAAAGTTCATGTAACACTTTTACTGCTCAGGACTTTTTAATTCCTTTTTTCTCGGATAACGTTTTTTCTTAGAATGGTCCGCCACAGGCGGTCAAGTAAGTGCGAGAAAATCACATTGTGTAAGACGCTTGCTCACTATTTTACTTAGACATGACCAGAAAATGTCTTTTATATCTTAGGTCCACTGCCTGGCTGAGCAGAGATGTGTCCCACGCTTTGAGTTTCGTTGTAGAAATCAAAGCTGTGGTCAAAACGAAACGCTCTGTGGTCCACTGCATGAATTAAATTGCACTGTTGGAAAGACGTGTCCTGAAAGAAACGAAAGCAACCCTTTCGGCGGGGGAGGCAACCCTTTGGGTGGGGGAGGCAACCCTTTCGGCGGGGGAGGCAACCCTTTGGGTGGGGGAGGCAACCCTTTCGGCGGGGGAGGCCACCCTTTCGGCGGAGGAGCCAACATGGGTGGTGGCAGTAACTCTTTTGGCCCAGGCAACCACGATGACGATGATGATGACGGTGGCAACCCGTTCGTCCCCCCTCGTCGCCGATCTCGGGACGGAGAGCAGACTATGGATCAGGGCAATGGCTTTGGACACAATCAAAATGCTACCAGATTATTGAGGAGGAAGATGCAAGGTAGATCGTTTAATCGCTCGATCATCGAGGAGGTTATTGAATCTGAAAATTACGAAAACGATTCGTTGGGTGGCCAGAGTCCGAAAGAGTGCGGTAGATTTTATTCCCCTGGTATCAAGGACGCCGTAAGGATGCTGATGCGTCTGATGGATCTAGATGACCACTGTTGCGAAATGAATGAGAATCCTCAACGTTTCGCGCGGAAACTTCGGAATATCACCCGACAGTTTGAATGCCCCAAGCGAACCAAATTCTGCCCTTTCCGCTTTCTTGTTAAGGGTAACGGATGCATACCCATGGGAAAATATTGCTCCGCGGTGCACGGAAATCACTTTGACGAACCCTGGTCTCCTTGCCGAAAAATGCCCAAAAAAGGATTTAAGTACTGCAAACTTTTCAATGCTGAGATTCCTAAGGAGATGCCGTGTTCTCATCGTCCTGTAATGAAGTGGATGGCAATGAACAACACCCGCATTTCCGTCACAGGAAAGAAGTGTCGTAACGGCACAAGATTCTACCTTTCGACGTTTTACTGCAGACCCAGGGGACAGGGCATTGGATTTGAAGATCTAACTCGTCGAGCATCCAAGTTTCTTTGCAACCCCTCCAAACGTCTTTGTGTCGGATGCGGAGTTAGCTGCCGCTCGAAAGAGAGAGAGTGCCCTCGGAGAGCCAACATGAGCATGGCAATTCGTGAAGCTGCGCTTAATCTTGAGCCAAGTAAGTTGCCTTTTTTTTAATCCCTTTAAGCCCCAATATCCAAATGCAAATTCTCCAGACTGACCTCCATACATTTCCTTAAAGAATTGGTTGAGAGAATATGTTTGCTGATCAAAGCTTTTCCCATCAGATGATCATTTCATTAATTCTCACAACATCTTCTCTAGTTTATATACTGATATTGTTAGGAGAAAATAGACTTTGGTCTCTCTTGGGACTTACAGGGTTAAATTGGCCATGTCCCCAGGATATTGCTGTTCTCGGACAATTCTGTGCTGAAGTCATTACTTGGTGCCTTAACCCGTACACAGCATGCTCCTGTAGGAAACGAATTTCATAAGGGAGCACTCAACATAATAACTTTTTTGGTGGTCTTTGCAGGCATTGCTTTAAAACTTGAAGACGGTGACCCAGCTTTTTCAAGTATCATCTACTTCCATCCTTGCCATCCTTTGCAACAGACAAAAGGAATCAGTTTCAATGCCTAAATATAGTCTGAAATAACAAAACAGGATCATTATTTGTGCAATTCAATTGATGTGAAAAAGGTTTTTTCCTCAAAAAAAGACAGCAAATAGAGTGACATGGCTTCTTTCAACCAAGCACGTTTGTATTACCCTGCTGTATTACGGGTCGTTATTTCCCATGTTGCCACCATAGTAAATTCACTTTGTACTTTTGTCCACAGGCGTGATCAGAGATGATGCTCTGCGTAACCTTTCCAAAGCAGGTAAAGTAATGATCTCAATGTCGCTAGGGTTTTACAGCAATAGTGTCATGCGCAAAGAAGTTTAAACAGAAATAAGGTGGAATGATGGGGCAGGGAGGGAAATGCTCAGTCCCGCCTTTGAGATACTGTAGTTATTCGATTAACCTCCCTGGGCGCTTTTTATATTATTGGACCTTGAGAGTGGTCGCTTATTCGACGCTGGACGCTTATTAAATTTTCACCATTTTCAGCAAGTGTAGTATGTTTATTTCGCAAAAAAACTATAAATAGCAGTAACAAAACGCAAAGACGTAAGAAAGAAAGGTTTCTGTAAAATACTCCGAAGAAAACTCCGTCTTCGGAGAAGCACTTATTCAATTTCAATAAGTGGGAGGGGGAAGGGGTGGGTGGGCACTAATTAACTTTTTCCGCCTTTAGCATGGGTGCTTACTCAAGGTGGGTACCGATTCGAGATTGGGCGCTTATTCGAATAAATACGGTATGTGAATTTTTTCTCCAAAGTTACTTTTTTACCAATTTAAACGCCTAATAGGAAGTTGGTTTCCAGAGAGGTCCTCAGACGTTTATTCAGTGTTGGCAAGAGAGAATTCAACAGTTGCCATCAAAATATTCTGCACTGTTTGCTTTAATTTATTTGCGTTTGGACTTGGTGACATTTCAAATAATCGATAAAAATGCGCGGAGGTCTCAAAAATTAGACTTCCGTTTAATAAAAACCTCTTAAAATAAGATTCACGTACTTCAGCCAACGCCCTAAGATTTCCTCTCCGTTTTCCTTACTTTCCTATTCTTTTGCCATATTTGTGGCAATGCAGCGCATCTATAGCTTCAGTTAGTAAATTTGAGTGTCGGAATAGGTAGCTGTATAATACCAGTTAAAAGAGACCTTTTCGAAATAATTTGCATGGGGCTATTTGCTTTCTCTTAAATATTTACATTGATCGCTATCAGGATTGAATGCGTTAATCTACCTGCCAGCTAACATCCTGTTCACAGACCCTCTATTATTACTCTTTTGTTCGATCGTCAAGCGTGCGTGTGAGAGCCGCGGTGGATTTATTGACCGCTAGCCCAAGCGAATGGGTGTGAGGAAATGAAAAAAAAGAAAAATAACGACAGTTAGGAAAACGTCACTTAACAAGTGAATTCGCGCTACCTCAAACGTTATCTCGTTTGTTCCATTTAGTTTAATTTGTCCATTCGTTATTTGGCAAACGTTGACAGATTTTTCTGGAGTTGAGTTCTAGAAGACTGTATCGAAGTTCAGGAAAAGGAAAAGAAAGTCGTTCTCTTGTGTTGTGTTGAAGGTAATGAAAAAATACAAGAAAGTGTGCCGCACGTGCAAAGTTGTTGTTTCGCTAATCCAATGCTACTGCTTCTTTGACTTTCAATGACGTCGCCGTCGTCGTTGCTTAAACTCCCTTTTGTGATCCATAGGTTGGGCTCCGTTTTGCCTTCTTAGCAAAAACCTCCTCGCGCGCACTTTAGATGGGCTTTTAAAGTGCTTTTCTCGTGATGCACACTGTCGCCAAACCGGCCTCAAGAAACACCTCAACTGTATGGCAGGCGAGGACTACTGTCAGAAACTCCACTCGTTTGCTCGTCGCTTCTCCACAAAGACTCATGACAATTGCCGTCTTCTGAGGACTAATCCAGCCAAGTTTGAAGAGAAAATAAAAGGAAATTGGAGTGAGAAACCCTGGGGAGGAAAATGCCATCGTGGGCTTGTTTTTTGCCCGATTACGATGCGTTGTATACGTAAAGATAGCATTTCCAACTGCAACGCGAATGAAAAGTTTTGTCAAAAGGATGATGAGAGTATCCCTTGGAAGAGGAATCATTCCCTGGAGGCAGGGGACAAATTCTGCCACCGTTTCCTCAGGTATGCAAGAGTTCTTTAGGCATGCCTACTTTTAAATGGTCGATGAGCATAATAAACCGTATATTCTCGATTAAACGGAGCCCTCGAATAAAAGCCGCATGTAAAAGGAAAATTATCAATAAAGGCGGCACCCAATCAGAACAGTGCGGCGTTTATTTGAAGATATACGAAAACTTCTGTACATCTTCGTATTAATCTGAGCAAAAAAAAAACAAAAACAAAAACAAAGCGAGTCATTGGAACTCTCATAAACATCCTTCTGTGTACATAATACATGTCATTTATCGTAGTGATAAACTCTGCCGATCATTTGCGGTCGATAGTGGGGATCTTTTGCGGTCGACGATCATCTGTGGTCCATTTTGGGGATCAATTGCGGTCTGGGGATCATTTGCGGTACTGTATAGACCTTCCTGGCTCCAGTAGCAGTGACCTTGGCTCGTTTTGTCACTGAATTCACCAATTGTTTTCATTTGTACCAACACCTTAGAAAAAGGGTATTGATGTTACATCATTGTACTCTAACTTAACCCTCTACTAGCCTGACACGTCTCTATTAACACGGACATTAGAGCATTCATCTTAGAGAGATTTGACTATTGTCTTAAATTTAAAAAAAAAGCAACATGAAATAAAAATACAAATCACAACAAAAATACCTTAAAGAGACTTGAAGGAAAACCTTGACAGGCTAAAAGTGCTCCTCATTTCTTTAGAAATGTCCGAGTAACTGAATTTATGACAGTGTGAGTTAATTCAATGATATAAGTTTTTGATGTTTCTTTTCAGATGGGTCTATTACTAACTGTTACTTTTCACCCGCAGCCCTGCCCTTAACAGCTCCTGTTCTTTTGGTGTATTGCTAAATTGGCTGGAGCGGAAAAACAAAAGCTGCTCTCCTTTTGGTCACTGCTGTCCTAGTGGCAAGAATTTCTCACTGTCGCGAATGAGGTGTGTGGGTGACCCAAAAGACGGATGGGACCAGAGACCGGAATTTAACGAAACCAAGTGTGAAGATGATGATCGTGTGTTTTGTCATCGCCAGCATGCTTGCCTTCCTAAACACTCCAACTGCACCAAACCGACAAGATTCAACTTCTTCAATGTCAGCCAGTTTGCCAACCGGTCAGGTAAGTGTCTTCTTGTCATTAGATAGTCCCTAATAGGGTTATTTAAATCTCTCCATCCCGACTTAAATTTACTCTCAACCCCGTAATCCCAATGGCTATTTTTGGTATCCCCCATGCCTTGCATTCTTTCAATCCCGAATCTCGCTCCCCCCATTTTGTATGAAAATCCCGAATCCCGAATTCCAAAAGTTCTTTGTTTTCCAATAGCATTGAAGACACTGATTTTCTTATACGAACATTGTATTGAAAAATATAAAGCTTTGGAACCTGTTATTCACTGTTATTTGATAGTCCTTAATAGGTTTGTTTAATCCCTCCATCCGGACTTAACTTTTCGCTCAAACCCGTATTCTCGATGGTTTTCAGCATCCCGCATCCCGCTCATTCCCAACTAAGCCAACCAGGCCACATACTTTTGACACATGATACTTTTTCCTTCATGTAGGTTATGCGGCCCTGTGCCAACTTCGGGTTACCTTTTCTGCATGTTTGGAAAATCGTCTGAGGAAGTGTAGACAGTTTCAGTCCCGACAGAATGGTACTTGTCGCGCCAACATCGATTGCCCTGAAGATAAGGAGTTCTGTCCTCGCAAAGTAAGGTGGGTATGATCTCTGAACATCCAGCTTATGTTGGTATTAATGATCAAGAAAAGTGGATAGGATAACATGAAGTGAAGGAGGTACAGTGAAAAGAAAGGGTAAGTCTTAGTTATAATAAGGCAAGATGAATTAAAATGAGATGAGTTGAAGTGATGTAATGTAAAGCAAACGGTAGGGAATCAAAAGCCGAGTAAAACAAAGCAAATTTAGTAAAATTTGATGACTAGCGGTTAGTTTACATGGTCTAAAGGGAATTGTTGTAAAACAACTTTAAGCGAAGTTGGAAATAGCGTCTGAGGATCAAGCGGGGAAATTCCACACTGATGACGATTCATTACCCAGATTTGGGTATAGTCCTTCCCAGAAAAACCAATGAGAAGCACTACCCAGATATGGTTAGTGATACGTCATCAGTATGGAATTTCTCCGCTCGTTCCTCAGACGTCATTTCGCGGGGAAACTACGTCGCCAAACGTCGCCTGTTTTCTCAAGCTACGTAGGAGGTAACCCTCAGTTGTTGTCATTTTAGATGCGTTCCAAGGGGAAACTGCACAAAGCATCCAAAACCAAAGGAATCGAGCCCACCAAGAACAACTTCAACCACAGCTACTACAGTTAGCCCGCAGTGCAATCCCGGGGAACCTAAGCTACAAATGTTGTGGGCGGGACAGTCCCTTAAAACACTGTTCACTCGCGAAAAACGTGTGGGTCTGTTGGCAGTTGGAGATTTTGCCTCCGAGTTACAGTTTAAACGAGGCGATGGTGGCTTGATGAAATACAAAGGATGTAGACAGGATGAGATGCGAGTGGTTTCAACTGATAGTGTATTGAGGTAAGCCATTGCTATTGGTGCGCATGAGTTGGTATTCTCACTCCATAGTAAGGTAGCCATGTGTAATATAGGACTGTGTAAAAAGTGTTCAAAAAATAAAGTGATGGGATTTGCAATAGATATGATGCTCGATCTAAGCTGATGTAGGTCTTATCCATAAAAGCAAATACAGTGTGCCGAACCCATTGTTAACATAGCATAATATCCAGATATCTGAATGGAGCTTTTCCTGTGAAGAGATTAACTGAAAGCGAACGACAAAAGCACTTTTTTGGATCAACAAAGCTCTCCAGTAAACAGAACTCGCCAATGTCGAGATCGAGGCTATAGATATGGCAACCAACCAGTCAGTCCAAGATGGCGTCCAAACCGTGAAATCGTATGTCATCCAGAACAATAACCGCGGGACATTGTAAATCCCGCGGGAACAAGACTCGAATAGTAGGCGTTCTCTTTTGTTGATCGCAACAACACATTAATAAAGATTAAAGCGGATCAGTGCAATTGTGGTTTTTGAAAACTTGTCATGGAAAAATTTATCAAAGACGCCATTTTCCAATGTAAATGACACAACAAGGACACTTTTTAAGAAACCACCAAGGGTGTATGGGAAATTTAAATTTGCCCGCTTTCCTAAATCATTTCCGGCACCCGCAATAGACCTTATTCACAATAACCGCCACCTTAAAGAGTGAAGGATTAACGTAACGTGACGTGGTTTCTCAGGGGCCAAAAAAGTGAAGAAAAAATGCCAATTCCGAAGAAATCGTGGTCGAGTTTGTTGCTCTAAACAACAGAAAATGAAGAACTTTTCCACCGGCCCATAATTTGCTGTTATCGTCATTAAGAAGAAATGCTCATTTTTTGAATTTGGTAACGACCGTAGATGTCCTCACGGCAAACAAGAATGACGTAAATTTTGTCCAAACTCAAAAATTGCATTTTTTTGTGACTATTAAATTGCCATTTCGTTTAGATTGACCGCCATTACTCGTGTTGACAAATTTTTTCATTTATTTGCCCCATGAAATACCATGTGACTTGGCTCAAACTCGTCCCCAGGTCTTCTTGGTTAACAGTTCGATAATCTGTCAATTTTGCAGCACGATTGACGTCATCAATTCAATATGGCGAAATTCTTCCAAATTTGGTCGACAATAGCTGGTTCTGATGAATTATGCGTGGGATTTTAGCCAATCAGAAACGGAGAAATATTTTGAATGAATAATAAGGTTTATTATAACAAACCGACAAAAAACAATAACACAAAGTGGTTCAATTCCTTTTAATAGACAATCGCAAGCGATCACTTCTGAAGAATTTGAGACAATTTTGCATAGAATGTGTTTTGGGATTTTCAGTAAAAAAAGGTTCACATCAGCTACCAGCCGTTCCTGTGTCTTCTTCGCCATTTCCTGGACTTGCGCTTCCAAAATTGTTTCTTTCGGCGAACCACTAGACGCTCGGCAGCTTCCTTGTCTAACTGAGCTTGCCTGCGAACAAAAAACCATCTGCCTAAATTAAACTTTGGTAACTTAACGTTCTGTCGCGCGAATAAAACGAGGCATTTTGTTTTGCTGCCATGCCATGGCGCCCCAAGTCTTTGTATTCCACAATAAGTAAGTTCAAATGAGTAAATTCGAAAAGCTGACATTTCAAGCAGTAAAAGCCTTTAGTCAGAGCGATTCGCTCTGACGAAGGTGCTGGCGCCGGGCGCTTGAAACGTCATATTATTACGGCTGTGTTTTTCTCCCCCACCGTCGCAACATCACAATTTCTTAAGAAACTAGATCCTTCATTCATTTCTATGTCAACACACACGAGGAGCAATACGAGGACGAGATTTAACTTAACGTTTTATCGCGAATTCTCCATAAAAAATATGCCCGGAAAGCTTGACGGAGGTTAAGCTCTTTACGAATCGCAAATAACCAAACCTCTAACCGTTGATAACTTGTTTCCGCCAATACAACATTCTTGCTAAGACTCAGAGTAGAATGACGACGGATATCACGTTTTCGCACTAAAATGACGCAGGCTCACGCATGCGCACTACTTAATAGGGAGCTTACGAATCGACGACTTTCGCACGACACCGCCGCTGGGTCACGTCATAGTTCTGCGTTGCCGTCCTGTTGAAATTTGAATTTACAATTCGTAGTAAAGACGACGACGCTGGTGCGGGCGGCAGGCAAATTTTCCCGCCGTTTCTGAAGTTTGTTTTCTTCTTTTCACAAGTAAGCTTAATTGTTCAACCAAAATGTCTAAATTCAGAAGAGAAACGAGAGCTCGTTTGCAGACGCTTATGGAAACAGATTTATAAAGGACCGAGTATTTCACTGTATTTGTTTCGTCAACAAACTCAAAGTTAGCTACGGATTTAGACAAGACAACAAAGGACGAAAGCAAGGCCCGTTCACAAACAGGGAGGGCATTTGCAAACTTGCTGAACAGCTGTAGTTTATGTGATGAGATAACCACTTGCAATGGTCTAGTTGTAGCTTTGGTACCAACTTGCCGATATGGTTTCACTCGGTGTTAAATTATGTTTGTCTACCGCTAGCTATAATGTTGACTCTTCGGGTCGTTACTCCAATGAAAACAGACAAACAAATCGAAAACATATGTAAAGAACATGTCCCTAATGAGATACCTGAATTATCTGGAAAAATCCGCTGAAGTATGTAGCGAAAACTTTGAAAATTAGTCTCACGTCCTGCTTTTTCTAGGACGCCGGCGAATAGCTGTCAACAACGGCGTCGACTTTAACGCGACGCCGGCAAGTGATATAAAGCATGCTCAGTAAGCCTGTCACGCAGTCCAACGGCGTCGTCGTGCGAAAGTCGTCAATTCGTAAGCTCCCCAGTAATAGTAATTATAGGGAGCCTAAGCAGCAACATTTTTGAGCGACGCACCTCAACCGAAAGTGAGCTTTTTTCTCTTTTGATATGCCGTGACGCTACCAAATTTGTATGGCTAAGTGTATTTACTCTTACAGAGACAATTTGCCCAAAAAGTTGGGATCAGTTTAGTTATCTGGGCAACCGAGCTCGATACGAGTTTATCGAGCTCGATATGTCAACCGGCCTCGATTTGTCGATACCGAGCTCGAGGCCTCTCACTTTTCCGGGGGGACAAAGTAAAAATGGTTATCGAGCTCCATGACTTATCGAGCTCCATGACTTATCGAGCTCGATGACTTATCGAGCTCGGTGACCTATCGAGCTCGGTGACTTATCGAGCTCGGTTTTTCAAGAGAAGAAAAAAGGGAAAAAATGGAAATTAAAGCAATAATAACCACATGGAGTACAAAATCTAAAAGGCCTTCTCGTTCTCAATTTGTTACTGACAAAAAACATTGTGTAGCTGGTAGATTAATGTTGTTTTGGTATTTTAAAAAAATATTGACAAAAAAAACATTCTTTTTTACCCTTTCTTCTTTTATATATTTGGCGCGAGACTACCGTCCGTCAACGGCGCGTGAATTGAACGATTTAATTTTGAATTCGTGTTCATTTGAAAAAATTTTAAGAGCCTTGTTTTTCCCGCTTGAATCTTTTGACTTCATAGGTACGCAATCAGCGATTCAATGCATCAAAGAAAATATACATTTTTTTGTCTCGTTTTTATTTGTAATGAATTTTGCTTGATTTTATGCGAACAACAAACTGCACCTTGCATGAGTCTAGTCTAGTCTAATTATTTTCGAAACATCTTCACCGCTTTGGCTGTTGGTTTGAGTGGAGAAGCTAAATTCCAAAAATGCTAGAACGTTTTTCATCATTGCCGTCGAATTTGGGTATTTTGTACTTAGGAAAAAGAGACGAAAAACACAGATAAACACGTCATCATGATTAAAAATCTTTATTTACGCACGGGCGTGCGGAAATAAAGATTTAATAGGACTTATATATGACAAGCACGCGTGCCACGTTATTATGCCTTTTGTCAATATTTTTTTTAAAATACAAAATATTTTTTGTAAAAGACTCTCCTCTAAAACAACATTAATCGACCAGCCACACAATGTTTTTTGTCGGTAACGAATTGAGAACGAGAAGGCGTTTTAGATTTTGTACTCGATGTGGTTATTATTGCTTCAATTTCCATTTTTTTCTCTTTTTTTCTTCTCTTGAAAAACCGAGCTCGATAAGTCACCGAGCTCGATAGGTCACCGAGCTCGATAAGTCATCGAGCTCGATAAGTCATCGAGCTCGATAACCATTTTAACTCTGTCCCCCCGGAAAAGTGAGAGGCCTCGAGCTCGGTATCGACAAATCGAGGCCGGTTGACATATCGAGCTCGATAAACTCGTATCGAGCTCGGTTGCCCAGGAAACTAAACTGATCCAAAAGTTGTTCAAAATCACGCATCAAGAATGCAAAAAGTGCACTTCCGGTTGACGAGTGCCACTCAAAAACGTCGCTGCTGAAACTCCCTATTGAGTCGTCCTAGTCTTAGATCTAAGGTCTTAGATCTTTATAAACTGTTTTGTAGCATGCTCACCTTCGTCGTCTTTGCCGGATGATGCAAATTGGGTATGTTAGGAGCCGGTAACCAATGTAGGCAAATAAATTCCAAATAAGGCAAGCGATCATCGAACTGCACATATGTTGCCAAAATGATTCATCACGGGGAAACAGTTTTTCTATAAAAGAGAGTAATAGAGTGCTAGATTCTTATAAGACGTTTCCTGCCCCAACTCTAAGCTTCGTGATATTTTCTCTCCCGCTACAACCGTTAAATTAAAATATTATGTAAAGTCTCATTTTTACAGACTAAAAGCCTTTAGTAGTTTAAAGGCCTCCAATTTCGTGTATGTGATAAGATTTTTAAAAATAAGCCCGAGTAACATTTGCGTCTTTTAGTGTACAGTTCTACCTGAGCTCCGATGCAAGATAGCTTATATTCCCAGTTACCTTTTTTTGAATTCGAAGCAACGCACAGCACAGCAGGGTCCCTTGAAGCGCTAATTTCGTCAAAAATGTTTGCCACTAGAAAAATTGGACCAGTTCACATAATAGCCGAATGATGTATGTAGTTCTTTTCACTGTTTCGTAGCCATTGCGGTTAAAAAGAAAACCGTAAGACGAAAAGTTAATTAGAACTCGATGCGTCTGTATTAATAAAGGAGCGGCGGTACGCGGAAAGAGACGATTACGTACGCAGACCTTTGGTCAAACCGAACCATAAGTTTTGATTGCGCGCCCATAGCGATTATGTAACAGCTATGGCAACTGAAAGCTTTGGTTGATTTCCAAAAATTACACAAACTTTGTTCAAATATCATGTTTAGAGTGATTTCTTCCTTTAAGGAATATTTTACATGCTACAAGTTAACTGAAAAAAAAAAAGAATAGTTTGTAAAGAAACAACGTGTTTAAAAATGAAAGGCCAATTATTTCTTAAATTTTCCACCTAGTAACCCAGTGAATTGTGCAATAAAATACTAAATATATCTCACCATCTTGTTCACATGCAAACAGCAGAAGACGTGCCTCCAAGTATATTGCCAGCGCAATGAGTAAAAATAGTGCTTTTCTGTTCATGAAGAAGCCGATTCCTTCTCTTGCTAACTTACATCCCGCGTAGATCCGCGCAAAAAAAACAAATTGCGAAATGTATTTATGACGTTAAAATAACTCTTAATGACGCAACGCACGCGCGCAATTAGTTTCTGGCGAGCAATAGCGGGGCAGCATACTATTCTTTATATAGCGGAAAAAGGTCCTAATCATACACAGCTGCTTGGTTTGGTATTAACTAAAACATTCACAATGTCTTTCGTATAACCTCAATTTTTAAATATTTCCAAGGGAGGAACTCCACTGTTGTTCATTTTTTGGTGAGCTTCAGGGGACAACAAAACGTTTTTATGGCGGGAAAGTACGAACCTTTGTCGGATTTGGTTGCGTGTTTATGATTATCCACGACGTATATCTGCGTTTTTTACTTCATACAGCTAACACCCTTGCCCAACACCGACTTTCTGGTCGAACGGAAGGTATTTTCCTTTTACCATTGCAGAATAATAAAATTGAACTCCAATATGCAACTTTAAGCTCAACTGGCAAGGAATTCATTATTTGCCAAATGCTTTGCGTCATCGGTCGAACGACATTTTGTTCTTATGATTTAGCGTTCTAAATAAGCAAAAAGAAGTTGCTAGAAGTATTTTCTCTTATTACTAGTAACATCTCCCAGTTCCAACGTGAGCACTCACTGTCACAACGACAGTTGTAGTCAGTATAAATATTTTGGGGCTAAAAAACACAACCGTAAGACTTCCTTGTATTTTTGCGAGCAAGCACTTCGCCAGTCCATTAAAAAGATTGAGAGAAATGTCAGTTAAGGGCAGTGTTGGATAAGATCTTTTGCTCTTGTTTACAGTCGTTCGGTCCGGTCCCTTCTACATAAATCAACAAACGCGGGGTGGTACTTACTTTGTCTTATTTTTGTCTAGCCTAAGTGCTTTATGTTCCAACATCAGGCAACTGTCCCACTACTCTTTAATTTACTTTTTTGTCGCCAGCGTTCAGTCTAAGTACTGCTTGTATAAAGTCTTGTCGTCATAGGACACAGATGTTCCTAGTCGAGATGTACTGGAATGAGTCTCCCCCACCCATTCCCACTTGTGACACTTGTGATATTAGAAACCAGGAATGGTCATTGCCAGGGACTGTAGCGTCCCTTGATGTTTTTAAGATTCAGATAACTTAAGTGTTGTGATCCAAAAAGAGTTGAAAGTCTAATCGCGTTGTTTGCGGATGTTAGAGCATACTCATCAACCCGTTTTAGCCTTTTCACTGCCAAAAAGACACCAAAGTCAAAATTCAACAAAATTTATCAATTCTTTTCTGCAAAATTCTGAAAAATAAACAGTACACAGTGAAAGTACTGTCAAAATGGCTTCATTTGAATGGTCACACAATAGGATTTTATCTACAGAATAAAAAGTTATAGCCACTTTTCGAGACTCAGGCATCATGCGCTCTGGTGGAAAGGTTTTCTGGCCGTAGTCTCGTACCCAACCAATTGAACTGACCTGTATTTTTCATTCCAAAGGCTCTCATCTTGTGCCCATGGTTTCGTGTCTTTTGACTTAATATCTGCCCCTGACGGTACTGCGCATGGACAGTGCGTGAACATACCTGGCCGACGTCAAATTAGGAAAACAGTTGGAATGGCCTTGCCACCTTCTCTACGCCATTGTGCCAGAGGTCTTGACATCACTGTGACTGAGCATTTCATCTCCATTCGAGAAGATCACCCACCTGTGGAGAAAATGGTAATGTTTTTGTCTTTTCTACTGTTTAAGGGGACAGAAACTGTAACAGCTGGTATCCTGACCAGCGGGTTTTCCCCTTGTTTTGTTAGGAGCATGCGCACGGGGCCTAGTCACTGGCGTGCACCTCAAGTTTTCTTTAAGTTTTTCAAGTGTTTTTGTAAGCCGTTTGTTTAAGTTTTTCTCTCGTTATGGATTTCTTTTGTCGTAGCTAATGGATATGTGTGATGATCGTTTCGTAAGATACTTGTGGGTTATACAGCCTCGTGTATGATTATTCATCCGCCCCCGCAGTGTCTTTTCAATCTTTTGTATTACGTCAATTGGTGATTACACACGCCCTCAACACCACGAAACTACCGAAAATCACTTCTCTAAGAGTAAAGACATAACAATGCAAATGTGGCCAGTTGTTCCCTCTCCATTCTATGGCAATGGCAATGAGTGAAAGTGCTTTTGTTCTCTGCAGTTCTCTAGCTACGTTAACGTTACCAAGAAACCTATGAACTGCACTCATTTAAGACTTCAGGATTCTCTATTTTGTCGAATCCCTGGCAAGTTTAAAGACAAAATGAAGGAGGCTATGGACTGGTTTGAAAGGAGAGAGATTGGAATGGTCATAACCAAGACAGATCCCTCGGCACGTGGTAAGTAGCGTGTGGATAAGTCTTATTTTTTGTATCGTCACGCAGCGCTCCTCCCCCAGGTTGTTAGAGCACTCTTCCGTGGTTAAAGCACTCGCCGCCCACCAATATGCCTTGGGTTCGAATCGAGGCATCGACTAGTTTGAGTTAGCTGTTGGTTCTCTCCCTTGCTCCATGTAAATTTCCTCAGGGTACTCTGGTTTTACTCTCCTTAAAAAAAAATGTGTCATTTCTTTCCGGAAGAATATGTTTTGGATGCGCTTTATTTATTTATTTATTTGTTTGTTTTAAAATAAAATTCAGATACAACGCTCACTCTGAATAGTTGAAAAAGCGTTCTTTATGAGGGTATAAACACGGAGCTATGGCTGTCACGCCATTTACCAATAGTTGTTTTGAGAATTAGAAAGAAATGTAATAAAAGAAGCCTTGACTTTGCTCTTTTCTGTTGTAAAGTACTTAGGAAGCGGCTGGAGCACTTAAGACGTGGGGAGAAACACTCGAACAAGTCTTGTGTTTCCCATACGCCTTCTTTCAGGCTTTAGAACAGAGTACAGTCACTACTTTATTTGTTAAATTTATTTAGTGATGGAATCTACACTTCAGCTATTATGGAGATCTAATGCTATTTTGTTTAGAAATCGCGTTTCTCTTTAAAGGGGTTGCTCAATAGGTGTAATTACGTTTTTATTGAAATTTATTTCCTCCTCAGTCACGTTGAAATGTCGCACGTCACAGCGCAGTCTGGCAGTTGTGAACATGAGACGGTTCTTTACCCCGCGCGCAATGTGCATTGTTAGCCCATCACAGAATGTTGTTGGCCGTTTGAATATCACCCTTGTACCAGCGTGCAAGGCTCCTACTTTTCAGCACGCCTTCTTCGACAGGGTAAGTTAAGTCGTCCTGCTGGAAACAGGGATATCGCAACATTTATCTCTTTTCGTTTGTAAGAAAGCTTTAACAATCAACATTTGGGGGGGTGGGGTGGGCCGTATTAGACTCAGTCAAGGATGTGTTCTTGAACTGTTACGAATGTTTAGCAGAGTACTTGTTCACATCCAACAGAGGTGGAAGGAAGGAAGCTAGAAGGCTGCGACTCATCCGAGGCTTGTGACGACCTAACGATAATGATGGGGGTTAACGAACAAGTCAAATACAAGTTAAAGAACAGAAAAACAACTGAATGAATGAATTGGAACAACTGAACAATACTGTACGAGAACTAAAGCGGCAGATCCCCAGCGGGCAGGATAGGCTTATCTTGCTCGGTTGGGTATATTTAGCCAATCAGAACACAAGATTCCATTCATCTTACCCGCTTGCGGATTTAGTCATTAAATAAACATGCACAACCCAGTTCACAATGACTTAGTGCGTAGCTTATAGAAACTTTTTCACGGGAGCTTGTACCCCAGTAGCAGTGGGGTACAGTAGCAAGTTTGAACACGTTTTATGACAACGCTATCTCTTTATCGTTTTGAAACTATAGGGGACCATAGAAAACTACGCGCTTTTGAAATGTTTATCCGCCCATTTAGGGTCAAGTGCAGTGATGTGATTAAACTAGACGTCTGAAAACATTATTTGTAGGTTTTTAGATTTCCTATGTTTTGTTCTGTTAGAGGGAAGAGTGTTTTGTGCCTGGTGGAGGCAAGTGCATTTATGGAGGACGAGAAGCCAAGTTGAAATTGGCAATAAGACCAGTGAACGATCGCCCAGTACTCAACGTAAAGAACTCAATTGCTCAATTTCCTCCAGTTCCGGAGAATGTGAGCGACATAGAGGGAAAAACCATAAAGGTGTCCACCTTTACCAAGTCAAGTCAAGGACTCATAGATAAGTACATCCGGGAGAATAAAGGAGATGAATTATTCAATAAAATGGAAGCTGGAGAGGCTCTCGCCAATAGAAACAACCCTCCTCTTGTGGAGGATATTGACAATGGAGGCGTGGGGCTGGCTATCACAGAGGCGCCCGTGCAGAAGTACGGCAAGTGGCAGTATAAAACCAATGATGGTGTCTTCAGAGACATTAATATTGCTCCAGGGGTGGTGCTTCTGGTAAAGCCAAATGACAGGATCAGGTTTAAAGCTAACGAAGGTACTTGTGTGTTTAGTTCAAAGAAAAAAAAATGAGCGCTTATGGCTCAGAATTTGAGGTTACGCGAAGATGTAATATTTGCTAAATGCTTCACGAAAATTCCATGACAAAATCGAAGCCTTAACAGTCAACGTATGAGGTGAATTGCCACCCTCAACTTTAGGAGGTTGGAGAACGCGAAATCAGTGAAGCACTTCTCACCTGTATATACTCTTTTTTGTCACGCGTTTACCATATAGTGTCCCCGCAGACGTCCTTTGGGGTTCGTTTGTCACGTGACGTATTCATTCCCCCCACCCCCCTTACGTGGGGGAGAATGAATACGTGACAAACGAACCCCAAAGGACGTTTGTAGGGAGGCTATTTACTATAGTGATTTGATTTTGCACCCTTGTTCCAATAAGCGCCTCCTCTCTAATGAGCACCCCACCTCAAATATGTTTTTGTTAACATGAGCCACTATTCCCAGTGCTCGTTCGCGTAACGTTGGTTACTTTCTTTGGAGCTCGCTTCTTTCGGGCCCAAGAGACCACTATTCACCACTATCCCGTCCCCTGGGGGTACTCCGGATTTCAAGTGACGGGGATGTCTGATGATGGAAGGATTGTTTTGGGTTTGAAAATTTCGATTCCGGGATTTTAATTTTTATGGGTAGGAAGATTTGGCAAGTATTTTTTGGGGGTTGACTTGATTTAAGTAGGGATTTTTGGAAGTTAGTTTTTGCCCTCATTCGGCAATCTCCGTCAATTAAAATCCGGAGTACCACCCTCCCGCTGGGATCGCGTATGGTGAATAATCGTTAAAAATTCGGAAAAGCAACTGCAGCAATGATTCTCACGTGAAATAACCAAGAAGAAAGGTGGGGCGGTGGTGGTGGAAAGGGTTCTACAACTTTTTTTTTCGTTTCTTTCGGGATTTAGTAACGGCAACATTTTTTGAAGTTACTTCCGAGCTAGAGGGGCCTCTGCTCTTGGAATTTTACGGTACTATCCCCTGACCTTTCAAGCCTTGCTACCTGGCATCATTTGGCCACAAACTTGCAGAACGGTACTGTATAATAATCCTATATGAAGCGCCTACCATCGGAAGTAATCTATAATACGCCGCTGAGCAACGGAATCTTGTGTAATAAAAGGTCTACTGGTGCATCCCGAAGAATTTGTTTTAACTGCTCACACCCACGGTTTTCTTTGCTACGAAAGCATGTCTATAGTTAAGCTGTACATCTTATCCGTCTCAGTCTTTCATGTTTTGTGTGATTATTTTTATGTTTCACTCCATTTGGTGGCTCTTCCTGCTGTTTGAAATTTGTTAAATTTCGTGACACAGATCCTTTAAATCCGATGAAAGACTTATTTGTTTCTGCTCTATAGGCATATCCTGGGGGAAAGATGAGTCACGTGAAAAGACCTTCTTCAAGTTTCGAGCTTGGGACGGTTCTGACAACAGAACATCTGGATTGAACGCATTAAATGACAGCTTAATGAACTCTGACACCGCTTACTCTCTTCAGTCGGCCAAATGTATCGTGTTAAAGATGGGCTGTGATAAAGTAGCTGGATCGAACCTGGAAAGAGACAAATGCGGGGTGTGCAGGAGAGATAGGAGGAATAAGTGTGTGGGGTGTGATGGCCAAGCTTATTCCAATAAAAGATGGGGTGAGGTTTTGAATTCTATTTTCCATTATCATATTCTAGTATACAGGCTTAGCCAAGGCCAAAAGCGGAGCTCTCAAAGGATATTTTAAGCAATGTCTTCTAGAAGTAGTTCCACTTTTGTCATAAACGGAGTTTGATTCCGCTTGCGCGCATCACAACATTATTGCGAAAACCGCTCAGAGATGGCCTACAAGAACCCAGTTGGGAATCAATAATAAAAACACATTTTATGGTTGTAACAAAATGAAGCGGAACTGAGATAATAGGGTTTTTAAGGAAGTCGGTAGGGCGACCTCTACTACGGCGGCCGAAAGTAAAAGAGCTCAAAAATGACTTACTGCGCATGCTTGGAAATGACCTCTCGCCGTAGCGCCAAATCCTACAATGTGGAGACCTGTCTTGTGGCATAGTCACTGGTACTTGAGTAAAAAAGTCAACTTTTCTTCTATTTTATGCCATCACTGGTTTTAAAACCAATCGTTGATTGTTTCTCACTTTATCAAGAAAGTATTTGACACTTCTGGTTTTCAAGTAATTACGCCTTCCCTGCGTTTTAGTAACAGCAAAAGTAAATGAGCGAGAAACCCCGTAGTCACTGTTAGGGCACCGCTAACTAAAAGTTGAAATTTGCGGGCTACGGTGACGAACTCTCTTCTGAGGATTCTGCATTCATGACCGCCGTAGTAGAGGTCGGCAAGTACCTAACTATTGTACCGCTATGTCATTTTAAATCTAAAGTTTACAATAACTGAGCGAATCCTCGCGTGCTGATTGGTCGTGCTGATTACGGGTAAATGTATGTGCAGTTCGGTTAATAACTAAATTATTTTTTTGTAATTTAAATTACATTCTCAAAGTCAAACTCCTTGGTTAATATGTTTATCATAATTTAACTGTAACCCACAGAGAAAACACCTGCTTGGTCTTGCTTGGCTAAACAGTTTCTTGTATTTTGGGTATAAAAATGGCAAATTTCTGCCAGGAGGTTCTTATAATTCACTAGGTTTCAATACGCGGTTTTTTTTACTATATTACAACACTTGACTGATCTTGCCTTATTCATCTTGTTCCAGATGAGTGCGGCAATTGTACGTTGCGAGGAGCAGGACCCATCTTCTGTTCTAACAGCTGTTTAATTCCGTCGTTCAGAGATGAATGCGGAATTTGTCGAATCAATGACAGTACGCCCAGTGTTAGGCACTGCAATGGAGACTGCAATGCTGTTCCGGTGAGTTTGTAGTAACATATGCCGCATAAATCACAGCACACTTTACAATGAGCCCCCCGTTTAAGGAAAATAAAGTTATTACTCCCCCTTCCATACCCCTTATTCTTCACAATTTAATTATAAATGATACACTGCATTCAAATGAATTCACCATTTTCACATAGAGCATATTGCACCTTGTTTACCCCCCAAAATTTTACATAACCATGCGAAAATGCAGAATAAACCACTGTGCTGGAAGTTCAGATTACATTTATCTTCTTCTGCACGACCTTAACTTTAAGCTTTTCCACTTTGCGTTCTGTTTCTTTATGGAGAGTTGATACCATCCTCTGGTTGTTTGAAAAAGCAGTGTGGTACCCCGCATCGCTAAATAAAATAATTCTACCGGTCCCATCTCAAATAGGCCCCCTCTCTATCAAGCTCTCTCCCTCCTTCCCATCCAAGGTGATTTAAATTAATAAGCCTCTGTGGGCTTAATTTATGAACAGACACTCTTCTTCACTTTGGTCGCATTTACGTGTTGTTTTCTGATCGACAGTCTGAGTGCGATAGTAGTGTTTGTGTCGGTGGAAATACTGGAAAATTCCTTAACTGGGGAAAGGACCTCTGTGGAGTCTGCGGAGGGAACAACAAGTGTGTTGACTGTGCTGGAGTAGTGAGAGGCAAAAACGAAACAGACTCGTGTGGTGAATGCTTGGATCCGAAACTTGACCGGCTGCAGTTTAACAAATGCCCGAAAATCCTCGATGTTGATGTGAAAGCGATTACTGGTGACGAATCTACACCAATGTGCCTGACTATAGCGGCGCCGAAGAAAATAATCGAATGTTATCTTCAAAGAGAAAATGAAAGGTGCTTTGTTATAGTCCGTTTAAAAAAGAAATTCCAACTTTAAATTCGCTTCACCATTTATTCAACATCGGCTCAATTTTTAAAAATTCTCTTTTCTCCTCAAGGTTGTATTGTGTTAAAATTAATTCACATGTAGAATGGACGCATGGGCACTTAAACTTTGAGCTTTAGCAGAGTTCCATTGTCGCATAGTTTTTACGAGTGTAAAATAAATGGAGACAATAGAGAAATTTAAACAAAGGCGACAAACGTACGCACGTAAGCGTAAAAGTAAAACCTCGCGCAACTTCACGTTTAATCTCAACACTTAATATCCTGCCTCTATTTTATTAACGTGATTAAAATTTACGTGCGTTAACGTGCGTAGCTAAAAACGCGTCAGTGGAAATTAACCTTAAGGGTTGATTTCCACCTTCCCGTAATTATAAACGTGAAATACGCACGTAAATAAAATAGAGAAGTATCGCGCGTAAACGTGAAAGTTGTGCGAAGTTTAACTTCACGTCTACGCACGACCATCCTATATTGCCTCTGTTTCAATTTTACGCGCGTACGCACGTAAAAATTACGCGACAGTGGAAATCCACTCTAAGAGTTGACTTACAGTGTCGCGTAATTTTACGTGCGTACGTGCGTAAAATTTAAGTTCACAAATAAAATAGAGACAAAGTATAAAAGGTCGCTCGTAATCGTAAAAGTTGAACCTCGCTCAACTTCTCGTTTAAGCTCAGCACTTTTTATCTTGCCTCTATTTCATTTATGTGATTAATATTTACCTGCGTTAGCGTGCGTGCCAAAAACGCGTGACTGGAAATCAACCTTGAGAGAGCTAGCGCGTAAACGTGAAAGTTGAACAAAGGCCAACTCTGACGTTTACGCGTGACCTTTCAAAATTGCCTCTATTCTATTTACACGTGAAACTGAAGGTGCGTACGCACGTACATGTAAGAGTTACACGACAGTAGATAACCACCCTAAAGGTTGATTTGCACTCAGTGACGCGTTTTTGACTACACACGATAACGGAAGTAAATTTAAATCACGTAAAAAAAATAGAGGCAAGATAAAAAGTGCTGAGCTTAAACGAGAAGTTGAGCGAGGTTCAACTTTTACGCTTACGAGCGACCTTTCGTGCATTGCTTCTATTTTATTTGCGAACGTAAATTTTACGCACGTACGCACGTAAAAATTACGCGACAGTGGAAATCAACCCTAAGGAAAAGTAGCGCGTAAAGCTAAGCGATGTTCTACTTTTAAGTTTAAGGGCTCCCCGGTAGAAAAATATAAGAATTAGAATAAGTTAAAAGTTAAATCAGCAAAGTGCGTTTTCGCGCTTAATTTCCTCAAGTGTCCTAAGATGTTTTGACCAGGGTTGTAGAATTAAAGTTGGGAAGACCTTTACATGAGGTATGACAAACTTTACTAAATTATCCCAAAATAAGACTAGTTGATGAAATTTCATCTTTTTGCCCCTGTTTTTTGCAGAAAATACCCTCTGATATTTGGTAAGGCTCGTGCTAAAGGAAATAAGAAGTCGAAAGTGTTCTTTTTCACGTCAACTGGGATGCCATCCGGAAAATATGCATTAAACTGTACACTGAACGGTGCTTTAAATGAGATTACATTCAGGCGGAAGATTTTGGTTTATAACAAGCCTAGAATCCTGTTCGTTACTCCTAACGAAACCTTGATCAGCAATGCAACAACGGTTACATTAACTGGGACTGGGTTCGTGAACACTTCGAATTTGATGTGCATTTTATTTATGGCGAATGGAAAATCTGAAAAGCTGGACGCTATTTTTGCAAGCGATATATCCATAGTTTGCTCGCTGACGTCCGATTTGTCCCCCTCAACACGCCATGATTAGCGTTATGTTTGACCCAAATGCTGTAGAACAAGCGAAGTCAATAGCAAAGAAGTTGAGCATTTACGACCTTGTTCCCGAGCCTACAAAATGCGTCTTCAGCGAAAAGCGCAACTATCTCTACTGCATGTTTAACAGACCGGTGGACTGTGGTGGTAACGCATGGAAGAACAGTTCTAGTTTTTTCACTGCAGCTGCATTTTGGAAGCTCTCATTGAGCGGAAATTCCAAATGTCGTTGTCGAAAAGGAAGGCTCCTGGTTCAGCTTCTACCCGACTCCTCCCTCCGTCCTGGACAAACCCTCCGTATTCGACTAAGATATATCAATCGTCAAGGATCTGCCTTCACGAAGCACTCTTCCTCTGATGAGGAGAGGCAGGTTAATGTGGAAGATTCTCCAAACGCTGCTGAACTTGAAGTAAAGCTGTCAGCTCCTGGGGAAATAGGTTTGTAAACGACAGTACCTTAAGAGCCTGGGCCGAGTTGTTCAAAGCTGGTTTAAGATAACCGTTAGTTTGAGATTTGAATTCAGATTTGAACGCTGAAAAAGCTTTTCAGTATTAATTCTTTTTGTCTACAAGTTGATGATTGGAAGCTCTAAAAATAACGGAGAATATTATCTGAGAAAATGCTTTTGAACACAAGAAAAAGAAACCAGGGTTAAATTTAACCCCAGGTTAATCCCTAATCGGCCTTTGAACAACTGGGCCCTGGTTAAAGCCTGGTTTTCTCGGTTTTGCGCATTTGTGAAAATGTGGTTTAACAAGGCTTTTGGCGCACGGGTGATCACGCTGGTACGAGTGCTCTATTTTTAATTGATTTAGGATCGTAAATAGGTCCTTTTGCAGCTGGTCAGTAGGAAGCTTAAGCAACGACGACGGCGACGGCAACGAAAACGGCAACAAAGGAATATGTTTAGATTAGCAAAACAACAACTTCGCACGCGCATAACGCTTTTTTGTATATTTCTTTGCCGTCTTTGCACGACTACATCGTGAATATGCCTAATTTCACGTTTTGTGGAAAACGTGAACTCAAAACAACGATATTCTTTTTCTTTTCCTGGGCCGGGTTGTTCGAAGTTGGGTTAAGGTAACCCAGGGTTAGAGCGAAATTTGCACTCAGATATGAGGGCTTAAAAAGCAAATTCACTTTAATTCTCTTTACCTACAATTTTATGATAGCTTACGTTAAAAAGAACTGAGAAAACTATCCGATAGAGTGCTTTTGATAAAAAGAAAAAGAAACCCGGGTTAAAGTTTAACCCCGGGTAAGCGCTAACCGTCGTTCGAACAACTGGGCCCTGAACTTCTATACAGTCCTTTAGAATCCAACCCCCCCCAAAATTCCAACATTTGTCGAATTAAACGAGATGGAATAGACCCGATAAAGTTTGAAGAAAGCGCAAAATTACTTTTTAAGTGACGTTCTTAGCTTATAGCTGTCGCCGTTGTTGTTGCCGCTCCCTATTCACGTGGTATAAAACCGCCATATTGTAGAGCAAGGGACGCACTGGGACAAGACGAACAAAAGTCTTACGTCATTTAAACTGATAATTACCTTTGTTTTTCTTGTCCAGCATGGTGATTTTGTACCACGTGAATGCACGACTAGCTGCAAAGGGTCTATTGGTAATGGGACTGGTAGTCAATCCATTTATTTAATTGATTTGTCTTCTTGTTGTGTAAAAAATGCTTTGTGTGCAAATCATGATAGTTTATACATGAAATGTCAGCATTTTACTTATTTTACAGTTAAGTTACTTTACATTTTACAGTTAAGTTATATCAGAAGCGTATAACCCCTTAATGGGTATTTTGGTAATAAACGACACCGTTAAAAGTTGCGTTTCTAGCGTGCTACGATATATAGCTAAAAAATGTGAAATGTGCTGGAACCTGTCTATCATGACACTTAGGTTATTTTCCTTCGGCAAAACCCGGATCATAAATCCTGGTGCAGCAGATCCATTCCAAAGAAACCTAACCTAATTATTCGGTGCAATTTCTGTTAGGTTCGTGCGATAGGTTGAGGGTAACTGCAACGGCAAACCAACGAGCAAAGTTTAACTGGTCTGCGTCCTTCGACGATTCCTCTTCCCCCACTTCTAGCCAAACCGCTGACCTGCAGCGGGTAAATGAAAAACTCGCGCGCTTGTCCTCTGAGGGAAGGAGAGTGGTGACGTTTGGTGCTAGATTCATCGAGACTGGAATTATTTACAACATAACTTGTTGTGCGTTGGCGGAATTTAGTGGCGAGACAGTTTGCAGCACCGTTTCTGTTCGACGTATTGTTAAAGCGGTCCCAAAGGTTTCGTTCCCATGGACTAGAATTTCATTAAGCCCATCCGTGAGAGTGACGCTTAGAGGTAAGCTTTGTTTTTTTTACTCGCTATTCATAATTGTAAATTGTAAATACGGTATTATCCATTTGCTAGTGTTGTAAACTATCCATGAAAAGCTCCTTGGTTCCTGATTATGGCGTTGTCTCTTAGAAAGGACAAGTTGTCTTTTGTAAAACACGGAAAGAGAACTGACCATGAACTCAAGAAGTATTTCTGGAATGTTACTGTGTCGAAAGGAGAAAGCCAATCAGGCGCGAGAAAGTAAAACGCATTGCTTGTGTGTCCTAACTTTATTTTGATTGGTTAGTAAACCGTCAAAATTAAATCACTGTTCACCGTTCTTTGACTCTCACAGTTGAGGGTGTAGAATTGTGTAAACGTTGTACACATGGGTTTAATTTAAACAATTATTCGTTAAAATAGAATTTTTTTTCATTCGAAAAAATGAAGAAGTTTATGAAGCGGTTCACTCTTACTCGTTTATGAAACTCGTTTAAGAAACTGTATATGCTAAGCTAAGAGGCGACAACACGATTGACGTAATTCATGGTGTGATATTGACTGAAAAGGAGAAGCTCCAGGTACTTGCAATGAAGTCTCTTTTTCTTATTTTGGAAATAGCAAAAGTACAGCCTCCATCTTGTGTGAGTCGAAACAAACGCTTAATGGTGTACCTGTGGTCTTGCAATGATCAAAGTCTTCGGTTTAACGACGAGAGCCTAGTTTTAAGGATTGGAGCTGGCCAACTGACCGCTGGACAGGTAACCCGGTTTTATAATTGTTGGGCGGAGAGATAAATTACATGGCCGCGAGTCGACAAAATAATTTTTCTTTCAACGTTGAAAATATTTCACGAGTGAGCGCATCTTTCTTTATAGTAAGCAATAAAAAACCGAAACCATTTCACTTAGGTATTTTTTTTGCTGCGAAAGGCGCGATTTTCTTTAGAGCCCCTACCCCATTATACTGTATTCTGTGGCCAATTAAAGACCCCATCTTAGTCACTTTTGGGCAAATATGTAATCTTCGTGATCCAACTTAGTCACTTTCTATTTATGTATCTACCTTATCAATCCTTTAAATGGGTTATCGTCCTAAAATGAACTGACCCATTTTTTAAATTGAATGAAGAACATCTTACTTTTCACCTACAGTACAAATATTCTTTGTACGTTTGCTAACCGCAAATATGAAGAACCCCCCAAAACCCCAAAAATCAGGAAATGTCCGACCCTATTCTAGTAACTCTGTTGAAAATACGACCCCATTATAGTCAATTCAGCCGTGAAAATGTGACCCCATCCAGCGGCACATCCCCATTAGCCTCTTTTAGGAAGTGCCCCCCCCCCCCTCCCGGGCAATGAGTATGAATTCGAGGTAGAAGAAAGGCGAAAGGAAAAAAAATAGAGAAAACTGATGACTATGTCACTTTTTTGCAGGTTTTAAGATGTACGTTCACTGCGTACGTGAGGGATGACGATTTGTTGTTTGCTCGTGCGTCACTGACAGTCGTGGTAAAAACCAAGAAACTTGTTGCCAAGATAAAGGGTATGTTACTATGGTAATGGGTTAAAAGGAGACTCTTTTTTCCCATGGAAATACCAATCAAAACCCCAGAAAAAACACAATCTAGTTCATAATCCATGAGAGAATTGTTTGAGTGCATCCCATTTAGACATAAATCCATGATTTTTTTCACCCATCTCAGCTGAATTCCCTCTATAGTTTTGTGCCAGATTATGCAGGACTTGCTTGCGTGAAAATCAGAAATACCAATCAAAACCCCAGAAAAAACACAATCTAGTTCATAATCCATGAGAGAATTGTTTGAGTGCATCCCATTTAGACATAAATCCATGATTTATGTGTGAGGACACTGTTCTTCCAAAGTTTGCTGCCGAATGCCGTACAAGTGATTTGGCGAAGTACAAAGAAATACAAATGTGACATCTGTCACCTCTGATCTCAGCTGAATTCCCTCTATAGTTTTGTGCCAGATTATGCAGGACTTGCTTGCGTGAAAATCAGTTGCTTTCCAAACAAATTGTCATTTTTTAACTTACACTCTTTCTTTCAGGTGGCGAAGAACGAACGATAAGTGCCAGCGAAGAAGCTGTTTGTGATGGGAGTAATTCCAAAGACCCTAATAACCTCCCAGAAGATCCCATCTACGTCTGGACTTGTAAATGCAAATATGATGACGGCTGGCAATGGTGTTTCTCTAGGGACAAGCTTCAGCAACTGATGTTACCTCAAAGAGCAGTGGTTCGCATTCCTCCAAACACCCTGCCGGCAGACAAGACGTAAGGATTTCTTTTGCTTTTTTCTTTCTTTTTCTGTTCTTTTTTTCCGGGCCCTATTTGGTTAAAACATTATTTTATACGTTAAAAGAACCGAGAAAGTCGAACCAGTTAGGCTTGGTTCGAACGTCCTATTTTACGTGTCGAACCTAATGATAGGGTTCGTACAGAATCTTGGAGTCTTGAAAAAGGTTTGAAATTTGCCGGTAAAAATAGTACGATAGTACGTAAGAACACTAGTTATCGGCGCTTTATTCGCTAGTACGTTAGTACGCTGGTCATCCCAGTTTTTGGGTCATTTTATAGTCAGTAAAAATAGTACGTACGCTAGTACTGATGACTAAGCAAAAAGTACAAAAAGCCATTCCTAAAACAGGCAGCATATGGTGAGATCTGTTTGCTGACATACTCTCTATAAAAGAAAAAACATTCTAACACGTCTGTCCATGGTTTTGTTGTTCAACAGTTGCGCAATTACGCTGAGATACTTCAAGCGTGATATGAGCGCTAGCGCATCGGTATACTTTGATGTCAAAGGGCGGGAAGTACCCAAAGTCAAAATTGTTCAAGCGTTTTCCAACGCTGCTAAAGTGAAGTTTATAGCTGTTGTGAAGAGCTCGTTACCAGATCTAAACTTGGAGTGGTCGGGCAAGCAAATGGACGAAGAAGGTAATTTGAGATACTTTTATTGCTCGTATGACCATTATTTACTATAGACATTTCTAGGTTATTTAAAAACATAACGAAAGTAAAGCGCGCTCTCTGGTTAGTCAATTACCAGTTTACTATTTAAACAAACATTTACTATTTATGGTAATCCGATTGCAAAGTAACTCCGAATCCACCAATGAAGGGCCCAGCCCGAAACTTCGGCATCATTACTTTTTAATGAACGTTCATTTACTATTTGCCCCATAAGTGAATGCTGACGAAATAAGCGCGCGCTCAAAGCCGTACGCGTCACTTCCTTCGAGGCTATATTTTGGTTTATACCTCACAGTTTTTTTCATATCTTTTTGTCAAGGTTTTTGTCTTAATACGTTAGACGCCATCAGCAATAAAAAAGGAAAAGAAAACATTTTCTTGATGTATTCTTGCCTCTTTTTGTAAAAAAAAAATCTACGTTGTTTTTTAGGAAACTTGTTTGACATTGATCTCAAGAGTGTAACCGACTCACCCGTTTCTTCGGTTGTAAAGAAGCGTCCAGATAAGTCATTGATCAAACAAAAAGTAGCCCTGGTCGTGAGAAAGTGGAGAAATGGATTAAAGCTGAAATGCAAACTGAAGGTGTGGCGAGAAGAAGTTGAGGCTTCTGCAGAGGATGAAGTGAAAGATGCAGAACCACCGATAGAAGGAAGATGTAAGTCACTGAGTAACCCTTTGGTGAAAATTAACATTTTAGTTTGTTTTCTCTATATATTCCTATAGAAATAGTGGAAAGAAGCTGATAAAGTATCTATTTAATTGGGTTATTCTCGTAGTCACTCTGTTTAAGCAAGCATAGATACCGTAAATCCTTTATTAAGCCCCACTCCCTCTAATAAGTCTCCCCCACCTGCCTTTTCAGGGGAAGAAAGTTAATGAGCTCTCCTCTCTATTATGCCCCTCTCCCCTCTCCTAATTATTCTTCACTAATAAATTATTGACTGTATTAATAAATCACGACTGTAAAACTTCGTGTGGGCTGATCCGTGGTGGTTTATTTACCATGTGGAAGTTCGGATTTGATTCTGATCCTCGGCTGCATGACCTCCAACCTTCTTGTACTTGAGCTTTTCCACTTTGTAGTCAAGTTCTTTATGGATAACTTATACAATCGTCTTTGCTAAATTAAATAAGCCCCCCCTCCCAGTGGGCTTGAATTAAATGAGTCACGGGGGGGGGATGGCTGGGGGTTAATAGAGGATTTACGTACTCCAAAGAGGAATTGATACTGGTAACTCATGCTAATGGGGCTTAAAAGGTTAAAAGATAAAGAGCAGACCCTTGCCAAGTACAACTTCTTTACTCAAAAATTGAGTTATATCTGCTATGTGCGATGATCTGGTTAACTATATGCGTCTGGTTTTAGGCGTGTTAACTAATTGAAAGAAGTTATTAAAAGTTATAAATTATACTAAAATATTACGGAAATTATACTTATTTACGAAGTGAAACTAAATTAAATTAACGAAAGTTATACTAACTAGGTTCGAACGAACACTTCACTCAGCATTTGAGACTTATAACGTAAGTCACCATATTAAGATTATATTAGGGAGTCATGATTCAACTCAAGTTAGATTATAGATTCACGGACGTCAACCGGAAGTGGACTTTTTGCAGATTTTGGTTGAAACCCTAAATCGTCTTTATGGGAAAAAGAAACTCAGCAATACAAATTTGGTAGTGTCCAGGCGTATAAAAAGGAAAAAGCCTACACCTTCATGCTATTTTACCTGATAAAAGGGCCCGTTAAAAAAACCTCAATATTTTCCAGGTCAGAAACTTGAAGGATCAGAAGATGAAGGTATTTCTATTGAAGGACTTGACTTTGAAGATCCCGAGGGTGAAGCGTTAGAGTATCGCTGTGGATATATGGACAAGAACAATAAACCAAAATACAGTACTTCCTGGTCTACTAGCAACATCTGCGAAAACGTTGCTTTACCCCCAGGTATGAACGGCTCACTTCATTAGACAGATCAAGGTAGGTTTCCGGCAAACTGCCCACCTACCCCTCTCCTAAGCTAACATTAGCACTTACCTTTTTCTTAGGGCAAAATGTTGGCTTAGGGGAGGGGTAGGTAGGCAGTTTCTCAGAAACCTAAATTAATCCCAGAAGTGCAAACGGGAGACGTTCAACCCTCTAACTAACCCCATCCATTTAGGGAGTTACATGGTTGATCTGATCCGGTCCGATACAGGTTTGTTTGTCGCGTCGTGCGGAGAAATCCCGTTGCGTGACGGCTAAAGATGCACAAGAAACAAGGAAGACATAGGGCGGTGAAAAAAAAAGGCTACATTCGCATTTAGAAAAGAAAAGGGAACTGGAGCCGAAACGTGTCCCGCAGTTGTTTCTGGGATCGTTACAAGGGACGCAAGGTCAATTGTTTCCCTTCCCTTATAACATTCCCAGACGTCTTTGCGAGAGTTAACTGGTCCCAGTTTCCCCCTCGTTTGTAAAGTGGCGAATTGAGCAGCTAGCAGTGGTAAAATAACACTCAGTATGCCATGCCAGCAAAAAACAAGCCCATGGCCAAAACGTAACGTACAACATACTGAGCTTTTAATTCCAGGGTCACGTTTTGAGTAGTGTTGGAGCTGCTCGAAGGTGTCTCGTAATTGGTCGCGGGAAACAATGACTTGTCATTCTTCCAATTGTTTTAGTATTGTTTGGGGTCAAGGAAACGCACCATTGGTGACTTCTCTTCCGAGCAGCTGCTGCATGACCCCACGTTTTCCCCTTTTTTGATTAGTTAAATGGTTACCCAGTAACAATGTCTTTGTGCCTAGCTTAGTCTTATCTAAGGTGTATCCCTTATACCAATTGTAAATTGCCAGAATACTTTGGTAGTCCGGCCCGGGTGCAGAGAAAAGCGGAGGGGAAAGGGATGGAGACCTCCTGTTGTGTTGTAATACCATCGTTTCACCTATTTGTGATTATCTGTTTTTGCTTTGATTAAGGTGTTTCGATACAGTTTTTCGGAGACCATACCGATATTTTTCAATCGCCTTAAAGGGGATTTTAACCTCCTCCAATCTCTATAAAGTTTTTACCACTAACTGACCTAAGATTGAAGTTTGTCAAAATGCAGGTTTAATTAAAATCGATGCAACCATGACAACGACAAACAAAAACCTTTAAAATCAGTTAAAGACTAATTATGGACATCTAGAACTGCCATTAAAAATCTAACTTTAGTAACTCCGTGAGAATATATAATAATAATGATGATAATAATAATAAAACAGAACATGTTAGGGTGCGGTTTTTATTTGAATTTCAGGTGACCCGGAAAAAGGTAACAAGTTAAACTGTATTGTACAAGCTCGAAACACGCGTGGAGCAACAGCGAGGACTGTTTGTCCAGTTGTAGTCCCTCCCCAGAACTTCAGCGAGGAAGACATGAAGAACGCTACTGAGAAAATCAGAGAAAAACTGAACCGAAATGAAATCACTGAAGTTCGAGGTAGGTTTAGTTATCAATCCTAGAGTTACCTGTAAATTGCACTCAGAAAATAAATTTAAGATTAGAAGAGTAGGAATTGTACGAATCTTGGTTCTTTTGGGTGATGATCGGAAAAGACAATTTCTTGATGGCGCGGTTTTATTGGAACTTCCATGGCGCATACCATATAGCGCTCTTTAAGCCAATCGGGATCTCATACCCTTAAGCAGATGAGGGTACTTCCCATGATGGCTTCTTCTCAAGCTTCAGGTGCACATCACTAAGGTTGGGATTACACAAGTTGAAATAAAATTATATGAGAGGGTTGGAAAATTTGTTAACCTTGAGTTGGTATCTAAAAGGGGTATCATTTTTCAGTAGTAGGTATAAGAAAAGGTAGTCTGCTGCACAGCCGTTTTTAGTGTCGGGGAGGAGCGTTGCGTGACGACACTAAAAACGGCTGTGTAGCAGACTAAGGAAAAGGGTACCTTTTTCAGAAATGGTATATAAAAAGTTTCGGGGTAGGAACGTGTGGCGGAACTCTGGGGTCCAACTGCTTACCCACACCCTCGCCAAGTGAGCTTACCCTCTTTGATGAAGCATTACTGCTACTACCCACTGGATGAAACGACAGTCATTTGCAGGGTTGGTACTTCCAATAGTACGTTGTCATTCGCCAGTTATATGAGTGGATGAAGAGAGAGAGAAGGTTATTTTCTCATGAAACCAAGTACAGTGGAACCTCTATGCTATAACGAGCTTTCGTTGTATCGATGTTCTCAGTTAATAGTCTTGCAGCTCATCAGAACCTCTAATTTAATTGGACCCCTATGGGTCGCACGCAGCTCTTTTGTTGTCGGGCTAGGTTCCACTGTTTACTTTGTTTGTTTACTGTTTTCTCAACCAATCCCGTGAGGTCTTCCGAGAGATGCAAGATCGCCCAATTCTTTTTCATATACCGTAAAATTCCGAAAATAAGCCCCGGGGCTTATATTTTTCAAAGGCCCTTTTTGAGGGTCTTATTTTTGGAGGGGCTTATATTCGGAGGGACTTATCTATGGAGGGAAATTTGCGTTTCAAAATCGATTGGGCTAGCCTTATAGTTGGAAGGAGTTTACCGTTTTTGCTTTGTTTTACTTAGTATTTGAGGGCAATTTCCAAGTACAAGCCCCCGGGAGGGCTTATATTTGGAGGGGCGATTTAACGGAGGGTTTTTTGCGTTACGAGTTTGGGGGGCTTATATTTGGAGGGGCTTATACATGGAGGGGCTTATTTTCGGAATTTTACGGCGGGTATTTTACATTTGCTGGGGTTAAGAAAATCGTTTGTTACATCGATGTGCGACGTGTTGTTTCGCGAGGCCACTATACCTTAAGTTCCTTATTATACTTTTAGTTTCTCCCTACGTCGCCCGTCGATGTATGTTACATTTTCTCATTGAAGTAAATCTCTTAGGATGAAATTTCTGTCGGCTGCTATTGTTGTACGATTTTCCTGCAAGTTGTGTTTTATTTTGAGTAACCCCCGATGTAGAATTCTCTTGGCGTGACTGATGTTTTTGTTTAATTTCCAGCCGACGTTGAACGGATGGTGTTCGGATCGGACAGCGAAGAAGCAACGAATGATATGCTGATTGAGTTAGCAAAAGGGGTGAGATTTGTCATAAATGCTCTTCTCAAATTCAAAGTTGTATTTAACTGAACGTCTTAAAACTTACTCCATGCGGAAAAAATTATCTCAAAGTAAATTGAGAAATCTTCCTCGAACCTACGGAAGCTCTCATCTCGCGGCTGACAGTGTTTGTTGTTCTGGCCCAGGAACCGGTCTCAAAATATCCTCTTTGCCTGTTGTTCGGACGTTATCCCAAACAGCTTGCCACTCCTAGATATTCGTTAATGATTATCAAAATAGTTATAATGATAGTAATAATAACGATACCAATTAACCTTCTTTATCTAGAAACGAACAGAAAAGTTTAAGTCTTTGGCATTGTTTTTTCTTTTAATTTGAAGAAGGGAGTAGCTTATCACTAAAAACCTCAAAACATCTTATTTACAGGAGAACATGAAATATCACGTTGTTAAACTTACACTCGGATTTTCGTTTCAGGACTGCTTTAACAGAAGTAGTCAACAATATGCTCGATTTAAGGTACAAATGTATTAAGAATCTTCCTCTTCATCATTAGGTTGATGATGAAGTCAAAGAAGTCCAAGAGTCTGAAGACATTGGTAGCGAGGAAGTAGGAGAATTATTGAAATCACTTGAGCTTGGCCTCATGGGCGTGTCTGGGGATATAGAGGAAGGGAGAAAGAGGGTCAGTGAAGCTGTTGAGGATAAGGAAGAGACGGCGAAAAACTTAAGGAAATTAGTCTCCCCAAAGAGGTCCCAGGAAAACGGCGAATCATCTCGGAGAAAACGAAGATCTACTAACAGTGATGACAGTGAAGATGAAGAAGTGGAGGTTGTCGCAAAAACTATAGATGAGGTATGTGGAAAAACCAAACAAACCGGCCAAGTCAAGTCAGTTATGTCAGGTCAGAACTGTCCTTGACTATCGAACGATTTGAACAGAAATGATTTTATTCGTTCCAGCAATAACCACCATAGATTTATTTTTCGATGACACTTTTTTATCATTAAAAAGTGTCTTTTTCTTGTCACTGCAGCTAAAAATTTGGGTATTTTGTTTTTCATCTTGTTCTTAAAATGACGCAACAAATATAATAAAGACAATGTTTGATAGTTTAATGGTTGCAAATCGCGAAGTAGCCGTGTTACCGGCTTCAAAGGTGGAATTTTCGTTTTCATGAATCCCCCATAAAAGACTGTGAATCCCCCATAAATGACCCTCTTCCTAAGAAAATTATATGAAATCTATTTCTGCCTTGGTTCTGTGTCATGCTGTGTGGCTATTTAAAGGACGACACCTCACTGGTCGGTAAGAATGGCGTCATGTTTTTTTTAAACTTGGCCGGTAATTCATTTCGCGGTCACACCGTCTACACGTAGTATTGTCGTAAACCTTGATTTCAGTTAGAACTCGTTTCAACGACTCAAAGACGCTTCAAAAATTTATCTAATATCAAGCGTTTCCTCAACAGGTTGAAACAACTCTAAGCGTATTTTCCGCGCTGATTGAACCTGGCAACTTCAGCAATTCCTCCATTGCGGTGAAACAACAACTAGTGGGTCTTGTTGATGACTTGGGTAGAGGCCTGTGTCAAAGCCTCAGCACAGGGGAGCCAGCATTGATCGCCGAGTCTCACATTGTGGTTATTAGGAGCAAAAAGGACAGCTTTGACAACGTAGATGTTAACTTTACCAATACCGCGTGTGAAAATTGCAGCTATGCCATTCAAGAAAGCGCCCAAGTCTTGCTGGGACAGTCGGTGAAAGACCGCTACGAATCCTGGGATTGCAACGAAGATGGATGTAACGGAGCATGCGTTGTGTCTGCTCAGGTGATAAACTTCTGATAAAGCTTTTTTAAAAATTGTTGACAATTGTCAGTCAGTCCGAAAAAGTGTAGTCTTTTGTATCGTTCATGCATTTCTAGGTTAAACGAGATTCTTCGGTGTTGCATTACAAATGTGACGTCAACACATTTAAGACCATGATGCGATTGGCAGTTTTTTCGAAACTTAACAGTAAACTTGTCGTTAAAAACGCCTGAGGGAAATTCATTACGAACTTGTTTTTATCCAACTATTACTCATAATTTTTGTTTGTTAATTTTTTAGTATCCGAATGATTTGCTTGCTACGGCTGATGACGGAAGCTCCATCAGTCACGTGGTTTACGTCAAACTTTTTAACCCGGAAAATGCAGCTCCTCTGTCGGTCAGCGGTCTAGTGGAACCTGTTACTTTCAGGATACCACTGCGAAATTACACAGCATCCAATGGTACAACGCCCATGGTAAGGCATTGATTACGTAATCAGTAATATTGGGGAGCTTAGGCAAAGACGTTTTGAGCAACGCACGTCAACCGCCGCCTGGTTAGCTTAGTTGGGAGAGCGCCGGTCTGCCGAGCGCGAGTTCGCAGGTTCAAAACCCCGGCCGGACCAACACTCAGGGTCTTTAAATAACTGAGAAGAAAGTGCTGCCCTTATAATGACATCTGCAAATGGTTAGACTTTCTAGTCTTCTCGGATAAGGACGAAAAAGCGTAGGTCCCTTCTCACAGCACTTTCACTGATTTGTTCTTGTGGGACGTAAAAGAACCCACATCACTATTCGAAAAGAGTAGGGGTCGTCGACCCCGGTGGTGTGGCCAACCTTCACGGGTTGTGGGATTGGGCAGGGATGGCACCTCGCTTGGGACCTGAGTCCCGTTCATGTACATTCCCTCTGGGCAGGCCTGTGTCCAAAAAAGCTGGTAAAAAAAAGGAAAAGAGACTTTTTCATTCTTAGGGTGGGGTTTTTGCCCAAAATTTGACGTAAATCGCCTTTATAAGAATAAAGAAAGTTGTCAATAAAAATTTGGTAGCGCCAGGGCATAATATAAGGGAAAAATCTGGCTGGACAATAAAGCTGCTGATCTCAGGTAGGTTGAAGTTTGCTTGAATATGCTGTAGCGCCATGTAAAGGCAGCCGTGACCGAGCAGTCAAAGCGCTGGACTAGCAAAACGGAGCCGCCAATTCAAACCCCTTGTTAGTCCCGAGTTCAGTTCTTTGGCGATGCCTGTAAACAGCAATCTGGTTTGGACCTCTTCACAACAGCCACATTGCAGGGGCACCCAACTTCAATTTGCGGAAAATATCTGTTCAGAAGACGATTTGAGATATAGATTTTTCGGAACATTTGTTGTAAAATTTCTTGCTTGCCTGCCTCTCCTAGGATTTTCGAACACATATGGTATAATTGCCCATTTTTTAACGGACTCTTACCCTGAAAAGGTCTCCAAAAATTTTCGGGAGCCTTTTTTCTGGTTGAAATTTTCGAAAATTTTTGATCCCTATAATTTTCGGATCACTAGACTTTCAGCTAGGAAATCCTAACAGATGAAAAATTTTGAGGGGATAAAAATATGCCTATATCTACCGTTTAAATACTAAAATACGTTCAACAATGCTATGTTTAAGTGGTTTTGAACTAAATTCTCGTTGGGTGCCCCTGACATATTGGGGACAGAAGAAAGTGGCCAGAGGTTTGGGTAAGAGTTAATGTATGGACTGTCCGCCGAAAAAAAGTGGCCGTTGTGGAGAGATGGCCGTTAGTGGAGGTTCAACTGTAGTTGCCATGTTTAATATTTCATTTTATTATTTCTGTCCTTTATTGTGGGCCTTAGTGTAAACTATTGGCCATGTTCTAAACGAGGGGGGAACAGGTACGACTTTTCATTGTAAAGGCTTTAGGGACCGTTTGAAGGGGCAGCAATGTGTGCATAGACTTTCAATGCAACTCTCCCTTCCCTTACTCCCATTCACACGATGTTACCCCAAAGGTGCTGTGTCACGAAGATATTGTCATTTTAGAACAATTGAACTCTGTGCTAAATTGATCCTGCAATTCTCCTGTAGACATATCACTTTGAATATGTCAAAGAAATTTCATGCGGCTTAGAAATTTTTTTTTTAGGAATTTTTACAGGAGCATCAAATACACCAGCTGTCTAAGTCTGTTTGCGATTACGCGATTCCTGTGTTTCGCTTCGTTACCTCTGCTTGGGCAACTTTGATTAATGAGCTGAGCTCTGGTTGGGCAAACCTGTTTTGGAACTGGTTTTTCGGATAAACCCGTTTTGGGGTGGGACAAACCAGTTTGGGGAATAATAAGATGCAGGGTTGGACTGATGTTTAAGGTAATGAGATGCTGGGCATGAAGGTACTTAAAAAACAGTTAAAGATAATGTCGTAGGAGCTTAGAAATAATAACAAGTTGGAAGACAGTTGTTCTTACTTGAGGGGGTTAAGACAATTACGTTGGCGTATGATTCTTTTAATGAGGAAGTTTAATGTCGATTTTGAATAATGCTTTTACATACAAGGAAGGTTTGCAAGGTCAACATAAAAATACCACTAAGGCATCAAGTGAAAGGTACTCGTCAAAAGGGCCGATATATGCTACTGATTGCATATGCAGTTCAACTCAGTAATCTTAAATCGATGGCCTCAAGAACATTTAAGATCTGTTGGCGCCTTTCAAATCCCTTGAATTCTTAGTGCTCTGAGGTCTTACGAAATACTTTCCACAAAAAGAGAGTTTTATTTGCAGATATTGGTCGGAAATGAATAGTTATAAAGAATTATATATTAATGCACTCACAGTTTCATCACTCATTGACTCACTCAATGTTGCTCGTTGGTTGCTCAAAATTTCTCGCAGCATCGTACAGATAGATGAGAATTATTCCAACAAATCTTTCTTGACAAATAACTGATTCCCCTGAAAAATCACCTTGGGTTTCTCAGGCTACCGGTATAAAACGTAGTAAGTCAAAGTCATCAGTTATGAAAATTAGAATCATCACCCTCATTAATAGTCAGGTCTCTGAAGGTCAGGATCGTTACAGAGTTGAAAAAAGCACCAAACTTTGTACAGCGATAGCTTATTGCAGTACCATGAATATTAGAGGGGGTGCCCACTGCAAATATGCCACTGAAGCGTGCTAAACAGGATTTAATTATTGTAAATTTCACCTGCTGGGGTCCCTGTGGTGTTTTGATTGAAAATTGTTATTTAATACCTTAAATCACTCAGAATACTCTTCTCATGTTGTAAACAACAATTTCACTTGAACATCTGGCATTCCCATCCATTATTAGCTTACTGATTGTATAATTAAGTTGATTATTACTGTGCCCTTACAACAAGTCCACAGTCCGCCCACATTTTCATAAGTCATTTCTAAGATGGCCCCGTCTTTGCTTCATAACTTGCAAGTACTCAGCTTCTGGGGTTCTCTTCTCCTTTTCTAATGTATTTGAATTAGAGGAGGCCTTATTGTGTGGCTTAAGCGTTATTTATCAAGTATCACTTGGTATTACATGTCACTTTAAGCTAAAGAAAGCGTATGGCATAGCGATTCACGCACAAAATTTCAGGAAAAAAAGAAATTGTCAAAGAGTCTGTTGTATCACAAATTATCAGGGATTTATGACAGCTGTTCATGCAAATAACGAAATGACAGAACCCAGAATAGTTCTTTCCTAAGGAGGTAATTAATTTTTCAGCTAAACATAAGCCTGGATGCCTTTCAGTCTCTCTTTATTTGCTGGACGCTTGTGCATGTTTTGACAGAGAAGAAAGCATCGTGGCACAAGTACATATCATTTACAATTCCCGCAGTTTGTCTAAGCTTTACAAAGCAAAAACTAACAACAAAAAATCTGGTCTCATAAACGAAAAAAAGAAACAAGTTAGCCCAAGCTTCAAAAAACAGCACGGTTCATCATGAAGCCTATACATTTGGCACTGAAGCACTCATGTCCAAAATAATAACAGCTTATCAAGTCGTAAAAGTGAGACTCAAGTGGTACAAGATTGACTCAAATGATAAATGGTTTAACTGCTGAAACTGTAGAAAGAGGACCGGACTAACTTTTAGTGTCTTGTATTTCATTTGTAAGTTTTTTTCTGACTGACCTTTTCATTCTTGATTTAATTGTATTGTAATTATTTTAGTTAAAGCCTTCTTCTATTCCTGTAAATTCCTCACGTCTTTTTTTTTTTGCTGACCTTAGGCCATTTAAGCCCCCGGCTTTGGCTCTTCTTGTGTATTTTGTCTTCAAGTGTGTGATATGTATTAATGAAGTAAGTTAAGTTAAGTTAAGTTAAGTTAAGTTAAGTTTACATGGAGGAGGGGACCCCAGGTAGTCATGGTAACTAACTTAGGTGAGGTATTAACCCGCATGTCCATATAATCTCTCATTTTAATTTGATCACGTTTACATGAAAGGTGGGGTGACCCTTTAAGGTTTGGTTAGCTCGGTCTGCAACACCGGGTCACCCTCTCAGCTGAGGTTAAATTTTGCCATGTCAACGTTTCAAGGTGAGGTAACCCAGGCTAGTCGGGGTCGGATTCGTGATACATCAAATTCACGCAGAATTCACTTTGGCGCCGGGTGGCTTCACATAGTTATTAAAGGTAACGATAGAAAGCCACAACACTGAAGATTGCAGCAAGAGCAGCAAGTGAGCGTAGACGTGGTTTGCTAGCATTTTTCTTGTTTACGTGCTTAGCGACCATTCAATAATGTTGAGAAAGTGCACCCCAGGATGGCGGGGTTGTAAGATTGCATGTAAAGGAGGGTTATTTTTTTTTACCCCACCTAAGCAGGTTACCTCGCCTACCCGGGATCCCCAACCTTTATGTGTACAGGCTTTAAGTCTCAAGAACTGTGAAACTGGTAATAAACAGTATACCTAACCCGGGACTAGCTGTGATACTACTTCCATCTTCAAAAACTTCAACATAGCAGCCAAAGGAGCCATTAAATCGGTGTAACACGATTATTAGATAGAGGTTGTTTCATGCGTCTCGTTTTGTAACTTTTTTTGTGTTCGTTTTTGACACTATCTCTAAATTTCAATCATGTTCAAAACACCCCTATTAACAAAACATTTCGTAAAGCTCTTTAGAATGATATTCACCAATAAAAATAAGGTGTGACCAGGTGCCGATTTCTAGGCTCCTAGTGTGGCAACATAGGCATAAGTGAATGCAAAGTTTTGCGGTATGTAATCTGTCAGAAATCTGTTTGAGTGGTCAAAGATGGGGCTGATGGGCTTCTTTATCATGACCACTCCATTATTATAAGGGACCAGGCCATAATTATTGTTGACCCTTGTTTTTTTTGGTATTTTCTGTAATTTACACAGCATTATTTTGTGAAAAGTAGGTAACTGAATCGCTCTTGAGAAATTCATTATGGTAAGATTTCGTAACCACGGGGTATTCGCTTAACTGCATCAAACAAATTACATTCATTTTCATAAATGATAGATCATTGGTTGGCTAAAAGAGGCCTTGTTCCTGTAACTTTCAGCTCTTCTGAATTTAGTTTGTTTGTAAACTGTATCGCAAGCGACGACCTTCCTTTTTTTTGAAAGATCATATAGACCTACCATTAACACTCTGGCGCGAGGGCTCTGAAGTGAATGAGCTCCTTACAGGTGTCTAGGCATGCAGGGACCTCATACACTTCTTTTTAAATGTAAATGTGTAAAAAATAAAGTGTTAAAAATTCCTGGAGAGGCATGTTTTACAACCTCGCCCCCAGGGCTTAATAAAAAGGTAGAAAAAGGTAAAGCGACCATATTTTACGTCAATCACTCGTGACAGTAATAATAACTAATAAACTTGAGGTCAACGGTGTGCTCCTTTTACCCCTCTCTCTGCATTAATGCTCCGTTTTAAGGGTATTTGAAGCTAGTCAAAGGTACACAGAAAGGAGAGAAGCTGAAATAAGGATGTGTTGACACCGGCGATCGAACTCGGGACCTCGCGCACTGAAGGCTGCGCACTAACCAACTGTGCCACCCTTGCTGCTCCTTTTCCCCCTGAGGACGAGATTGACATGTCTTTATCATTATCTCAAGGACAGGGTTACCAATGAAGCAAATTATAATCTAATCTTAGCTGCACAATTACAACGTGGGCGCGTTGTCAGTTACGGGTGCATGAGGTCGGTCATGTGGCATGTCAAAATTTAACGATTCTATCGTTTAGGATGTGATACATTTGGTTTTTTGTTATTGTATGACATCTTTGAAAGCTGGCTTTGTGATCTGTTTAAATTGATATGTAATTATATTATCACTGGCAAGTCTTAGCAGTGACACTGATAGCCATACAGTGAACATGATTGACCACACTTACCGTGTGGAGACTGGGCACTAGTCAGTATTATGTACATGGAAAACTATTTTGAATAGTGTAACAACAACTAAACTTTACCAAATTAAAAACTTAAAAACTTGAAACAAATGTTTTTTAGCCAAATCAAACAAGAAGAGTACTCACCACAGGGCACCCAACCTGCTATTATGGGTGAAAGTTAACCCCCCCTTTTTATCTGTAATTAGGACCATTTGTAACGAGCACCCCCTCCAGTATTAATCAGCAGGTGCTAAGGAAGCTCTGTGCCAAATTTGACACTTTTGTCACGTCTGTAACGATCCGGCCTATATTTTGCACTAAGAGACCTGACTATAAGTGTAATTAATGTCACTATTCCGCTAGCCTGCGTAGCATGGCGGTTTTGATTGGGTGAGGGCAGAGAAACCGCGAGGAGATTGGGGCGGAAGCAACTTGAAAAACCGCCTGCACGGACGGGGGGCTTTTTTGAGTCGGTCCGCACGCCAGCGTACGGATCGTTCCGATTGGTTCGGAATGTTCGCCTGTCAATCAAATATTTTGGTAATCTCCCATGGGAGAGTTTCGAGGGACTGAACAAATCATCTCCGCTACACAAAATCAAAATATCAAAGAAGCGTTGACCGGAGCGTCGTCGCTCTTGAATATTTGACGGGAAAACAGGGCAATTGTATTGAAGCCTAAACAGGAAATGGCCATTTACAGTCTTCTTCAAAGGAGAGATGTCATGGAAATTTTGTCAACAAGATTTGGCAAGAGCATGATCTTTACTGTCTTTGCTATGGCCAAAGAAGAAATATCCTCATCGAAAACCTGTATGATCACAATTCCTCCTCTAAAAAGTAATATCGACGACCAGATATCTGAAATGTTGTCGCTGAGCTGTAAAGCAATGGACCTTATGACAGAAACAGTAAATTTCAGTGCTTCGAGAAAGTTCACCTCAATTTTCTCTATTACTCGGTGTTAGAGAATAACGCACTCCAGCGCAATACATCGAACGGTGTCCGCGATTGTGGTCGATGAATCGCATACGGTAGAAGAAAGACGCACAGCGTAATTGTCCATACTTTTTTGCTTGGTGTAGCTTAAGTTTAAGCTACAGCTCAAATCTGAAGATCGCGCTATACGTAAAAATACAACATCCTGCAAACAACACTTAAAAAGCCGGGCCCAGCGTCAAAACATTCACGGACAAAGCAGTGACAAAGAAACTACAAACCAAGGCTCCTTGGTTTGTAGTTGTCCAGATCCAGGCATTTTAGTCGGAAAAGACCAAAGAAACTAAAATATTTATTTAGCCGTAATAAAAAGCTTTAGGCTTTAAGAGTGGTCAAAGAAATTACTACTTTACAACTGCATCTGAGATCAACAAATTCTAATTAGCGAAAATAACATTAACCACAGGAAATAATTACTCAATACGGATTAAACAAACCAACTCCATGACCTCTAAATAAATGTAAGACTTAGTGCAGCAAAAATAAGATCTACTCAGTCAAGTTTAGAACGCAGTGTAGTCACCTATGGGCGAGATAGCCACAAAGAAAAAACCCGTGTTTGTTCAAGCAAACTCGAATTCCGGCCAAGGTCACGTTTTACACTATATCACTAGCTTTTGTGTCCTTTTTAGGCTGTCAACACTTTATTTCTGATTGGCTGGGAAAACTGAAACCAAACAAGTTGTCAACAGGATGTCAAAATGAGTTGAAGGGGGCGGCAGTTGAAAAGGCCACGAATCCGGGCAGGCGGTTTTTATTTTTCTCGCGGCTTCGCCGCTCGTTCTCGCGCGCTTCGCGCGCGAATTTCGCGGCTACGCCGCTCCTGCGCCCGGCTCGACAAAACCGCCATGCTACGCAGGCTACTATTCCGCTTGTAAGATACGCATGCAAACGTCACGCAATTAAGTAAATGACGCATGCAGGCCAAGTAAACAACAACTACTTGATGGCGTAATAAGGGGGGGACACAGCCCTGTGGCAGGTTATAGCGACTTCGGGTTATGCGCGCAAAATAACACGAGCCTTTCTTATCGCCCCACTACCGTGGGGTGGGGCAAGAGTCTTAGCAGAGTCTTTCTTATCTCCCCAGCGCCGCTCGGGCTGGATCGGGTAAGATTAAGGCAAAGGAATAGCTCAAAAGATGGCAAGACACAAGCAATGCCAAAAGCTTGGGGGAAGTCGCAACGCAGACTTAACCGCACCACAAGGAGTGACCCACCGAAATTTATTGAAACATAATATAACAACAACTCCTCCAAAGGGAGGGAGGGCGGGTGACAAAACTACTTTAAATGATTGCTTTCGTGCAAGCTAACCAAATAATGACTAGGAGTGGCATTGGCAAAGATTTATAGTCAGACAACTTATCATGACTAAGGTCTAGCCATGAATAGATCTGAATAGGGCTTTGAAAACAGGGACCAATCTTTGCGAAGCTAAGAAAATATACGATGACAAGCATGCGACAAATTAGTGAGGTTCTAGCCATGAAAAGCTTTTGTTTTCTGCTTAAAGAATAGAGTGCTTTCATTTAATGAATCAGTCTTTCAAGACATCACCGAGCCTAAAACGTGGCAGGCTTTCTCGGCCTACCCCCCTGGGGCTTCATGCTCCATTAACTGCATTTACCCGCTGGTAAATGTCTTATATTATAAACTACAGTGCATTTACAAAACGCGGAAATTTTCTCCTGACTCTCAGTAACATACACGGAGTCAGTCGTTGCAGATTTTATTTTCATAATGTTTTTAATTGATGAAGTGTACAAACGTTCGTAAAACGTTCTCTTCCTTGCTTCATTTGTTAAGTTGTCGTCCTCAGTCGATGTGTCTTTAGGAATATGTCCCAAGTCAAACAAACTGTTCAACAGGTACTTTCTAGTACGACAGCTTCCGCAGCCTGCGTATATTCCGTTTCATCATCTTCCATAATGCTACGTAATGTTTTCATGACCTTTTTGTGCACTTGGTCAGTTTTAAGGTCATGGTACCACCTTAGATATTGTAAAAGTGCGTCGGTTCTTTTTTGCGGCAACAGCGAGTAGAAGGCTTCAAGCTTGAGCCTGAGCATCATCCTTCGGCAAACCCTGACGTAGATTTTCTTCCACCTGTTGCTCCCAAAATGGATTCAGATCATTGATGACTTCTTCTCGAAGTTTATTCCAAGGTTCAAAGTCTTCATTGTCTGTGTCACCATTTGTATTTTCTTCGTCTTTTTCAGTTTCTTTGTTACTAGTTCCTTCGTCTTCGTCAACAGCATCGTCATCATCATCATCGTCCTCTTCGTTATCTTAATTTACACATTTTCTCGCACACAGTCCGCGTCATACTCTTCTGTTTTTCGTTCCAAGTCCTCTTCCTCGTTTGAAAAGCTTGTCGTTGCTTCTTCGCCGTCAAATCGTTTGGGACAACCACTGTCTCATGTCGATCTCTGTTGAACTTACGGCTAAATGTTCTCTGACAGAATTGACAAAAATGTGTTATTATCACGCCGTCGTAAATCGATGATAGGAATGAACAAACAAAAACTTCTTTAATTTATAAGGGTGAGTCACTCAGGAAGGAATGCTGGGACCAATTTCTGTTAGCGTTAGTCTAAAATGGCTTCTTTTATACAAGATAGAGTATTTCAACCGGTTTATCAGGAAATTACATTATCTTACATTATTTTAAACCTAATTTACACGTATGGCATAAGCTTCGTGCGCAAGGCGAGCGGATGGAAACAATTTGCTTGTTCGAAAAAGAAGGAAAACATTAAAGCTTTCAAGAGTAGATTAGAAAAGGGGAATAATTAAGGCAAAATGGTCAGAAGGCATAACCTTGGTTTTAGGGCGTACCTCTTAATTCCTGACAGAAAATTGAGCCCTTGGAACAAAGTTGTTGAATGTAGGGCTATGTATTCGCACTTCATTAAATCTGTAATATTTTTCGCACTATAACAAAAAGGCGTACCTCGTTTTTAGTTTCGCTGTTTGACCTGTATCAAAAGTGATTTGTGATGTATTCATATTCGACAATAACAAATGCTTTCGATCGAGGCAAACCGTTGATGACAAATGCCCCCGCCTTGGAAACACCTTGTACTGATCTGACTGGACCATTAATGAATTAGAGTAAAAATATCCCAGAAAATATACAAAATACTAAAGGTGAAACAAGGTGAATTAGGTTTTCTTACAGACATTCCCTGCGTGAAAGGCGCAAAGATGATGGCCGTGTTACCAAAAAAAGAAAAAAGAAAAAAAAGTAAAGGAGGAAAAAGACACTATGGTTAGTCGAAAAATCTTTAATTCATGGTAAATTGTAATTTTAATCTAAATTTGAATCAGTGTCATACTTATCGGTAAGTCGAATTTTTAAGAAGACGTCAATCAAACGCGATCCCTTCTTTTGTTATTTATGCTTTGCGGCACTATTTAAAAAATAGCAAATCCATTAAACTTTTTAACACTCGTATTAAGGAGCACCTTTTTGAGGACAGGAACTCCCACATTTTGAAGCATCTCAACAGTTCTAAGAATTGTAAAGATAAATGTGGAGTGTCTTGCTTTAAAATTATTGACACTGCTTGTTCTTATTATCAACTTATGGTCAAGGAGAACTTTCATATTGAACATCTGAAACCTGAACTTAAGCAAATTGAGCATGTAAGTTTAGCATTACATTTTTAAATTACTGTTTACCTTTGTAGTTCGTTTACTTTTCTTTAATATTATTGGCTGATTCTACTACATTTAGCATTACATTTTAATTTTTTCACTTACCGTTATAGTTCGTTTAGTTTTCTTTCCATATTATTGGCTAGCTTTGACATGTGCAACGAATTTTGTATTTATAAGCAATCATTGTTTGGATAGTTATATACACCGATATACTTGTACTCCATTAGTATTATACCTTGTATGGCAGAAGATGATGTTTGAAACATCGAAACATGTTCCACAAACTTAAAAGTGTCATTGTGTTTTTAAAAATTTAAAGACATTACCCTTGCATTAATTCAAGGTAAAAAAAAGTAAATTAATAACAGTTTTTCTGGTTATATTTGTGTCTAAAATAACGAGCATCTCCAACTATTTTTTCGGCCCTAAAAACAAAAATATGCCCATTGCACGTAAAGAAAACTATGATAAACTATGGGATGGAGAGAGCCAGGATTTTTTTAATGAAATCAGTCCGGGTACGTGTGAACGAATTTCATGCTGCACATTTAGGAAGGAACAATTTAAAAACATTACGCAGAATGTGTCGACAGGTGTTTGAATGTTAACTTTTCCCATTATTTACCATTCAAAATTCCTTCCAATTAACCAATTTCTCTTAATGCATTAGGCCTGCAATACTTAACTAAAAACACTCTCAACATTGTTGTAAACTCTCAATGTTTGCTCAGTAGAAGAATATATAAGAGACATCGAGAATACTTAGTGTCAGATAATATCAGTCTGATATCAGTTACCTGATGTACTTGAGGGACAGCCACGATGCATGAACACCAACTGAAGAACTTTGTATGGAAGCCTTTCCCCAGTCAAGGTAAAACCCTGATGTTCTTTTTGATCATTTCCAATTTTCATTTTATTGTACGGTAAATTTATATAAATTAAAATTATAAGCCAAACAATCACTGCGACAAGAGAAGAAAGGCAGTCAGAAAATATTATGGCCGTGAATTTTGCCTTCACTCAAATTCTATTTTTTTAAAGTAATATCTAGTTCGAAACCGTTAGTACATAGTGCTAACTACTCGCGCATTTCTTACATATCGCAAAAAATGTAAGGAAAAAGACTATTTTGCTCAAAATTGGCTTGAATGTCACTAGTTATAACCTTAAGCAAACTTCGTATGAAGACTTTCTAGATAACCACGAGTGATCGCCACTCGAGATACTGGGATTTTGGAAATGGGTCAGGTAAAATGGGTTCGATAATAAAGGTTATGGGTTCATTAAAAGCGGTATTCAAAGCACTCCTTTTTAACCACTCAAAATGGAATTCCCACGCTCTTCTTTTTTTCCCCAGGTTAGAATCATGGTTGCGCAAAACTCCAGCCAGTTTGCCTACGAAGCGTGCCTGATTGCTGATCTTCCAAGTGATGTTCAACACCACATCCTTAACATTGGCAACTACGTTTTCCGTCCTCTGAATTTTAGTCTGGCTTTTTTTTCATTTGTTTTTAATACGCTTGTTATTATAGCTGTGGCAAGAACAAAATCTCTTCGATATCCTGCGATGCTTATGATGTGCAGTTTGGCAGTGACTGACGTAATATTTTCTCTGTTTTCTATGTACAGATACATAGAAATATTCACACACGAACACATGTGTCAAACATCTCACCCGTTCCAGTCCGCCTTTAGTATTTTTTGTAGCCATGCAACGCTCGGTAACCTAGCAGTTATCAGTAGAGATCGCTATTTGGCAGTCCGAAGGCCGTTGTGGTATCGTAATCACGTGAAGAATCAGCGTGCTTTTAAGGCAGTATGTGTACCCTGGTTGACCAGTGTGATAACTGTATTTGCAATTCACTTTTCTCCAAGTTTGGGAGGTGTTTATAGATCTATTGGAGCTATTCTGAGTGTAGTTCTTTTTGTTGTTTATGCAATTGTCATAATATTCTGTTACCTTAGCATTTATTTTCGAAAAACTGTTGAAGTAGGAAATCCAAATGACTCCCTTTTGAAAAGGGAAAAGAGATTAGCTAACACAGTTGCTTGGATCCTTTTGAATTTTGTATTGACCTATTTCCCTTCGTTTCTTTTCCCAGCAGTTTTATTCATAAAAGGATTCAAGAATTTTCTGCCTTTTCGACCTTATTACCTGATTTTTTTTCAGTTAAATGGAGTTTTAAATCCTTTGTTGAACTTCGGTCGTTCTAAAAAGATACGCAAAGCTGTAAGAGATTTGTTTAAATGCCTTCCGCAAGTACAGCCGGGATCATATGTCAATAATAATAACAACAACGGCGCCAGAAAGCCATAATATTTTCCACACAACTGAGCAACCACCGAAATATCCTCACAAAAGCAGGAACAGCACCGACGCAGCAATAATAATGGGACAGTGATTCTATCAACTTTTACACCCGGTGGGTGGAATCCCGTATAAAAGTGACGGGGATATTCGACGGAAAATTACATATCACGACTGTAAATAAATACGCCATGTAAACTTACCACTTACAGCCACCTCGGTCAAACTAAGATAACTTCCGTGCGCGCACACCAGTTGATGAGCGATTTAATGTCAACACTTTTAAAAGTACTATTCGTTAAATAAATAGCTCTGTTAATCAATAAAAGTATTGGGTTTGAGCCATTTTTTGCTATGTAACTATTAAAAAGGGCAAGTTCAGTGTCTTTATGATCTTACGCATCCGCAACCACCCTATTTCGACAACGTGCCGTTAAATTTTTGGCGGAGGAAGTTTTCGTGAATAATAGACAATTAAAAAAAAATGCAAATTAAAAAAAAAAAACATGGCCATCAATACTCAGTAAGTTTGGCGGCCATAGATTGAACAGTGGAAAGCGTATTTGCCAATGTTAAGTATCTGCTGTTGAGCATCACTTGAAAGATCAGCAATCAGGCACGCTTCGTAGGCAAACTGGTTGGAGTTTTGCGCAACCATGATTCTAACCTGGAGGAAAAAAAAAGAGCGTAGGAATTCCATTCTGAGTGGTTAAAAATGAGGGCGTTGAATGCCGCTTCAGTTTAATGAACCCATAACCTTTATTATCGAACCCTTTTTACCTGACCCATTTACAAAATTCCAGTATCTCGAGTGGCGATCACTCGTGGTTATCTAGAAAGTTCAGTTTTCATACGATGTTTGCTTAAGGTTATAACTAGTAACATTCAAGTTAATTTTGAGCAAAATCAAAATTGAGTCTTTTTTCTTACCTTTTTTGCGATATGTAGGAAATGCGCGAGTAGCACTATGTACTGACGGACTCGATCTAGATATTACTTTGAAAAAAGTAGAATTTGAGTGAAGGCGAAATTCACGGCTAAGAGATTTTCAGACAGCCTTTCTTTTCTCGTGGCAGTGATTGTTTGGCTTATAATATTTATTTATATAAATTTACCTTACACTAAAACGAGAATTTCAAATTATTAAAAAGGACATCAGGCTTTTACCTTCAGTTGACTGGGGAGAGGTTTCCTCATAAAGTTCTTCAGTTAGTGTTCATGCGTCGTGGCTGTCCATCAAGTAACTGATATTAGATTGATATTATCTGATACTATGCATCTTGATGTCTCTTATATAATCTTCTACAAAGTAAACATTTAGAGTTAGCAACAATGTTGAGAGTGTTTTTAGTTAAGTATTGCTGGACTGATGCTTTAAGAGAAATTGGCATGGTTAATTGGCCGGAAGGTAATCAGAATGGAAAATAATGAGAAAAGTTAACATTCAAACACCTGTCGACACATTCGGTGTTATTATTGAAAATTATTCCTTCCTAAATGTGCATGCAGCATGAAATTTGTTCACACGTATCTGAACTGCTTTCACGAAAAAGTCCTGGCTCTCTCTATGTCGTAGTTTATCATCACAAAAATCAAGTTTTCTTTGCGTGCAATGGGCATATTCTTGTTTTTAGGGATGTAAAAGAGTTGGAGATGCTCGTTGTTGCGACACAATTAGCACCAGAAAAACTTTCATTTACATTTATTTTTACCTTGAATTAATTGGCTGTCTTCCGCATTTCATTCAAGCGTAATTTCTTTAAAGATTTTAGTGTAATTTCTATTTTTTAAATAGTGCTGCAAAGCATAAATAAAGAAAAGGGGAACGCGTTTGATTGGCATCTTCTTAAAAATCTGACTTACCGATAAATATAATACCCATTCAAATTTAGATTAAAATTACAGTTTACCATGAATTAAAGATTAATTTTTTCGTCTCAATATAATGCCTTTTTCCTTCTTTTTTTTTGGTGACACGGCCATTATCTTTGCGCCCTTGACGCAAGGAATGGCTGTAGGAAAACCTAATTCGCCTTGTTTCACCTTGAGTACTTTGTATATTTTTTGGGATATTTTTACTGTAATTCATTAATGGTCCAGTCAAATCAGTTCAAAAGTTTCCAAGGTGGGGCATTTGCCATCAACGGTCTGCTTCCATCGAAAGCATTTGTTATTGTCGAATAAGAATACATCACAAGTCACAATTGATACAGGTCAAACAGAGAAACTAAAAACGAGGTAATGCGAAAAATACTACAGATTTAATGAAGTGCGAATACATAGCCCTGCATTCAACAACTTTGTTCCAAGGGCTCAATTTTCTGTCAGGAATTAAGAGGTACGCCCTAAAACCAAGGTTATGCCTTCTGACCATTCTGCCTTAATTATTCCCCTTTTCTAATCTACTCTTGAAAGCTTTAATGTTTTCCTTTTTTTTTCGAACAAGTAAATTGTTTCCATCTGCTCGCCTTACATACGTAGCTTATGCCCTATGTGTAAATTAGGTTTCAGATAATGTAAGTCCTGATAAACCGGTTGAACTAGTTTATGTCGTATAAAAAAAACCCTGTTTTTGGCTAACGCTAGTTGAAATTGGTCCAGAGTGACTGAAACTTATAAATTAAAAGAGGGATTTTTGTTTGTTCAATCCTATCTAACTTTCATCGAGTTACCACGGCGTGCGAATGGTAATTAAAGAGCAGCTCTTAGCAACACGGAGTAAACAGTGAGCACTTTTGAGCAGCTCAGCGCAGCTCCAAGGAACCCATACCTCAGATATAAGTAACTAGGACCATTCTTGTTTGTGTGCTTTTTCCCGTTAACCTCCATGAAGTTTTCAGTGAGTTGTTTGAGCTGTTTTTTCTTGTAAGCGATCATCGCGTTTTGAACTTGCTTTTTTATGGTGAACAAATACACTGTTTCAGCCACTCGTTATAAGTATTCAGAATTGAATTTCAAATGAACACATTTAGTGGCCTCATTGGCTCGGTTCAACCTTGACGTGCACTTTGAACATTTTCCTTGGATCAGGGCTTTGTTTATATTTTGATCTAGTAGGCTTTGTATGTTATAACGTTTGCATTTTTGTAAATTGCGCCTTTTCATTTACGGGTTCTGAAAGGGCAAAAGAGCTCTTGGAACTATATTATGTGATGCAAAAGACGAAGGAGACTATACCGTTATTCGTATAGCCATATATATAATTACGATTGTGTCTACTATATTTCTTTCATTCTAGTAAGTTCTAGTATTTATCTAAGAAGCTAAGAATTACAATTTTCGACTTGATTTTTTGGTTAACTGAAAAAAAACACGTCATCATTTATATTTTAGAGTAATTACAGCTTTGGTTTAAATCAAAAGCTACCGATTTAGATATCAGAAATGAAATGGGCAAATACTTAAATCACCTTCAGTATGCTGCGAGGGTAATTCTAATTTCATCTCCTGGTGATGAAACTCTTAGTGTACTAATAATTCTTCATAACTATTCATTTTCCACAAATATCTGCCAATAAAAATTTCTTTTTGTGGAAAGTATTTCTTAAGACCTGAAATTGAGCACTGCGAATTCTCAAGAGATTTGAAAAGCGCTAACAGATCCAGGCGCGGATCTAGGATAAATACTGACCGTTTTCCAAAACGAGCGTCGAAGGTGTAAGCTCCTAGGGGGGGTCCGAGGCATGCACCCCGGTGAATTTTTTTTTTTTTTTACCCCCTAAAGTCACCTGAGTCATTCAGTCAGGATATTGGCCAGATTTTACCTTGGAAAGTTTTTTTTTTCATGAAAAATTTATTTACCTGTGAAAACTCTGACCGATTTTCGTAAAACGGTGGAAACCGGTGTGGATCCGCGCCTGAGATCTTACATGTTTTTGAGATCATCGATTTAAGTTTACTGAGTTGAACTGCATATGAAATCAATGCGCCGTACGAAAAAAGATGGCGGCTGTACAATTTTACCACAATTCCTTTCGAACCTAACACGGCCAATTACACATAAAGTCATATATATATATATTCTTTTTTTTGTGTGTGGCGGGGTCGAAATTCGTCCCTGTAATATCAACATTGCCTATCTTAGGTTTGAAGTTTATAAAACTTTTCTGTGCGTTTTTATGAGCAATTTTATGGTTTTCATGCGCTAAGAACTGTGGGTAAATGTACCAGTCGCCATCTTTTTTAGGTACGGTGGATTGCATATATCGGCCCTTTTGGCGGGTAACTTTCATTTCATGCCTTGGGTGGTCTTTTTCATGTTGACCTTGCAAACCTTCCTTGTATACAGCTGTTTCGAGAAAGGTTGTCGGAAAAACTGTACGCGACAATCCTGAAAGGCATTGTAGGTGGTTTTCAGTTCACTGTTCTTCAGAGAAATTTAAAAGAATTGGCACGAAAGGCCATGAAAATGTGTTTGCGAGTGCTAACGGAAAGGAACAAAGTAGGTTCGACAGCTACAGTCGTCAGGAACAGTATATCGATCATATCCCATATTACCTTTCGGGATTGTCGCGTGCACATTTTTTCCGACAACTTTTCTCGAAATAGCTGTATGTAAAAGCATTATTCAAAATCGACATTAAACCTCATCATTAAAAGAATCAGACGCCTACGTTATTGTCTTCACCCCCTCAGGTAAGAACAATTTGCAACTCGTTATTATTTTTAACCTCCTACGACAAAGTCTTAATTGTTTTTCTTTTATGTACCTACATGCCCTGCATCTCATTATCCCCCAAAGTGGTTTGTCCCATCCCAAAGCAGGTTTATCCGAGAAACTAGTTCCAAAATCGGTTTGCCCAAGCAGATCTCAGCCCATAAATTAAAGTAGCCCAAGCATCCGTCATAGACTACTCCTAATCGACGATTTGGAGCTTGTACATTAGGATAAGCAAAGATTCGCCATCAACATTTCCCGAATTTTTCAAAGTAACAAGCAGTTTAGCATGTTATGTTTTCGTGCTCGCGTGGTCAGGTTACACTGATTTAACATCAGAACGGAACCTCATTTGACGACGGGAAAGCTCGCGAAAGCACTTCCGGTGCTCAATTTGCCGCTCTGCCACTGGTAAAGCCAGTTGTATGATTTGCGCGCACCATCGTCAACTGACGTTCTCGTTCTTTGCTAAATCAGCCTAACTGTCATTTCGGACTTTTGAAAATATGTTTCATGTTGTATCGTAATAGACTTAATCTGACGCCTTTCTATTGCAGCTTATATATATTTGTTAGTGTAAAGTGGTAAGGAGGTTTCACTGCATTGTTCATTCCCTTTAATCAACCCCGTTATAACACACTGAGGGGGCCAAAGTGTCCGTATCAATGGGGTGTCTGTATTAGGCGGGTTGGATTTAAAGAAAATGTAAAGGCTTCTTTCCCCAGGGACTAAGCAAACTGTCCGTAATAATGAGATGTCCGTATCCTATTAGGAGGGTGACCAAAAAGCGGGGTTTGACTATAGTTTTAGTGATTTCTCCATCACTGCTTTTTTAGTGCCACACCTGGGATGTCTCGTCGCTGTCATGGAAAACCGAAGGCGTTAGTACGACCCTCATTCCAGACAATGGTAAAGGAGGTGTTTCTGTGGACTGTAAAGCATCTTCACTGGGATTCATGACAGTATTTGCTGTTAATTCCTCCGTCATGCCTGCTACTCAAACCACTCAATCTGCCTCTTCTGAAATACCCACACCGGCGGACGACGAAGCTGTTCATATCCAGATTAAGCTTATTGCTCAATACGGAGCACACATCACTACCGAGTCAAGTAAACAAGCATTAATCGTCATTGTAGTACAGGCTCTTGCTGACACGATGGACGTCAACGCATCTCGTTTAAGAAACGTCGATGTTCGACCAGGAAGCATTTTGGTCTCTTTCACGTTGATACCGGGAGGACCTGGAGAGAGTGATGTCACCACAGCCGCTTCAGCGCTAAGGCAGCTGGTCGCCAATGGAAACTTCTCAGTGACTTTGGCAGACGGACGGACTTTGTTTGCAGATGCGACTTCCTTCCAGTCCTCCTCGACTCCATTCACCACTCCTTCTCAGGCCTCTATACCCGCCACAGATCACGTTCTGTCCGAGACCTCCTCGGAATTCAAAATGGGGGTGTTTGTTGCAATTGTCTTGGGTTCGCTTGTGGGCCTGGCAATCTTGGCCACTGGGGTCATTTTATTCCTCAAAAAGCGAAACAAAGTCTCTAAAGTTGGCGGCTCTGAAGAAGATCTGCATAAACCAGTCTTCTCTTTGCAAGCATCCGGTAATTATGCCAGTTTTAAAGATGTGCCTGTGTTGATATTGTACGAAAATTATATCTACTGCTTCAATTTGAAATTTGCTACTTTAGAAACAAGCTCGGGTCTTGCAACGTATAAGTAAATCAACCTGTTCTTACTGGTAAAAGGTTTTTTCGTATGGCACCAGTTGAGACAGATCTTTGCCCCAAAGGATTCATCTTAATTTGCAAGTACTACACTGTCATTTGTGAAAATCTGAGATCTCGCTGAATTTTTAAGTTTGATCAATTTCTATCTTTCTGTCCTGCAAGTTAGAATTCTACCGTAAATCAAAGATGTATGCAGTCATTTTAATCACAATACCATAGGCCATTTGTACAAGGGCGTCGTTTTTACCCAAGACTACGACCAGAATCCTTCACGGTTTTTTTTTCTTGTGCAAATTAGGGCTTTTGTTACTTAAACCTCGCTGGGATTAAAGTGACCAATAAGGCGTCATCGTGCAAATGACCTATTAGTCCCCTTTTACTAGACGGAAATTTTTCAGATTTAGCGCTTGTGGTAAGTTTTCACAATTTTTATTTTTCAGATTTCATTTTGATTACTAAAATGAGAGGCGACTCTGCCTTCATTGTTCGTCCTGAAAACATAACTTTACGTCCAAAGGACGGTTTCAATTACTTTTCTCTTTTCTCTAAGTTAAATACTCTGCACAAGAGTCAAAGAAAAATTAAATATTTATTGACTGTCGGTCTGTTTAAGGTCACGAGAACAAAGATGTTCAAAAAGAAATACGGAAAGGTATGTACTAGACCTTTTTTATATTATTTTGATTCATGGCACAACACACTGTTCATTCCATCATATGGTCACTGTGGTAGCCTGCGTTACAGGCGAAACTAAACTCTGGTTAAGTCCGTCTGCGAAACAGCGAGAAGTCCTTGTTCTGGCCTCCCGGCTGTGTACCAGGATTTGAGTATGCGCCATGACTGGCCAGCTAAAAAAGCCTTTGTAGATTTGCCAATCAAGATGAAAGGAAATTCGAAACACACTTCCGGTAATTCGCTCACTCCGTTTGGTGCCCAGAACAAGAATATCAGCGCTGCTTCGCAGACGTTACTAACCAAGGTTAAATTACATCTACGAAGAAGGCTATCAGAATGGGTGTTTTTCCTTTTTTCTTCGTTTTTTCTTTACTGTTGTTAATTTTTCTTTATTTTATTTTTCATTTTCATTTTATTATTTTTTAAATTTTTTATAACTTACAGCTCGCGTCGTTAGCAGGCAGTAGGTGTCCCTGATATAAACTTGGGAATTTATTGTGGGCATTAGTGGCTTATATGTTACGTTCGCAACAATACGGGCAATACACTGGCAATAATAATGGGTTATACATAACAGTATGGACTTAAAGATTTGCGACGGAGAGTAGCTTCAATAAGATCAATTCACTTCCGGTGACGTCGCCACCTGAGCTGCAGTACGGCTTTCCCTCCGGCCGTAGCTTGTGCAATATCTTGTACACGCCCATTAACATTGGTAAAGCGACGCCTGGTTAGCTCAGTTGGGAGAGCGCCGGTCTGCTGAGCTGGAGGTCGGTTGTTCATACCCCGGCCGAACCAATACTCAGCGTCTTTAAATAACTGAGAAGAAAGGGCTGCCTTTGTAATGACATCTGCAAGCGGTTAGACTTTCTAGTCTCAGATAAGGACAAAAAATCGTAGGTCCCGTCGCACAGAACTTTCACTTATCTGGTCCTTTTGGGACGTAAAAGAACCCATACCACTGTTCGAAGAGAGTAGGAGACGTAGACCCTGGAAATGTGGCCAACTTTGGGGTGAGAGATGTTAATATAGGGATAAACTCATAATCCTCCTCAGGTGTCTTAAACACCTGTAAAGAGTGTATGAATGTATGAATGTGAATTTTATCATCGGTTGAGAAAAACCACAAGCGCGTCGATACAACCGCATAAGGAGAGTTAACGGTAAGTTGAAATACTCCTAGTCGCTTATGCTAAAGTTAGAGACCGATGTAAGTGACAGCATGCCGATCCACGTATTTGCCCTTTATTTAATGCGTAGTTGCCTCTCATGCTGAGATAATTTTGCTAACGAGTTGTTTAAAAAAATGTTTCTACAGAGGAACGCAGGGGCAGTGAATACCCAATGGCTGATCTCCGCAGAGAAGGTAGGCTATAATTTCTGACTCTAAATGATATTCCCGGTTTTATACTACTACAAGAAAAATTTCTGCAATTTGATTGGCTTAGAGCAGTGATATTTCATCTTAATTTGAAATACAGATAAAATTACCCATTTGAAAACAGACAAACATTGGTGGTTGGTACGTGTCAACTCCCTCGTGATATCTCGCAATTGTCGTACAGAGTCTTTTGAAATTCTTGAAAAAGCATTGAAAAGTTTATTACCTATACAATTTTTCCAAAAGACCTGAAAAAACCCCTGGAAAATTTGAGATAAAACTCCCTCTACATCTGGGGTCGTAAAATGAGTTTATTTTCATAGCTGCAACAAGTGGTTATAAGTGAAATTTTGTTTCGTTTTGGTCAAATCTTACCCAATCTCGCCCGTACATTTGCAGTATATCGTGATTAAAAGCTTTGTTCCTGTTATTTTTCAATGTTCGACTTGTCTTTTTGCTGTTCTTGCCATGTTTTTAGCTATTATTTCGCCTTGTTCTTACTCTTGAAACTAGTGAAATGTCCGCGATTTTTGTTTTCACAACCAAAACAACTCAACCTCGTCCCCAGGTCTTCTCGGTTAACGATGTATTAACCAGCAAGGAAGCTGCACTTTTCACGTCATCGGTTGCAAAAAATTTTCAAATTTGGTCATCAGTGCCTGGTTATGGTGAATTATGCGTGTGCTTTTAGCCAATCAGAATCGCCTCGGGGAAAAAATTTGAATGAATAATAACTGATATTAATCCACCTTAAATAAACTGCTAAAGCCGGTTTAAAAAGATATCTAGCCCAAACGTACGCTAAACTAAGAGCCTGAGAAAGCAGCCGACATTTCGGAAGGTCACTACTGGTTTCCGTGCGAAATGACGTTCTGAGGAACGACAATAGACTGAAATTCCATACTGAAGACATGTCACTACCTAGGTAATGCTTCTGATTGGTGAAAACAAATTCCTCCGCGGCACGACCACTCAGCTTCAACGTTTCTACTTTTCTCAGACGTCATCTCGCAGGGACATTAAACCGGTGGTGGCCTCCCGAAATGTCGGCTGTTTTCTACCGAAATAAAAGAAATTTTTTAAATGAAGTAACCTTGTGCTTCTTTTTTTCTGCCTACATGAAGCTGATACACCGCTGCCTGGAACTCCAATTTATTCCTAAAGTTTTGAGGTGACTGTGCAGTATCACTTGTTCGCTGAACAAGCTGAAGATTTTTTTTAACATTTCAGACATTTGCACTCAACGTTTAGATAAAGATTAAATATCAATACTTAAAATTAAATTGAAGTTATCATTGACACAGAACGCAGAGGAGTCTTATTTGAGTGTAAGTCAACTGTCCTACTTGGGGAAAGTTGTTAACCCTTACCGGGCGTTCGGATAGAGAAGCGAAGTGCGAACGAGGAAAAGAAACGGAAGGGAGAAACAGAGAGGAGAAAATCGAATCATTCCCTCTGTTTCTTCGCTATTCTATTTTTCCTGGAACAGGCTATGAACTCGTCGTTTCAGTGTCTGTACACAGCAATACAGTTGCCTCAGTTCCATGTGGTAGTTTCGAATTATTTAAATTCATACAGTACTTGACTTCGAGACTGAGGGGTATAAAATATGAGAAATCGCATTTTGATTTATGGATGAATAGTTCATTTCATTTCTTCTGTTCTCATCATTCTTAAAGTCAACAATTAGTATGCTGTTAATTCGAAACTGGTCAATTGGATTAGTTGATCCTTAATCTGGTCAAAATCTCTGAAGGTAAAGATCGGTTTGTGCTTCAAGTTCATGGCGAATCTAATCAGAATGTAACGATCAAATAATATTTCTCTGCACTCTGTGACACAGTTAAGGTACTAAATATTCGGCGTTAGGTTTTTTGTAGCTTGATAACGTTTGTATCTGAAGTTTAAATAAACTTAAAGGCAATAAGCAGTAAAATTCACCAGTCATTCGTTTCATTCTTATTACAGTGCAAACGACAATTTTACCACGCGCACGTATTTAGGGTTACAGGTGTAACGCCATAAGCTGCACAAATCTGTTTGTACTTGCGTTTATTTATAACTGACGTTTTACTACCCTCACGGTCGTGATATCTAAGATATTAAAAAAAACACATGCATTCGCTTGCATGGCCATTTTTCCTTGCTTATCTTCGGCGGGTGAATGAGACTCATTCTTACCGCTCGAAAACTTATTTGAATATCCACCAAAGTGGGGTAACCTCTCCAAGGGGAGGACGCGAGAGGGACTCCTAGAAAGATTTTCTTCAACGAACTGAAATTCGGTGAATATATAAAATGGTAGGGGACTCTTGTTTGCTAGAGTTTCGTTAGAGAAGTACTTATTCGTGGAGGAGCTTATCAAACTGTAAATGGGCGCAAGGAAGGCTCAAGGTTTCCGCGACGTCATCTTGAACCCGTGACGAGCGTAGTTAAGATACGCGGTTGCAAGATGGAATCATTTGACTGTAACTTTCAGAATCAAATCCATTTTCGCGTCTTTGTCAAATTCAATAATCCTAGTGCAGTGTCCAGGAAACAAAAAATGGATTTCATTCTCTCTGGTAGTTATAAATAAATGGCTCCATTGTGAAAAAATAAAACAAAAACAAACACGTTATCAATCTAGAGTCGAAATTAAAATAAAAGCTTGTTAATTGCACCCTCTATGTTAAATATTCTTTTAATATAACGTTTTTGCGTGATATCAATAAAACCGGTAGGAAAGGAAACAGGTTAAACTAATAGTATTTAGGCAGGAAAAAAGTGGTTAATTTTAATCTTAAATATTTAAGAGGTGTTTCAGTAACCAGTCTTTTTAATATAACAAAGTAAAAATAATCATTACACGATGTTGCTAACAGTCGATGCACTAAACCATTAAAAGACTTTGTTATCACAACATGCCTTGGTTCTCAACTTCTTGAGCCTACAATAATGCCGCGAATAATTGTTATGCCCGGCCGTGCCACAAACTATGCTTGGATGAACATTTTCTACAAATATAAACGAAAGTTCTTGTACTATATTTGTACTTGTTACTACCAATTAATAAGGTTATCAGTTTTCTTGCAAACAAGTTAAAGTTTAAAGTATGTAGTTTCCACTTGCAATGCAGAGTGGTGAGCGATTAAATGTTCGAGCGAGAAATGATACCCAGAATTTATTAGTCTAATATATTTCAATAACAATGAACATGTTCTTTATTCAAACGCAATCGATCGTCCCTTTTTACAAAAGGCTTGCTACGCGATCAATTTTTCCTGTTTTTTTGAGCGATAACATAGGACTTAACATAACTTCAGACAAGAATATATTTTTTTTCCCCTTAGCTACCACGATTTTTATCTGAAATTACCCACCCCTTCCCCTCAAAAATCAGAAGATTAGCAACAACGCAGGGGAGGAGGGACTGGAAACCTTATCCGTCCGCCATTTTGTCTTTTTCCTGCACAGACGAGGCGGCCTCCAATTTTTGATTGGGCTTTGCCCAAAGGGCAGCCTAATAAAAGCGAGCAGGAGTGTATTATCAGGTTTACAAACTCTCGGCTTCGCCTCGAGTTTTTAAACCTGATAATACACGACTGCTAGTTTTTTTAACGGCTTCAAAATCTCTGATATAAATCAACTCATTTTTGGACGTAAAGTTTACCCGTGTGCGATTCGAATACTTGAGTCCCTGTACAGTATATTGGTTATTTGCGAGGAGGATTAAAAAGGCACTATTTTCGATGTTAAAAATTAAATCTACAGACATGATTCTAATGGTTGTTTTATGTCAATCGTATTGCACATACTCCAGTTGCTCATCTGCACTCAGATCTCCACCGGAGAGCAAACTACTTTATAAGAACAATTAAGCATGGAGTTAATTACAAAATGCTTTAAAATCTTCCCATCATTGTGACGTAATCCTGACTGGGAGGGACTCCTTTTGAGCCAACCATATCACCGTCAGGGGGAGGGCGGGGAATTTCCGCCAGACTATCAAACATCTCAGGCTCGACAATCACGGGCTCCTGTGGTTGCAGCTCGAGTTCGTCCACAGGTGAAAACAACGACGACATCGAAGGTGATTCCACTTCTCGCGGGTCTTCCTTCCCGTGCTCGAAGGCTATATTATCGTCACCCAACTCGTTTGGATCATCAAAGTCACTGTCATCATCATCACAGATGAGTTTCGGGATTGATCCCGAGGGATTTTGGTCGTGAGCCGTGGGCTCGAGCATGCCTGGTAGGTACGAGGTTCTTGCCCAGTCGTAATTGGCTAAAGCGCGTTCGTTCACTTTTTGAGGCTTTGTATAAGCCATGTCAAATTTAGATGGTTCTTTTCCTTGCCGTTTTTCCTCTGATGAAAAAAAAAATAATGTTAACAATAATAATAATAATGTCCAGTTTGGTATTTTGACCTCTTCTTATCACAAACAAAATTCTGGGACTTTATTTCCTTAGTTCTGTTCCAAATGGAGTAACAGCACCTCTAAAATGGCATTGAAATCGTTCTTGATGTTTTGACTCTTTTTTCTGTTTTTTAAAAGAGATCAAACCTTTAAAGTACCCTCCGACTGTTAGAAACTTCCGTCTCTTTATTTGTAGCGTCCCTCTCAGCAAGTTCTGATGATAGAAGATCTGAAGCCCGTCGTATATTACGTTTATTTCTCAAACTCATTAATAATTCATAAAGAAAATTCAAAGGAAATTAATGTTTAATGAGTGTTTGGATATCTGATGAAAAACTGCTCATATTTGCATCCTTAATTTCTCCTTCAAAAATGATTTTGTTTGAGAAGAAATATCAAACCTTCGACACAGTGTTTCATCACCAGGTGAAACACCTCGAACAAAAAATACTCGTATTTTCATTGTTTCATCTGGTGATGAAACACTGCATTATATATTAGGGCACGTCGAATTTAACATCTGACGAACCTTATGCTAATGAACAAACTCTATTATCCTCTTTCATTAGCATTAGGGTCGTCGCTTGTGAAGTTCGACGTTTCATCCTGGCCTTTTCCGTCTTGTAATAATTTGAAATCTTTACCTAATGCTTCTCGCATTCTGGCCTCTAGCAACTCTTGTTTTCTTCGCTTTTTTTCTATTTTACTCAATGGTGTGCTGTTGACATCTGTGAACTTCTTCCTCTTTAACCACCACGAATGAACGGCGCACATACAGCACACGAAAACAATAAATCCTCCAAAGCCCGCTGCCACCGCTATAATGATCGGCGAGTAATCGGTGTCGAGAGAATAGAACTTGGTAGGTTTGCTTGTCAATGTTGGAATTGTTGTTTCACTTGGTATTGGTACAGTGTGTGACGCTGCAGTTTAAAAGAAATCTTCGATAAATATTGATTGCACCAGATGTGCAATTTTACAGGTATGTTGTGCTAGGTGCCCGGGCTAGGTGCAACCTCGTTTCTAGGGTCCCTCGCGGTTAGGCTAGGTGAAAATTTCGAGATGACAATGATTTGGGGTGGCCTCTACTCTATGTTATGATTCAGGTTAAAACGTTCATCCAAACGGATTGTTTTCCTTTGATTTGAGAAGCTCAAATTTTACTCGCGCCAGTGGAAGGAGGGGGGGGGGGGGGGAGGGGTGGGGGGTATACAGCTACAACCATCATTCCAACCATCATTCCATTTAGGAGGAATGAATTCGCTGATTCAGAGTACAGTAAGCGAAAGCAAGTAGAAAACGTCGGGTACGTAAAGAGTTTGAAAGAGTTGGGCGGGAAAGCACGGTTTCTTGGGTTTACTTTTTTTCTTTCTTTTTGTTGCCTCGGACATGGAGTCCAAAGCTACCTTCATAAACCTCCAGCCCAGCTACAAAAAAATAACCCGTTTTCCTCCCCCACGTTTATAATTGCGTTGATCTAATATCCATCTAGGACCAGTTGTCAGAGCAATCATGGACTCTAAAATCGGTGCAACGTTTTGCTAAGTAAATCAATATCAAACAACAGATCTTTTTACCGTTAATAACGTAACTTGCAGTAGAAGAAATAACTGTGCTCATCGATGTTGTTGTTGTTGAAAAAGAATGTGAGCACATATTTGATGTTCAGTGTTTCTTTTAACCTATAAAAGGCTATTATTCGGGGGCTTAATGGCGCGTATTTATTTATTTATTTATTAATTCGGTGGCTAGGAAAACGCCAAAGAAATTGTTGTCTTCAATAACCGGAACGAAACGTCATTTGAAAAAGAAGAATACATAGTGATTGATTTCAGGGAACAGTCGAAAAGAATACCCTAAAAAGTTTCTTCTCTCCTCTTTAACGAGGAATGGTAACACTCGTTGTTCCGTAGCACATGGAACTAAAGCAACCCCCTACCCCACCCACTACAACTTGAAATGTTCTGAACTCCATTTAAAAACAGTGCTGTTGTTACAGAAATGAAGTGGCTAATACACAGTCTCCAATACACCTTTTTGTAAAACACAATGCAAATCTTTTTACCGTTAGTAGCGTTACTTGCAGTTAAAGAACTAACAGTGGTCATGGATGTCGTTGTTGCTGAAAAAGAAACCAAGCATATAGCTGAAGTTCAGTGTTTCTCAGTGTAACCTAAAGCAGGTTTTATGTTACTTTTTTAAATAACCCGAAACGAAACTTGTTGAAAAAAAAGGCTATCATAGCTTTTTAGAAACCTTTGTTCCCTCTGTTTAGTTTTTATGTATGATCCAGGTCATCGTTGTAGCTTTCTTGTGTAAACCACGTGATCGAATGACGTCACTGTGAATAGAATTGTAGTTCCTTTCCTGATTGAATGTGGCATATTAAATAAGATATATTTAAATATATTTTTGTATTAAGCAAATTAAATAAGATGTTTTACATCGTAAATTGTGAGCAGGCATTTATTTAAATATCATAAAGAGATGCAGAAGGATGTTTCGAGTTCGAGATATCTTTAAAAATGACGTTTTTTTTTGGGGGGGGGGGGATTTCTATGTCCAATTTCTTTAAAAAGAAAGATTTCTCCACAGTCCGTTTTAGTTGCTTTTCACTCTTTTCTCTTTGCATTTACCCCCTAAATTGGAATGAAATGACGTTATGGTGAACTCTACCTTGAAGGTGGAGGCAATCACAGGCTGCATTTTATATGAATTTTTTGTAGTGCATAGAATAAAATGACACCACTCATAATTTGTCCGTTATATTGGTTAGAAAATTTGTTCCAGTCTATTGCCTATGTTGAATAAAGCATAAACGTAAATGTTAAACCCGAAAAAATGGCGGAAATACTGCACTTACCAAAAGTACAGCTTGCGTTTTCCCAGCAGACTCCGGCGTTGGAACTATCCAACAGTACGCAGCTGTTGTTGGAGGGGCAATATCTTTCGTTCTGATCAGTGCAGTTGCACTCTGTTAGGTTGTTAGCCTTGTCCACGCATCTTTTCACGTTAGGCAATCCGCACCAAAACTGGGGTATAAATAAGAATAAGGGAACATTTATTATCTTAGTTACTGGTAAGTCATTGATAGAGGGTTGGCTATGAAAGAAAAATCGTAAGATAAGGGATTCAGTCAAAAAAAATGTCAAGCTGTTAATTGTGCTCAATGGCGTTATTACCGTCCACTGGCATGCATGCATATCTGAGTTTGCTGATGTTTTATCAGCCATTTTTGGCAAAGGCATTTCAAAGTACTTGGCGTTCGAATCACCTCCGCATTGTTGCGTAAACGTGTAGTCTGGTACAATAAGGGATTTAATGATAACTTTCCGGTATACTTCTACATTCTATTTGTACTGCACTGAAGCTTCAGTAAGAGGTTCAGCGAAAAAGTTGTTCTTCAGCACCGTTTTTTTTTACAACATATTTCAATAGTTAGATTACCATTCATTCTGGATTGTCAGAAGCCAAATTACTACACCGCCTTGATTTCGGATTAAGGTAGTAAAGTAAAAACCCAGTAGCCTGCGTTGTAGCCGGCCCGCGTACTCGCCTAAACCAGGGCCGAGTTGTTCAAAGTTGGGTTAAGATAACCCAGGGTTAGTGCGAGATTTGAATTCAGATTTGAAAGCTTAAAAAGCATTTCAGTTTTAATTCGTTTTGTCTACAAGTTGATCATTGGAAGCCCTAAAAATAACAGGGAAAATTATCCGAGAAAATGCTTTCGAACACAAGAGAAAGAAAGCCGGGTTAAATTAAACCCCGAGTTAATCGCTAATCGGCCTTCGAACAACTGGGCCCAGTTGTATAGACGCTCTATATAGAAGGTTTTGAGCGTCTGCGACGCAGGCTATAAAAACCCGCGTGTAAGAAAAGAACCTGCTAGCAGAAATTTGCCACCTCAATACCAAATTATATAAAACCCTGTTTAGCCAAGCAAAATCAAGCAGGTTCTTCTATGTGGTTTACGGTTAAATTATAACAATCATCAAGGAGTTTGATTTTGAGAGTGCAAACTGATATTACAAGAAAATACTGTACCAAACTGTAATTACAAATATTATACCACTGTTTCCTATAACAAAAACAGGCTTATACAAAGTACAGGCCCCAGTTGTTCAAAAGCTGGATAGCGCTATCCATCGGATAAATCTCTTCCAGTGGATAAGTATTAGGGAAACTAATTGCACTATCCAGTGGATAGAGATTTACCTGATGGATAGCGCTATCCACCTTTTGAACAACTGGGGCCTGTCTGTAATCTTCCTCACGGAGGTTTGCCGTGATTCACAGTTGTGAATAAATACTGTATATTTAAGGACCAAAGTCACGTTTTTTTATTTTTTTGCTAGTAAACAACTGTATCTCCTTCACAGAAATTAAGAACCTAATTGAGAACCTACTTAGCCTAAATTAACAATAACTACCCTGAAATGTATGTATGGATGTATGTATGCATGTATCTATTTATTTATTTACAACTTCGCCAAGATGCCTGGCTTTAACACATACAGAGCAAGCTCCATTATGAGGTCCAGAAAAAATAATAATGATAGTAATAGTAGCAATAATTACTATATAGAGGTAAAAACATCATAAAAACAAGCAATAACAAATAGTATAGGGGCAAACGTCGATAAAGCGATCAACAACACATTCGATTAAGCAAGCTGGTCAATGGCCGACTAGTGTGGCACTTGATACGCACAGTCTTATAGGCCTGAGGGTGTTGACATCATAAACAGTGTTACTGAGACACAAGTAGAAGTTAAAAAGTTCTTTCTTGAAGTGGCTTACTGAAACGTCAATGTTCCGGACGTGGGATGGTAAAGTGTTCCAGATTCCGCAGCGCCGTCAATGCGCCTGGGTCTGGTGGGATTCATTACTAAAATAAAAGGGTCCGTTAAAATAACTATAAGCATTTAAAGGCGTACTCCGTCATCGTGCCAAAAACATAGTGGTAATAGCCTAGTTATCAAAAGCCTCTGCTTGTAACTAAATTCGCACCAATACGGTAAAGGTTAATTAAAATGAATTTGGTGGCGCGCCGCTGAATTCTTTTAATGTCAAGGATAAGATTGACAGCTTGAGGAACTCACATCTGGGAGCATTGTGCGGAATTCCCGAGAACCTTGTAACGTGTAAAGTAATCTGCGGACTCTCTAGTCTTCAATGTCGAAGGCCGACCTGCGGATAAACCCAAGCATCCTATTGACCTTCGAACAAGCTTCCAGCACTCGGGAGTTCCATTTCAGACGTCTTGTAGCTAGTTCTCAAGGTCCCTCTGAGCTTCCATGGTCTTAACTTGGACATTGGATAATTGATAGGGTAATAGAAGGTAGACCCCACTTAGATTGATTAAGACCAAATTGCCAGAGATCACACCAGTGGGTGCCTAGTGTGGTCGAGGTCACGCTGTAGGTAAGCATCATCCTTAATGGCTTTGATTGACCAGAAGCACTTCGTGTGATCGGCAAAGAGAGCAACAGATGTTGCAGTCGCCACGTCAGGAAGGTCATTCGCATTTATGAAGAGCAAGAGTAGTCCAAGTATTGACCCTTGCGGCACTCTTGATTGTTCAGGGAGGAATTCAAAGTTGACCCCGAGAACTGTGACCCTTTGGACGCGCTCAGTGAACTAAGAAAACAGGGTACTGCAGATGCCGATTCGGTCAAGTTTCGTGAGCAGTAGTTTGTGGTTAACGCTGTCGAAGGCTTATTCGATAAGCGATGTCAAGATTGATAGCATCAACCTGCACTCGCTTGTCCCGCTTTCCTCCAATGTTATGAAGGACTTCAAGTAACTGGGCTGTGGTGTATTTACCGGTTAAAAACTTGAACTGCAGCTTTTGAACCTGAGGAGCCATATGGTCGATAAGCCTGTTGAACACGTAACGTTCGAGGACTTTGGCGAAAGAGAGATGGGTTTATAGTTCAGTGCCTTCTTAGCAGGGCCGCCTACCATTCTTAGGAGGATGTTAAACACTTTCCAAGAGGATTCATTTCTCCCAAATGCAGGCATTTGTTGTTGCAGATTGCACACAACGCGAGGTTAATATGGGACGCGCAAGCATTCAGCATCTTGGCAGGAATCTTTTTAGCCAGTCTTCAAAAGATGTAGGTTTTTACATGCGTTTTTACTACATTCATAATTATTATAGTTACATAAAACATTTTAAAAAATACAGTTATAACAAAGTAATTAGTCTATCGAATATTCAAGTGTGAGTGGTTTTTCATATTCGAGGTATTCAGGTATTAAACGTTTCACCAGAAATTTTGCCATGTCAGCGAACTCGACTTTACTAGTCCAATGTGACGTCATTAGATGTATTTTTAGTAATAATCCATTCAATTTGTGCCGCGACGGTCTCTTGGTGTTTTCGTTACATGTAAACATGCTAGACGGCATATTCAAAAAAGAAAATTAAAAAAGAACTAGTTAAAAATTTAATTGGAAACTCTGCAAGAGACGACTAGTCAATGCCACTTAAACGGCCGCGCTTAAAAATGTCACCGACAACTTCAAAAGAAATAATTAAAGGCTTGAATTGTTGGGCTTTCATTGTTGATTCTGAGGATTCATTTTACCAAAAAATTGTTTTTTTCAGTTTAGCTTTAGCTTAGGTACTATTTAAGTCCAAGAGATGTTCTGAAATAAAGAGCCGTTAAGACAAGAGTTTCGGAAAGCCTATCGCGTTAAATATGGTTTCGTTGTTTCCAAGAACCAAAGCACAAAGCAGAAAGTTTCTTTGTCAGTTATTTTCAAGTAATATATCTGTTTCCACTCGCAAAATTAAAACCTTACATATACCAAAGTTTCCATGCGAAAAAGAAAACCACGACAAAAAAAGTGAAAAAGGAGGTGGAAACCTGGAATTATTCAGGGACATCATACGATGCTCAGTCGTGGGGTAATAAATAACAATTAGCGAAAGAAAGTTGTCAATTCTTTCAAATGTGCTTGGAACTTTTAGCCAAAATACGCTACAGTCTAACCAATTTCGCTCGTGTTTTCTTTTGAACTAGATCTCTAAGACGAGTCTTGAATGTTTAGGAGTTTGTGAATGTTACAAGTTTCAATCCCCCTATCGTTAAGGTTTGTTTACCGTTGTTGATATATCAATCTAAGTGTTAATTCTAATAGGTGGTAACGGCATCATCAAGGTTACCCGCTAACGACGACTTTAAAACAAGCAAGAAATATTGTAAATATAGCATCTCTCTTAACAAATTGCAGATATACAGTAAAAATAATACGCGTTAGTTAATGCGCAGGAAAACGGAATCTTTCCGGGGCAATATATATTTAAATTCATTCCAAGGTTGAGATGAGGGCATACGTTTTGCAGTGCATTTCAATATGGGAAGAAAATTTAGTTTACCTGGTCTTGGTTGCTGGAGGCAGAAGAAACATTCACTGCAAAAAGAAAAAAAAAGCAATTAAATACGGGCAATACTGAATTTCTATCTACCATTATCAGCGGATAATTAAACAAAATTTGAAGCATGGAAGGGAAACTTGACATGGACATTATGTTTTTTGACATACGCTATTTGCAAAGTTCTATGGAGTGATTAGTCACTAAATTCAAAGGCAAATAAAAATCATGTTGACGGAAAATACGAATTGTTATATCCCAGTCGCAGAATAATAGTTTCGCTATCACTTAATACCTGATAATATCGCCAGAATTACCACACAGCTTAAAACAAGCATTTTGAGTGTGCTATTTGTGCAATCTGCCTGGTGTCATATCAGCATATCAGCTCTCGAATAGCAAAGACCTTTCAAAGCGTCTTGAACGAAGTTAATTTCACATCAATATGGCAGTACTTCATCGAATATTAATGATATTTTCCTAATCGACCAAGTTACTGCAACTTATCACTAGACGCATGCCGTGCAGGACAACAAATGAATAACGGTAATCTCTAGATATACCTTAAGGAATGATTGGTGGACAATTTGTTTCATAGGAGCGGAAAAGATAAAAATAAAATGGCCGTTTTGGGAAAATAATTTCCTAACAACATTTTCTAGAAGTGTATTATTTGGTGGCACCATCCGCTTTTATTGAGAAAACAGCGAAATCTATTCCGCATTGTTTTTAATTTAAACAGAGCTATAGATAAAGGATCCAACCGCTTGGATGTTGTTCGAATATCTCTTCTTAAAGTTGTAATAAACGACCTATGTTGCCATTTAATAGGTTTATCTCGAATACCTAGACGACTGTTTCTTGGTAGTTTTATGTTTCTGGGGAAGAAGTTGAAAATGATTCCAAACAAGTGTCTGCATATAATTGCATGGAGGAAGTTGAATGAGAACGTGTTGTAACTTCAACTTATTTCTAAGCATAAATAATTTAAATTGCTGACGATATGCAAAATAATCTCAATGGCTTGGGTAATCGACGCAAGCTGTCAAAATTTGCGTCATTTAGACAGTTTTCAAATTCAACTAATATATGTTACCCGCTGTTTTCTCGGTGGTTGTATTCACAAGTTTTCAATAACTATCAGCATTTAAAGCTGATCGAGGTGGAAAGTTAAGAATTTTCAAGGAAACCAATTTTTTTTTAATGTCAAATTGCCGTAACGAGTATTCTTGCAAGAAACTGCATTCATTTGCCAAATAACTTATGGCTCAAGGTTGTTGTTTTTTTCGTCAGGTACATTTTTGGCTTTCTCCTTCCCCCTATCTCCTTCTTCCGTCGAATATTCAAAAAGTGTAAACGTTAAGTGGTTATATTTCATATTTCCACACTTCAAGTGTTCCATTTTCACTGGTTTAGTCAAGGCAAAAGAATGTTAAACAAGTAGAGAGTGAATTTAATTCACGTCAAAAATAGCACTGAAAGTGTTGGTTAAGAAATATGTCTCGTGACCTATCCAATCATGATGTGGCATAAATGTCCCTTTCTTCCTTAACCTTGTTGTTCAACGTATTACTCGCCAAAGTCATATACCATAGTAACAAATAAAATGAAAGTTGGGCGAATCTTTAGGCCACGAATTAATACGAACCGAAGAGTTGTTGAAGGCATATTTTTTTACTAATTAAAAAACTAATTAAACATACTTTTTGGAACTTGAAGCAAGAGGAAGTCACAACAAAAATCCACTGTCTACTGGATCAGGGCTTTATTACAGGTGAAGTTTGAAATGACATCAAATAACTGAGACCTAACCTGCTCAGTTAAATTGCAAGTTGATGAATAAAATTCAGTCCACCCCGCGAGTTTTATATCTAAGGCACTACCCTAGCTTGGCGATCCTTCTTCCACCTCTGATTTAACAAGCGATACCGAAGTGCAGTGGAACTCTTATATCAACGATGGGCCAAGGGATTGGCAAAATATGTTTACTGTAACGAGGTTTCGTTACTTTGATGCTCATTATGATATATTTTACTATTACTGGGGTGAAGAATTCCATTCGTAATCCCGAGGACTTCGTTAAATTGAGGTTCGTGTTATCGAGGTTCTGCTGTACCCAGTGAGATAACTCCTGACAACACTATTGCAAATCGATCCCACTCCTTTCGGTTAGCGTTTATGTAGTAACCTTCAAGGTACTACATCTCATTTTATCTTTTTAATATGGTAAGTCAGTGACTTAAAATTTTTTATTTCGATGCGCTATTATCGGATTTTGTATACATGTATAAGATAATGCTTGCGCTTCAAAGCTTTCTTAAACATGATGACCGCCGGAGAGCTTAGCGCTAGGTCGTTACCGATTGTTCAGTCATTGTATTTGAACCAGCAGGTCATTATTGTGGTCAGTAAAGTGAAACAGGTGAGCTATTTTTTCAGTTCCAGTAATGACCTGCTCCACTTTTTATTCAATGAAAGGTGTGTTAAGCGGGTAATTAATGCAAAAGATCTACGCACCCGTGCAATTGGAAAATAACCTCTAGCTATCAGTTACTTTGATCTCCTTCTCCGGCATTCGTGTATATTTTTTTCTTTTCTTTTTTTTTTTTTTTTATAAATTCTAGCTTCATTGAGAATTCTATGATATTCTTCATTGACATGTGCATATGTTACATCGCACTTGTACGGCTGAATTTGTTTTCCTTAAGAACTCATATTTACTGTTCAGCTTTAAACCTCAGGGCTTTATCTCACTTCGGGTTTCACCTGAAACGTTTCCTAACACATTAAACTGCTGCACAAAAGACAACTGTGCCGCCTGGCCACCTTTCCATTCAGTTTATTTAAAATATTTGAACAGCGACTCAAATGTGTGATGTCAGGTTATTACGGTTGTTACGGTTAAGTCCGTGAAACTTGTCTTGAATAAATGTTTCTGCAGCAATAATTCCAAGGATTGCAGTTCCGAAAGTTTCAAGACATTTTTTAACTGAGTTTCCAGGATCATCGTTTCCTTCCGTCTACTCTACTATGATGTGGGCAGCACTTCAGAAGTCGTTTGATATTTCTCCTAAAGCTTTCGTTTCTCCAGCAATATATCAGGGGATTCCACCAGGCGTTCATGCTTGCAGCAAAATATACTCCGTGCATCTGATGTATTTTAACTGTCGTTACATTAAGGAAGTGAAGACACAGTGTTACCAACAACGGGATAAAACTAACGAGACAAAGTCCCACAACGATGGCCACCGTCCAAGCACCTTTCATCTCGCGCCTCCTGAAGATTTTATGCAAGTGCGAGTTCTGTCCGTCCTGGATCTTAATTCTCTGTTTCCAAGCGACACGGAAGATGTAGCTGTATGAGGTCACAATTATACCTATTGGCATCACTAACAGTGCCACGACCAAGAAAACCAGGTAGGCTCGAACCGATTCTGAATGCAAAAAGAAGGGCTCTTCAGAAACAAAACAAGGTGTTAGGCCTTGTAAAAACTCTTTGAACGTCTTCAAGCCGTCTGCCTTCAACGTCTCGGGAAATATCATGGAAATGCTAATTCCCCAAAACCAAACTACAGCGAACGCGATTATTGCTCGACGATGAGTCACTAGGGCGTGATACGACAAGGCATATTTGATGGCTAGGAAGCGTTCCACGCTGATCAAGGCAAGGTGAAGGATAATAATGGCGTTGACGGTGAGGTTAAGCATCGATGCAACGCTGCATAATTGGTGACGGGGCGTTAATCTCGGAAATTGAATGTTTGTGATGTGTAGGATAAATACAAATACCATAAGCATATCTGCCACTGCCAAACTGACCAGTATGGTGTTAGAAACGGTCCGCAGGTTTGCAAATTTACTAAAAGCTCTCACGACGAGGAGATTGCCAAGAACAGTGACCATTATAAGAATTACGTACAGGGAAGTGATGGCCGCTTTCCGCGATGTACTCGAATGAACTTTGGAAAAAGATGAATTCATTTCAGTTGCCCTCTTCTCCTCTGATCCGTCTGTTCACCTTCACCTCCAATAAGCTTTCCGCCTCGAACGTGATGACAAAGCAAATCTTTAGATTCTCTTTCTTAGGCTTTTGAAAAAATTAGCTGTGGTCTTGCTGATGGCGATCTCCATGCATGTGAAGAGGGTCGTTTAGCGTGAGGCCAATATAAACTTCGTGACGTTAAAAGCTTATTCACTGGCTTTCAATTTTCTACGAGAGCAAGTTTAAGTTATTAAACATTTGCATTTGAAAGGCAAACATTATTCTCTTTTGACCAGCTTGCCAAATTACAAACCACTCTGTATATTCTTAGAAATTGTTCTTTAATTAAAAACGTTCATGCTGAATTCAAATAAAAATCGCAATTATAATCATGGAATAAGGAAGATTTTTTTTTTCAATGTCAAATAAAAGTTAAAATGCGATTTCAGTTTTCGTCATTCACTTATTATAACTGAAATGCCGACCTTTTCACATTATGATGTGCTTATTAGATGGCGAAGGTATTGAATTAAATTTAAATTTAAAATAGGCATTTGTTGTCGATTTTTTTCACCATAATAGTAAAATGAATAAGTATCGCTAATCCTCATTCGGTAGCTTTAAAATAATTGTCAATTATCTTCTGTTACTCCTTTAATTCCAAAAAAAAAGTTTCATTCAGTAGAACAGAAAGTCTTTTTGAAAAGATTCCATAATGTACCCGCGCTCCAATCAGCATGAAGCAATTATTGACTTTTTTGTCCGCCAACAAGGAACTTATAATGATAATGTATAATGATATGACAAAAGTGGGTTATCTTGTGCATAAAATGTTAATTCATACTGATAATCTCTTCGACCTTACAATTTAACGGTAATCGAAAAAGAAAACCAGCGTCTTCTGGCGAAATACATAAACATGTTAACAGCTTTTTTGTTTTCGCTGCTTGTCAAACTACTACGAAATGTTTACACTTGAATCACCCTGTTCACCAATACTTGGTTAAAAACCTAGGTGTTACAGTAGAACCCGGGTAACTCGAACTATCAAGCTGAGGAACGAAAAACAGTTCAAGTAATCAAGGGTTCGAGTTATCGAAGTCGATTGCAAAATTCAATTTGCCAAGTTAAAAATTGATAGTTGCCGCTTTTTCAGCACTTAAGAGTAGAGTGTTGTACAAATTTAACTTATTTCATCAGCCACAGTAACAGGATTAGGAATTTTTATGATAAAACGTGATCGTTTACTGAAACCACCCGTACCTCTCCCCTCCCCCCCCCCCTCCTCAAAAGTTAAATGGTCGGCTTTTTAGCACATGGCCTTCAGGCATTCTTACATACTTTAAGTTTGATGCTAAGAACTGCGTTGCAATTATCTACCTCCGGAATACATACGAGTTGGCTCAGCCTGAGGAGCCTGATTAAGAGGCAGTCTCCCTAAAAGCGTTCCACTCGATTTCGGACTCGAAAAAACTTTTGCCTTCTATTTTTACCATCAACACTACTATCCATCCTTATAACGAAATTGTTGTTAGAATGAGGAAATTGTTTATTTTACTGCCATTCCCAGCATTCCATTGCTGGACGACCGTTAGCGGCTAAAATATGCAAATTTTAGATGCTGTTTTACACGTTTTTTAACGATCGTTTAAAAGTACTTCGGGTCATCAAATCCTAGACTGTTCGCACTCATTTGGAAGCATATTACTTCTTCTTACTGTTCCAATACCATTTAGGCATTATCTTTCTCTAATCAGCAAAAACTGGTCGTCTTTATTTCACTAACCCAATTAAGAAAGCAAAATGCACGAATAAATGCCTCCAAAACATCACAAAATTCTCAAAAGTGCTACCTAAACTAGACCTAAAAACATGTTTTAGTTAAAGATTAAGAGCTATTTTGTCAAGTTATGAAATAAAACTTGTGGCACAACGCGATTCAGAATTGAAGTATTCGACTTAAATTTATTGATGCTGAATTCGCATTGCGTGACACCGGCCGTTGTGATAGTAAAAGAATTCTTCATGACCCTACAAATGACAATTTTTCTTTTGTTTTTTTTTTTTGTTTTTGTTTTTGTTTTTACTTTATCAACAAGAAAAATAGGAAATAGGTTAAGCTTTTGGAAGATTAAGTTCGCTTTTCCACTGACCTTCGTATTAATAGTTTCGGCCGGCCGTCCTTTGTTCTACTCCGAGAACTTGGCCTTCTTGGAAGAAGAGTGGGTCGGGAAAAATACTCATTACTCTCTACCCCACCCCCTCGCCCTTTTCTTACTCGCCTCTCTCGGAGGTTCGCCCCCATAGTCTGAACACCTGGAAGAGGCTATTCGACATACTTCAATCGCGTTCTAAAGGAACATTTTTGTTTTACAGATAACATTAACGAGAACCATGTTTCTCCTGTCTAGTGACAGGTGGAAGTATTTACATTTTACAGCGAGAAGGTCCTTCACACATTCACCTTTACACTATATATATGGGACTATGGTACACAGCAATCCTTGAACAGTAATTAAGAAAATATGGACTGGAGTTCAATGAAGTAAAATCAACAACCCGCTAATCACGTCTACGCAACAATAAGTCTCGTACTTATAAATTCTTATCAAGTAAATTGTTGTTTGCCCTTAAAAAAATGAAATCAGCTGTGAAATGTACATTGAATTAAGTTAGTGTCCGGATACCTTTAGGAATTAGATATTAGTATAAATTTTTAGATGTATAAATCTACCGGCCTTCGATCACAAATCTGATCGTCTATGTACAGTGCTAGTGCTTTGCTGGTAATGCTGTACGCTATCAATTCCGTGGTGGACAGTGAGTGAAGTGACTGAGTAGCCTGAGAGTGTTCGGTTGTAACCTGTTTATACCACCACTAAATAAAACCGTCAGCCTATCAAATTGTTAAGCTTTGAATGACTAGGGGATTTATATATGACTATTTTAGGGAAATTTGTACCAGATCTTCGTTTCCTCGCATGCAAAATTCTCGCTCGTTTTTTTGTTTTTGTATTTTTTTTCATAAGATTTGTGAAGCATTTGAGTCTATATATTCTTACAGCATCTCGGTATGCAGAAATAACTGAAGGCAATAAGATCCTCTCTGAGTGGCTCAACAACATTTTACGCGGTAGGCTGATTATCAAATGAGCGTCGCACCGGAGACACAAAAACAAAATGATAAACGCGTTGGCGCCTAATTTAGTAAAATCGATATCAACATGAATTTGGATCCACACGGAGGGTCCAAAGGCCGATTTTTCAAAATGTGCTCCCAGATCCTTCAGCTGTTGTTCAGATGTATGTATTTTTACATCATTAACGTGGTAGAATGCAAGCGCCTGTAAGAACAGGGTAATAACCGCTAACAAGACGTGAGACGAGGAAAGACGTAAAACAGTGAAGGGGTCTCGACCGGGAGAAATGTTCATGCTGGGGAAACCTTCGAAAATGCCGGATTCAGACTTCGCGTCAGTTCTCACCTCTACTGATTGTTCGAATTCAGAGGTTTTTGTCCACGCTGGGCTTCAATAGAAAATTCTGTCGGTGAACTCTCCATGGTACCAAACAATTGTCATGAGTACTCTCGGTAATATGCCTAAAGGTAGGTAATCACGATTTTGACAATTTAACTTCGACTCCACAAGGTTTAGATATGCAAAGGATGCGCTGATCACTTGGTGCTAATATTCCGTTCTTGGCCCTCTATGCGAAGAGCGAAGTGGCCGCCAAAATCGTCCGCGTTTATATGCCGATATTTGTGGGTAATAGCCGGGAGGACTCCCATATAAAAGTGAAGGGGCTGCTCGTCGGAAAATTAATTCAAACCCCTAAGGGAGGCCAATGTGGGTGTGGCTCAAGCTTAAACTGACCCCTAAAGGAGATTTCTGTGAGGTCAGCGTCACGGCTTTGTTTTTTTTGCAAATTTCTTTATGCACAGCCCTAAGCGATACCTGAATGAGCATATTTAGTTACTTTCCGTCCCAAACAACGAAGTGAGGCCAAAATCTGCAAACGACGAGCACCCACGTCACTTTTGTATGGGAGTCCTCCTAGGGAAGCAGATCACCATCTGTTCCACTTGATTTTTCGTAAGGTCAATGATTACCATCCTTTGAGAGTATTGGCTCTGCTTCACTTAGTTCAGACTTAGATGGATGACAGGTTTCATGGTGAGAAGTAATGGTGTCCTGACATTCGTGTACTTTATCAGTTGGGAAAAACTGAGTGAACTTCCACACTTTATTTTGTTACTTTCACTGATGTCGCACGATTCGAAATTAATGTTGAACTTTATTGTTTGCGTGTGCCAACTTCTTTATGAACTGGCTGCTATACAAAAGTAGCCTTGGACTTCGGACTGTCTCTTGGAGTGTGAAAACAAAAGCTGATCACTCTTAGTAGGAAGAAACAGTCAGTAAAAGGAAGAAACCCTCTAATTGAAATTTCATTAACAAAGGTCTTCAAATCTGGGCTCCTGATCAGTGGAATGTAAATAAAGGAAAAATAGTAATTCGCCGTTCACATACCAGTACTGTCGCCCCATGTAAGCGAATGCAAGACAGTTCTTGGATTCTGGATCCCATTCCATGGATTCTGGATTCCGGGTGCTGGATTCCAGTCTTTTCAGTGGAACTTGGATTCTAGATTCCATTCCTTACTCTATTCTGGATTCCAAAGCCCTGGATACCGGATTCCATAAGCAAAATTTTCCCGGATTCCGGATCCACAAGCAAAAATTTTCCAGATTCCGGAATCCGGATATCCTTACATGGGGCGAAGTACAAGTCAAACATTTCCTGACCTGTTCACGCATATTTAATTAAGCAGTAGGAAATTTACTTTTCTTCTAACTTTCGATTTTATAATATGATGCATCAGAGTAACTTCTGGTCAATGCAGCTTTTTCAGACTGGACCACATTTTAAGCTAGAAGAGGTTTGGTTCTGAAAGGTATTTTTCCGTCTTGACATAACAGACTTAACACAAATGTTCG